GCATACATTTTACGGTCTCAAAATAAGATTTGTTACTAAATCTTAAGACAAATATATTTTTTTAATTAAATCTACTAATGAAAAGACAACATGCATTTTTATCCTATTTCATTCAAAAAGTATTTTGTTTGTCAAAATAAAATAAAAAATTACAATCACAAAATACATTCACAAAACTAGATAGAAATTCTAAGTAGGCAGATGTAATGAAAATAAGGGTCTGCAGGTGGGCAGCCCTATCGCATGTTGTCATACGGTGACGTACCGCGCGGCTGTTGACATTTATTTCAAAAATATGGCCGAGTTGGAATACTGTATAGATACTATTACCGTGACTCGTTTGTGAGTACGGGCGTAAGTCTGCTAGCTACCACCATCTTACCTAAGTCTGTCGCCATAACAACAATGTTAACAGCATTGTTGTGTTCCGGCAGTTAAAGGTAAGATAGCCAGTTCCTCCGTGGTTGAGGATTCCGGGTGAAGCTCGCTTCCACCTTCGGCCTGATCATCACTTTCCATCAGGTGAGATGCAGGCCAAGGGTTTTAATTTATTGTGAATACATACATACAGCGTGGCGTGGACAGGCCTCCCAATAGGTGGACCGACTATCTGTTGAAGGTCGTGGGAGGCGCCTGGATGCGAGCGGCGCAGGACCGGTCTTTGTGGAAATCCTTGGGGGTCTTTCAGCTGAAACGAACGAACATACATACATACATAAAAAAAACATAAAAAACGCCCAGACCAATAAAAATGTTCTCGTACACAAATGTTTGTATTACGGGGTCGAACCCGCGAAATATGACATAGCATTCGGTACCCAAACTACTATGCCTGATGGCCAACTAACCGTAATTAAAAAGCCTTATCAACTATAAGTACCTATTATTTGACTGACATGTTGCACGTTGTTTATGACTACAGTGTCGTATTGACCCCATAAAGTTGAAGTAAAGTTAGCAAAAAAAAGGTTTTGTCAAGGATTTTTCAATCCCTAGTTCAGGAAGTAAAGGGCACTAAGGGACAAAATAAGCGAACGTCAGGCCTCCCCAACCCGTCTGGCCAGCGTGGGGAGTGTAGGACAAATCCTCCATTTGCCTCTGGTCAATTAGAGGGTCATACTCCTGCAGTGGAGACTAAATGACCTGATGATGATGATGAATGATGTTTGAATGTACAGGGTGTCCCAAAAAGTAGTGTCAAGCTGAAGCCCAGAGCTTCACTAGGGCTATCCGAATCACCCCCATGTATGTTCCGCGATTTTTGATAGTTTTCGAGTTATGATTGTTTTAAATTTCTATGCTTAGGCACATTTTTGGGCACTGTGGCGCGAATAGATAAAGTACACGCCTGATTTTTTTATTATCATTATTAGATGCATACTAGGTATATCTGGTTCAGAAGTATTTACATCCATTTAACACTAATGTAAACTAAAAAAGTCAAAAATCCTTTATGTTGTAAAAAAAATCCATAACGCAGAACTGACGGCCGATGGGGCAGAAAGGTTCTGGAATGGAGGCCGCGTACCGGAAAACGCAGCGTGTGACGTCCACCTACAAGGTGGACCGACGACATCGTAAAGGTAGCAGGGAAGCGCTGGACGCTGGCCGCTACCAATCGATCGACATGGAAAGCATTGGGGGAGGCCTATCTTCAGCAGTGGACGTCCTATGGCTGAAATGATGATGATGATGATGAACTCGAAACCTATCAAAAGTCGCAGTGATTCCGGTAGCCCTAGTGATGCTCTACCTCTGCGCTTCGGCTTTACACTACTTTTTTGGGACACCCTGTATAATTCTCGCGAAAACCGATTTCCATTTTGTAATTCGAATTTCACACGACAGTCCAGTTTTACCAATCCTGCATTACTGGACCCCGCAAAACTGAATCGCCGTGGGAACAAGCACTTATTTGCTGACTGTCCAAGCCAATCCAATTAATTATACAAGTTAACACAGCGATATAAATGGAAAATGTTTTTGTGGTTAGATCCAATTTATTCTGCTTGTTTTATAGTGAAATATTGCTTTAATTTTGTATTTGTTTTGTTTTGGAGTTCCATACCCAGAGGGTGCGTAAGGAACGACGCACATTTATCAACCCGGAAAGGGATCGTAACCGTATCGAGGCGGTCAGTATTCTTTGTATGAAACTCCATACTGCAACGCACACTTATCCGCACCGTAACGTAAACGCCTCGCCTCGCAATTGACAGCGCGAAAGGCGATACGGTGTTGATCCCTTTCCGAGTTAATAAGTCTGCTATGAGCTTATGGGACCCTTTTGTAAAACTTTGCTGACCATGCATCCGTCCTTTTTTTCTGTAAACTTGCCGTTCCAAATTTCAGACTGCACAAGATTGGTAATTCATTTATGGGGAAATGTATTAAACTTTTCAATAAATTGCCACAAACTGTTGTAGAATTGCCCATTCATAATTTTAAAGCACATATCAAAAGCACCTTAATGAAAAGGGCTACTATAAAGTTGATGATTATATAAAGGATAAAAATGTTTGGAATGTTTAACTACCTAGCTCGCATCAATACTTATGACTATAATTTGTATATTTTAAAGACTGTAAAACCTTGAAAAGGAGGCTGACAATAGTGACTGAGTTTCTTGCGCTGCTTCTTCTCAGCACTGGCCCATTTATAGTCCCGAAGCAGTAGTAGGGTTAATATTGGGACGTGTAAAAGCGCTTTTTAAAAGCCTATTTGCAAAAATAAATGAATTTTATGAATTTATTTTTTATGTCTTTTTGTCAGGGATCTAAATACTGTTATCTAGACGATTTTTTTTTAGGGAGCTATCCTACTAATATTATAAATGCGAAAGTTTGGATGTCTGGATGTCTGAATGTTTGTTGCTCTTTCACGCAAAAACTACTGATCGGATTTTGATGAAACTTTACAGTATTATTGTTTATAACCCAGAATAACAGCGTAGGACGTCCACCCACAAGGTGGACATATGATAAAATATATTCTATATCTGTAATAATTACGAGTTTGATCCAATTACTCGATTAATGTCGCTCGGACGTCCGCTTGATTGATGTACCGGCATTAGTCCATATTGATATGTTGCGGTATTCACGATCCGGTCCCAAAGTTCATCGCTTGACTCTCTAACTGACGTATCTGACATTTTTTCGAAACTGAGTTATCTACACCATCTTAATAAATTCACAAGACGAATCGATCTGTCTAATCGCTGAAAATGTCAGTTACGTCAGTTAGAGACAAGTTGTGACACGTCATCGTAATAACTATAGGTCTATCTCTAAACTCAGTCAGTGCCTGAGGCAAGTGTGTGGCACGGGAGGATGTTTTTGTAACGTCAAACGTTAGCAAAACTTCAGATGTGCTTTAGAGTAAGCGCACACCGTTGATTTTTCGTCGGCCGATAGTTTAGTTGGGCAGTTGATCAGTATGGGCATGTATGGAAGTGCGCGCATTTTAACTGTAGCTCCTGTATTTTTTGTATGGCGTTTGACAGATTTTTGACATTTGTTATTGTTAAAGTAAGATGGTGCAAAAGACATAAAGTAACTCCAATAAAAATTATTTCTGAAAGCTGACTTATACTAATAATTCAATGCTGAAAAAAATTTATTAGCCCCATAACAAAAATATCAAAAACAAGGATCGCTTTATGAATAAGGCCCTATTAGAGAGTTACCTATGAGCAACACTTATGTGTGTGATATTCCGTCCATATTTGATTAATGGGACTTACTAATAATAGCACTTGTAATACCTTACATTTGTTTTGTATATTGTGATAATGTGCTGTTATTGCGCGACTGTTTCGTAGCTATAGCACAGAATAATAATAAGTACTACGTACAGAAGTTTTACTTCGCGAAGGTATTTAAAAAAATGTATGCTTAATGTCATTAACAATATGGTGTAATTTAGCCTGTCTCAAGAGTCAAGCACCATTTTGTTGACAAACGTCAGTGATCGGCACTGCGCCGAAGCTATAGGGCTGACTTCGGTAAAATGATGTGACGTGAGGTGCCAAACTACAGAAAATAATAATTTAGCATGAATTATCATGAATAATATTAACTACTTATTTACCTCTCAGTGTCTTGAGGCAACTTAAAAAATTACATTCTGTGTTTTTATTATTATTTAGGCAGTTAAATACTGCACAGTATTTAGTACACCATTTTCTTTATTTTATTCCATCATACACAAGAATACGCGTGCGTGAGTCAATGTTCGCTCGTATGTGAGGCCTTGTCGAATAGTATCCTGTAGGCATTGAGTTATAATGTACTACGTACAATATTTCTTCAATGCCTGTAGGTGGGCCATCGTGCGTGTTTTGTTTTCGATGTAAACTCGCGGAGATGAACAGGCCTGCTATAGCACAGAATAATAATAAGTACTACGGCTGTAGGTCTAGCGACTCAGTCAGTACCTGAGGCATGGCAGCGGCACGGGAGGGGTGACATTGACATATTATGACGTGACAATCTAAAGCATATTAAAATTTGAAGTCTCGCTGACGTTTGACGTCTCAAAAACATACTCCCATGCCGCTCCAATACCTGAGGCACTAGACACACAAGGTGGACAGATGACCTCATAAAGGTTGCAGGAAGACGCTGGACCTGGACCGTGACCTGACCTGGACTGGTGATGTGGAAATTATTGGGGGCCTATGTTCAGCAGTAGACGTCCTGTGGTTGAAATGATGATGATGAGACACTATTGGTAGGGAAGACTGGGTACAGTTGTAACAAGGTACGGTTGTAACAACTCGATTGTTGTTCAGTGCAACTATGGCTCTATGGACTTGTCCCCCGCAAGCCTTTCCCCTTGTACCCCTCATCTATCGAGCATTGTTCGGTAACATTCGACTTGTTACAACCGTACCCTATCACAGCCGTACCCTGTTACAACCGTACCCTGCTACAACCGTATCCAGTCTGACCTGCTCGATATTTTATGAAGATTCTAACCGCACCCTTTCTTTCCAGGTCGAGCAAGCTAAAGGCGTTCTGGTTCAGCATATCGGATGAGCCGCTGCCAGCGCTGGATTTCTTATCAGCAGCGCTGCTGTCGGCTGAATACGAGCGGGCACTGGGTCGGGCGCTGGCACTGCCGGAGTGCAGGCTGATACCGTTCTTTGGGGCGTTCTTGAGGGAACTCAGGTGAGAACGGGCATATCAACTAGTGTTTAGATCATTTTTTTGTTCGATCTTAAGAGAACTTACATGAGAAAAACTTAGAAAATTCTAAGAACAACTTTAAGGAAAGAGCCTTAATTTTAGCGTTTGTGATCCGGCAAACGGACGACTAACGTCTGACTCTTAACGCCTAATTGGAAAAACTTCTCTATTTTATGTGATTTTAACCCTAAACACCAAATTCGTTCACAATGAAAAGCAAGTAAAACCCAGAAATTATTCTGCTATTACATCCAAATCCAATGATCTTAGAGGGTGATATTCTAACTCAATAGACACCTCTAACGTATGTTTTATAGGGACGCCCCAGTTCCATTAGATTACGGGTTAACCCTCGAAGGGTAACGACAGGTTAAGCGGAGGTTAACGGGTAATTCAGTAACTTGGCCCACGAAACGGCTCGTTTGAGACGAGTGTAGGTCAAAATAAACGATATTTTTTCGTTGTGCAACCCGCCCTACATTGTTATTGAAACGAAGGAGAAAAAAATAATTCTTAAATGTTTGGTTATAGCTTTTACCCCTTGAATTTCAGTCTATCAAATCTATACTAATATTATAAATGCGAAAGTAACTCTGTTTTTGAAACAGGGACGCGCGCGATAGTTTTTCTGTGACAGACAAAATTCCACGCGAGCGAAACCGCGGGTGGTAAGCTAGTACCGGTATAAAAACTATCTTCAACTAAATCGATTCAGTAGTTTTTGCATGAAAGAGTAAGTATACCATCCCTGATATCCATCCCCAAAAACTTTCACATTTAAATAAGCAGAAAAACTTTTTCCTGCAACTTTTTCCGTGTCAATTTTAATATGTCACAAAAAGCCGTATAGCCCCTAAAACCGGGATAAAAGCAATTCTACATTTTACCCTAAGACTGTCGCCATAACAATGTTAACAGCATTGTTGTTTTAGCAGTTGGAGGTAAGATAGCCAGTTCCTCTGTGGTTGAGGATTCCCTATGAAGCTGGCTTCCACCTTCAGCCTGATCATCACTTTCCATCATGCTGAATGCAGGCCAATAGTTCCTGCTGTAGTTAAAAAATAATTGACTTACACCAAAAAAGAAAGAACCTACATTTATTACACCACACTACGTTTAGAACCATTTCTACATCTAAACGTTGCTTAACCGTCCCAAGTCCGTACCACTGCACTGAAACAATTAGATTGGCTAGTGCTGACAAAAAAATTGACCTGAATTCTCTCAGAATGAAAAAATCCGGCCAAGTGAGAGTTGGACTCGCTCACTGAGGGTTCCGTACCCTACATCTGTCCTTAGTTAAACAAACTCTATCAAAATATTTCAATCGAATCAAACCTAATCAAAAGGGGACTATTCCTCCCTCCTGTTCCCACCGCTGCAACTCCTGTGTAGCCAGGATCTACAGCTTGACCGCCAATAACCCAACCAGTAAAGGTCAAGTTTGTCCCGGGGGAAAGTTAAACTGTCATTGGACCCGCAACGAACTCAATCTTTAAAAAAACTCTACAGATAGACATCGTAGCGGCCATATAGAAAGAAAGAAAAAGAAAGAAACTTTATTACGATAAATGTAAAGAAAAAAGACAAATAGAAAAAGTGAACTGGGCAGTGCCACCACTGCATATACCGTGGCCTGGCCCACAGTGAGGAAGGCCACGACCCTGGTTTTCAATGCGCCCCATGCCTAGTGGAAGTCACGGATATATTATCAGGGTTCCTTACCAATTTTTCTACGGAACCCCAGCCGGACTATCCGACGCGTATTAGGTGGGGTAACCCACTTTACTCAGCCCTGGAGACCTAGTAATGGCAAGATAAGTGGAAACACTCATGTTAACATTGCCCTCTGAACGGTGTGAACGCGAAATATGGGTATAGAGCTGTTATAACTGAATCAAATCAAATAAAATCAATAAAAAAAAATTTCATAGTACTTTGTCTATTTTATATGATGTGCAATAAAGAGAGACTAACTAGGTATATCTATCAAATTAAAGCTCCGTATAATTTTCTCCCTAATTTTTTCCGTGTATTTATGCTCTTAGGGAATTCATTTTAATAATGTAAATCAGTCCAGTCGTTCTTGATTCATTATAATTATTTTTACAAGCTTTGCTTTTTTGGGACTAGATGGCACAGTGTAAAAAGGTCCAAAGATATTTCTTTATTTCAACCGAGTACCATCCACTTCTGGACAAAGACTTTCCTGTGGATTTCCACTACTAACTTAACTTCTGGTCCAGCGCTGCCAGTTTCCATGTGCGACCTTCACCAGATTGTCACTCCACCAAGTGGGAAGGCCTGGCCTTCCTATACTACATTTTCTGATCCGTGGTCGCTACTCGAGAATTTTTCTGCCCCAATGGCCATCAGTTCTACGAGTTCTTTCCAAAGATATCTATTATCTACATTGTTATTCTTCTTCTTCTCGTGTCGACAACAAACCTACTGTGTCAGCCCAAAATTCCGCCACAAGAGTGGCGTTGTCTGTAGCCTCCATTAAATCTTCCTGCGTGCAGTTGTTTGGGCACGCAGGGCATGACATCATGTGCTTCGTCTACTGGGGAACACTGTTATTAAAATAAAAGAAGAAAGATTTGATCGTTTGTATGTAAATAAACTTACCTATTTATATCGTTGTATCAACTCTATAGCCATATTAATCATGGCGCCCCAGCTCAGTATCTCCAAGTGTTATTTTTAATTACTCGCACAAGCCCGTGTTTGTTTTTGAACGTCATCCGAAGGGAAATTGGCTCCAATTCAGCGTGCTTCAGTTTCAGTATCTTCCGGGGGATTACGTTTCAAAATTGATACGAAACGTTTCAAAGATACGAAATGCTGTTTGATCTTGACGAGTTTCTTTAACTTTGAGGCTTTATTATTTCAAATTCAAATCATTTATTTCGGAAGGTTCCTTAATGTAATGGGAGTTTTCCTACTTCTAGTTCCCATCGCTGCAACTCCTGTGTAGCCAGGATCTACAGCTTGACCGCCAATGACCCAACCAGTGAAGGTCAAGTTTGTACCGGCGGAGTTTACTGTCATTGGACCGGCAACGAAATTAATCAGAAGAACATACGAGGAGTTCGAAGTCAAGTTTCTATAGTGTTTGTAAGAAGGTAGCAGCGAGTGGCGTCCACTGGAAAACGTAGAGTAGGCAGGCCTCCCATTCAGTGGACTGACGATCTGGTGAAAACCGCAGGAACCACCTGGATGCGGTCGTTGTGGAAATCCTTTGTCCAGCAGTGGACGAAATTCGGTTGAAACGAACGATATATATTTTTTAAAGATTATTAGCAATTTGTATTGCCCAAATTACTAATAGTCCCGTTAGCCCCTCGTGTTAAGCTAAATAAGCTTATGTTACGAGTGGGCTTACCACAATAGTCGAGCGGCGGTGGGATTCGAACCCGCGTTCCTCGGATCTCGAGTCGGCCAGTCCGACCCCTTCACCGTTCGGCTATCGTGGCTATGTATGTGTAATATGGTGCTAAGAGGTTTTTATTATTTTAAGTTTTCTATCTTTACAGAGAGATCCTCTCAGCCACTCCAGCGCTGACGAGCCACTCAGTGGCTGCCACCCCCACACACAGAAGGGACTTCAGAAGAGAGTCGGGGAAAGATGACAGGTAATTAATATAGTAACATCTCCATCAGTTTTAGAAGTCGACAATTCGACTTGGATGTATATCCTACACGATTGAACTTTCACGAGTGATTCTGACACTTGCATCTTTTGCATAAATAAAATAGTTAAACTGCGTTTAAAATACCGACTTTCAAAATTAAACTAACTGCAAAAAAGTACCTACATCTCATACTCCTTTTGGCGCAGTCGGGTAAAATGTATGAAAATAATTTTACGTTATTTATTTAATAAGGAGGACAATTATTATGACCATGGTTGGTGGTTGGTGCCAGTCTGCGAAATGCCAAGCTCAAGAAACATACCAAATTTACCGGCACTGGTCATAATAATTGTCCCCCTAATGAAATAAATAACGTAAAATTATTGTTCTACTTTTTAGTGTAGGTACTTTACTATTACAATTACCAGTAAGTACCCGGAGCACGAATAAATATCGTTCTCTTTATGGTATGGTATCTTATTTTTGTATGAAAAACAGGATCGCTGTGGTTGTTTACTGTTTTTGCTCAGGCTGAGTTGTACCACCTTATTTTAACCGTAACTAATACACCATAACCGGTGTTTTTATGGCATTTAATAGACTTTTGACTTTTATTAAAGATGGTGCAATCCAATCTGAGCAAAAACTTATCTTTAAACTTTCCACAGAAGTACACAGAAGAAGGAGCCAAGAAGAGAGAGCGGGAAGCGGGTCGACCAGGGAACCACGACCAGCCCCCTCCGAGACAGCTGCAAACGGGACGCGAGGATGAGCGAGCCCAGCAGACAAGTGGTACGTCCATCATCAAGCACGGTTAAACAAATGGGACGATTCCCACCTCTCGTTCCCACCGCTGCAACTCCTGTGTAGCCAGGATCTACAGCTTGACCGCCAATAACCCAACCAGTGAAGACCAAGTTTGTCCCTGGGGAAAGTTAATCGAAATCGAAAGTAGTTCCTGATATTAGTGCGTTTAAACAAACTCTTCAGCCTTATAAAAAATATATAGATCAGCTCACCAGGCAAACTTCGAATCGCCAATAAAAAGTCTTAAAATAAGCCTATGATCATCAGGGATAATTTAAAACTCTAATGATGAAGGAATTTTTCAAATCGGTCCTGTAGTTTCGGAGCCTATTTACTTCAAACAAACAAGGAAATCTTTCCTCTTTATAATATTACTAGCTTTCCGCCCGCGGCTTCGCCCGCGTGGAATTTTGTTTGTCACAGAAAAACTTTATCGCCCGCGTCCCTGTTTCAAAAACCGGAATAAAAACTATCCTATGTCCTTTCTCGGGACTCAAACTATGTCCCTGCCAAATTTCATCAAAATCGGTTCAGTGGTTTAGGCGTGAAAGAGAGACAGACAGACAGAGTTACTTTCGCATTTATAATATTAGTATAGATTAGTATAGATTGTAGAAGCCTTCAAACATGGGGTCAGCGTTCAAAACTTCATAACTTAGTTTTTGCCCGTTCAATGTTAATGAAAAGCGATGTAATTTATGATCCCACCATAAACAATTACAGTTTGAACATTAATAATGTAACCGGTGGCCTTGATGCGTCTTCGGGGTAGTGCAGACAGAGTCAGAAGCATCATTGCAATATACAGAGTGAAATTTTGTAATGCCACTTGAAGAAAAAGTACTCTTAATAAGTAGATAGAAAAGAGAATGTTTCACGCAAAGAAATGTTCCTTTATTTTTAAAAAATATTTCCTTTATTTTTGAAAAATATTTCCTTTATTTTGCATGAATCAAAACAGTTTCCCAATTTGGGGCACCGACGACCTCATAAAGGTAGCAGGAAGGCGCTGGATGCAGGCCGCTATCAACCGGGCGATGTGAAAGTTATTGGGGGAACCTATTAGTATGTTCAGCAGTGGACGTCCTGTGGCTGAAATGATGATGATGATGATGGCTGAAGATCCAAAGTGCCGGTGCTTAATTGAAAGTATATGATCCCGAGTTGATTTCATTGAAATTTTAAGCAAATTGGTTCAGTAGTTTAGTTTTTAATCAAAATAACTGGAAAAATGACATCGAAGTAGGCTAGCGTTTAACTCAATCAGTGCCTGAGGTATGTGAAAAGCATGGGAGGGTGTTTTTGTAACGTCAAACGTCAGCGAAACTTCAGTGGGTCTAGTCAAAATGCCATCGCAAACCAATAGGAAGTTTTCACTAATGTCAGTCGCCGCGTCACCAGTAATTCGATTCGATCGGAAAATGGCAGCCAAAATGCACATTGAACCACCAACGACGCGGCGATATAAAAGTTCATTCAAAATCGAATAAAAGTTAAAAAATGTCTATGACTTTGCGATTGTTTTTACTTTTGTTAGCTTTTTTTTTTAAATTTGTTTCTTCCTTCTTTCTGCTCTCTGTTTACGTCTATGCTTCGCCGTCAAACTAGCTGTCAAAACGACATCGCGATACGGATTTGTCAAAACAGCCTTAGGGTGGGTTGCACCATCTTAGTTTAACTTTGACAAACGTCTAAAATCTGTCAAACTCCATACAAAAAACACCGGTTAACGTCATAGTTACGGTCAAAGTTAGGTGGTGCAACTCACCCTATTGGTTTTCGATCGAATCGAAGCTTATCACCGGGGTTTTAGTAATCGCAATGAAAATGGTGCGTGTTGCGATTCGATTCGATTTTGATTAAGTCTTAAATGCATGTTGGCTAAGCCTTTGTATGGGAAATTTCAATCCAGTCTTTCGATTATCGATAGGTAGGGCTTTGCGATTCGATTTTTTGCCGTTTGACTAAGCCTTTTTTGCTATCGACCTCTTTTGCGATTTGTTTATTTGTTTGCGACTGGTTTGCGATGGGTTTGCGATTTTAAAGTGCGTTTTGACTAGACCCGCAGATTTACTTTAAATGTCACCCCTTCCGTGCTGCTCTCATCCCCATACCTCAGGTACTGACTGAGTAAGGAGATAGACCTGCAGTAAGCTTATTATTGTGTGAAGTGGGCCTACTGATATCCATCATAATGTTCCCGAAGGATTCGCAATGGTCTGGAACGAGTATAGAGGTCAAACGTTAGTTATTTCTGAATGGGTGTGCTGTAATGGCGCTCGCGTGAAATTGAAATCTCTAGGGGTGGTATTTTGCAACGTTTGTTTATGGGAGTTTTAAAATAACAGCGCTCAATTGAGTAGGTTGAATCTAAGGGCAAAGAATACTATTTCATTTAATGCAATTGAATGAAAACAAACTATTTATTTAGCACTAAATAAATATAAGTTACACTATTTTTTACCTTTAGCATTTAAAAAAGAGAAAATTTGCGAAAATGGACACCTGCTCATTATAGCCTGGCCACTCTGAGAGCATTATGACTTTTTCTTCCAGATAAATACATTTAGTCAACTCCTAAACTAAGCAAAATCGTAGAACATACATGGGGGATAGACAACTGCCCGGCCACTTTGTATTAGTAGCCCTTTTTCTTTAAGGTACCTACTTTTAGGCAAGGGAAGTTCACACCATGCAAGCCCTTTTCACACGTCCCAAATAAAGCTTGCCCTACCACTTTTCAGAACTTTCGCATTCTATTTCAACTAAAATCGTAAAGACACGGGTCTTAACGCGACGTTTATTAATGAGTTACATTATGTACTCACGGCTTGACGTTTCGGCTGCGATGCTGCAGCCGTGGTCACAAGCAGACTGGCGGCTTTAACTTAAAGACTGGTGCTGAAAAGAAGTGACGGATGAAACTCACTATCATTTAATACTTTCCTGTTTTATTACAGTACATAGCATCCTTCGACGAAGAAGGCGACCAGACGCCCGGCTGGAGACGGGTCGGCCCCGAGGGTCTGGTGAACCTTGAGAAGGTGTACCGGACTCAAGCAGTCATGGACCACATCGCCTCCTTCCACCAGCACCACTACGCGTTGGCCAGGAATAACAACCCCGTTTTTGGAGAATACTTGAGGTGATCATTCGACTTATTGAAAAAGTGGATTATAGCCTTATGGTAATCTCTATTTCATTATCCCTAATAGGGATAGGGATTCCCTATAATATATCTGAAATTTTGGTCCTTCAAGCCGGATAATCACTTAATCTCCTTAATTCTGTAACCTGACAAAATGCTGTGGTTTCGAACGAGTAGAGTAGGACCACTTCCACTCTTCCCGTTATTGAATGACTACTAAAGTGCGTCAAAACACAATAATACAGCATCCAATCATAAATTCTAAACTACTTCGTTCAAAACACCTAATTCTCTATGGTTTCTACAGAGTAGAATAAATGGGACTCCTACTCTGTCCGTGGAGGTCGTAGACTAAGAAACAAATATGGTCCTTCGGGCCGGATAAGCACTTATTATCCTTGTCCCTACAGACAGACCTAGTAGTACTAGACTAATATACGTCTGCTGAAATTTCCTGAGAACTAATAGGTAGCATCCCCATTATACTTGGCATGGTCCTTCGAGCCGGATAATCACTTTTAATGACCTTAACTATAAAAGGAACTGTCTCTTCTTACCAAAAGGAAGGGAAGGAATATTGAAGTCCCTAAGTCTCCTTTTACGATATCCACGGGAAGAGTTGGTAGTCTTACTCCACTCTGCCGGAACTACACGTCTAATAAATTTTGTTTTCTTTCTATTATAGTCTGAAGCCGTACCGTCTTTTTCAGAGCAGCACTGTCTTCATGTGACGAGCCGGTCTTCTCCCAGTCTTCCCAGAAGACCAGCGGCTGCGACTTCGAGAACGAGGCCCTGTATGAGCTGGAGGGCGGAGGGTACTGCCCTGTGCAACCCCTGCCCCACGACCATGGAGTGACGATGTTCCCTCTGGCACCACAGAACGGGGAAAGGATTGATAGGCATATACTACAAGTAAGTATATATAGACAGACTTGACTTACATGACTTATGGTCCTATGACCCCTAGATGGCGCAAAAGCGCAATTGCACGTTTTATAAATAACTCCCACTCATCTGACTTGGGGAGTGTAGACCAAATTTTCCAATAGAGGATCCAGAGAGGATCGTCCTCCTGCAGTAGAGACTAAATTACCTGATGTACTGATGATGAATCTATATAGAAGCGAAAGATCGCTGATTCACTCACTCATCACGAAATCTCAGAAACTACAAGTGCTAGGGGTTTCAAATTTTGCATAGGGGTTCCTTTTAGAACGTAGGTGCTCACTAAGACTGGATTTTGCAAAATTCATCTCCTAAGGGGTAAAACGGGGTCCACGCGCACGAAGTCGCGGGCGGTAGTACTTGATAAAACCAAACTAGGTCCACTTTCCGCAGCGATTAATTCCGCACGACATATAGTCATAATAACCTATACATATAGTAGAAGACATCCTAACAGGCTTAAATTTCCGGCTATAAAGTCTACCCTTTACAGTAAAAACTGTTTTATAATGGCCATTAAAGTTTTCAATAAAATTCCAGACTCTATCACTGACTTGCATGTAAACCAATTTAAAAAATGTCTTTATGAATGGTTAGTTGATAAATGTTTTTATACTGTCAAATAATTTCTGAGTGATTGATTTGTGTACCTATAATGACTTCAATTTTTAATTAATTTATTATTGTTATTAATATGTAGATTCTAATTTTGTAAAATTTGCATGCCTACCCTGGACAAAACATGTTGGACTTGACATTTTCTATCGACCATTTTGTTACCATGTTTCTGAGCAAATAAATGATTTATTTATTTATTTATTTAAATAGCTGTCAAATAAAATATTATATTCTGTTCTGCTTCTCCACAGATAATGCAGCACGGCACGGCGTGCGTGGTGGGGGAGGCGGAATGGGGAGGAGCATTGGCACAGCTGAGGCTAGAGCGAGCGTGCGCACTGCTCGCCTGGTGCAGGACCGCGCACAAGCCTCACACGCAACACGGTAAGTAATGGAAATGCTATTTATGGTAATAAATAAAGGAATTGCCACACTGGATGCGTTCAGCGGTCAGGTCAAAATGAACGCAGCACGCGTCATGAACAACATTGTCGATCAGGGGTCAGCGGTCCAGGAAAAATAATCTGTCAACGATCATGACACGGTCAGGGAGCTTAGTTTGAGTTTACATCAAACGTATAGATGAACTACAACGAACTGTCCCACCCGTGACATTGACAGGAGGGCGCCACCGTCAATACCGGATCGCTGGTTCCAATTTTTCCCACGTTAGAAATACGTTAGGCCAATCCCAGACGACGTGACTAAGTTTTAAAAAACCCTGTTGACATTTCCGGGTTCTGGGCTCCAAAATCCTGGACTCAAAAAGTGACCTGATACTTATTATTGTTTATTACAGGAGAACCTCTATCAGAAAACGTGCAGCAGCCAGAAGTGAGCCTCTCCTACAATCCAGAAGAGGTGATACCACTGAAGTACACGGCCAATCTCGCACACGAGAATGAAGCGGGGGTGGTGGGGGAGGAAGGGTAAGTACTTGACTTTACCACTGTGTTACTTTACCACTGAGTTATTTTATCAAAACTACTATGTTACTCCAGTGCTGTGTTACATGACAACTGTGTAACTTTAATACTGTGTTACTTTACCAATGAGTTATTTTACCAAAACCACTATGTTATTCTAGCGCTGTATTACATGACCACTGTGTGACTTTACCACTGTGTGACTTTACCACTGTGTTACTTGACGACTATGTAACTTGATCACTGTGTGCGAAACCACTGTTACTGGACCACTGTGCTACTTTACTACTGTGTGACAAAACCACTTTGTTGCTGGACTACTTTGTAACTTAATCACTGTGACGTACCTTTACCATATCGTTACTTTCACACTGTGTTACTTGACTACTGTGATAGACCACACTGCCACACATGACGCGACCATTTCAAACCGGTTTCAAACTGGTCGCGTCATGTGTGGTCTATCAACGTGACTTGACTACTGCCTGACTTAGATACTGTGTGACTTGACCACTGTGTAGCTTGACCACTTTGTTACTTTACCACTGTGTTACTTGACCATTGCGTGACTTCACGACTGAGTGACTTGGGTCCTGTACGACTTAACAAGTGACATGAGCGCTGTGCTACTTTATTGTGCACTGCGTGAGTTTACCATTCCAGCATGATTTGACCACTGTCCGACCCGACGTGACTACTGTTTGACTTAACGTAAGTGTAACTTAACAACTGTGTTACTAGATCACTATGTTACTTGACCATTAATTAAGACCACTACTTGACTTCACCACTAGGAAATTTACTGCGCGATTCCTTCAGCCAATTTTCTCAATTCCCTTCCAGCTTCATCGACCTCCAGTGCGTGAAGGACATGCGATTAGGCGGGAAGCTGTTAGAGCCACGGGACATCGCAGAGCTGACCGCAGCAGCCAGGAAGCACGGCTTGGAGTGTTCCCACAGTCCTCACATCATATCCCTGGTGTACGGCAGGACGCTGAGCGACAATAGGACTGTACATTTTGTGCTGCCTTCGTATTCTTACAAGTAAGCATAGGATATTCATAGACATCAACACAGAAACGGATTGTAGCCGTATCAACTCTAGGCGATCAGAGGGTGTGAGTTGACATCAAACATCGCACACTCTCTGACAAGCGCCTCAAAAAAAATGTGTGAAGATTTTAGTTCTTGAAAGTTTCCGCTAGGGGCGCTGTACAATCCGTCATACATTTAATGTCACTTTTTTACGCAGTCGACATCGAATGCGTTTGACGTAAGCTCACACTACACCCCCAGTATTATTTGTATTAAACTCCGTACTGCAACGGACAGTTATTCGCATCATCATCATCATCGTCATCAACAGCCCTTTACAATCCACTGCTGAACTATGAGCCTCCTCCAGTATAGTGGAGGGTTTTGCCATAATCCCCACGCTTGGCAGGCGGGTTTAAAAGATTGATGTTTTTCAGAGAGCGCTGCTGCCCGTTCTCTGTTTGATGTGTAGTCCCTAAGTCGCCTCCACCCGTGGGAAGAGTAAGGGTTGGTGGGTGACAAATGTAAATTCTACTCTGCCGTCACCACACGGCACAGTTATCCGCACTGTAACCATACGCTTCCCCTCTCGCCACGAAAGGCGATACGGTGTTGATCCCTTTCCGAGTTGATAAGTGTGCTATGACCTTAATAGATTTTTGTTTCTTTCTTTTTGTGTGCTATCTCAAAAGGCGGACCGGGCGATGTGGAAATCATTGGGGGAGGCCTATGTTCAGCAGTGGACGTCCTGTGGTTGAAATGATGATGATGATGATGTTAGAATAGGGCAACCCCATCTTCCCTTGGATGTCGTAAGATGCGTCTAAAACAATTATTTTTTTGGACAGAAGACCTTATTAAAGGTGCTAAATGCATCTACCAACGACCAATCAGGGAATCATTGAGGGAGGCCTAATGTTCAGCAGTGGACGTCCTGTGGCTGAAATGATGATGATGCATGTTTGTGTTTGTCTCGGTTTGATCATTTAAACTATTAATCATCATCATCTCAACCATCAATCATGTCTTCCTGTTATCTTTACGATGTCGTCGGTCCACCTTGTGGGTGGACGTCTCACGCTGCGTTTTCCGGTACGTGGCCTCCACTCCAAAATTTTGCTGCCCCATCGGCCGTCAGTTCTGCGTACTATGTGCCCTGCCCATTTCCACTTCAGCTTGCTGATCCGTTGAGCTATGTCAGCGACTTAAGTTCATTTACGGATCTCCTCAATTCTGAAAGAAACACCGACATTTAAACTTATTTATTTATTTTTATTAGAGTCTGGGCAGTGGGCCTCCACTCCGTGATCAAGGCGCTCATGAGCCAAGCCAAGCTGGCTGACCGGAGCTTGGCGTGGCTAAAGAACAAATACACAGCACTGTACTACGAGGATGGATGCTGCTGCGAACCACTGGTCTCGGATGCTATCAGGGTATGTGTGAGTGTACCTACTATCATATTTAAGATTAAATAACTAAGTAAAGTTTTTATGAGTCCGTATTTTTTTATTTCTTGCTAGCTAGTATACCTTGTTTGAAAGTTAGCAGGCCAAACCATAAAGATAATATATGTACCTAGCAGAATAGAGCAACAAAGGACTGATCGAGCGAGATGTCACTAGCAGCAACACTGTGTGATAAAAAGAAATGCGTAATGCGACGGGACAGAACCTTAACCGTTGTTTGCAACTTTTTGACAGTTCGTAGCACTCATTGGCACGCTGAAAAGAGGTCTGATTTTGGTGAAATCGTGGATGTTTTTGAGAAATGTGCTTCAGAAACGTGGTGACTGGTTCAGTGATTGATTATTGTATAAAACAGTTAAATAAACCAGTGGGTCTAGACAAAGTGCAAATTATAATCGCAAACCAGTCGCAAAGTGGTCGAAAAGCCCCTTTTTTGTATGGAGTTTTGACGGATTCGATTTTCGATTCGATCAAAAAGTGCGTTTTGTCTAGGGGGGCTGAAAACTGACAAATGACATCCAGTGACATCCTAAAATCGGTTTCGTTTGACAGCTCGTGGTTGTTGCTCTACGAACACTATGACATAGTTGCACTGAGTATGTAGTATTACTTTACTACATACTCAGTGCAACTATGTAGGCAGGCTTAGTTTAGTGTGGGGCAATGTATTTTTTGATTATTATTAATTTATTTAACTGGACATAATGTCCAAGGAAGGATTATATTTATTTATTTAACCTTCCCAGGTATTCGGCGGCCGGGAGTCTGTATCCGGTAGCTCATCACACTCTACACCAGTGAAGGGGGTCTTCACTGACTCACATTCAGACTCTATTAGAAGCGCAGGGATCAAGTTCAAGGTATAATTATTATTGATAAAAGATCACTAAAGAAAAATATTTCGTTCGTTTTGAACAAAAAAAACAGGCCAGTGCTGGACAAAATACTCCAAGAGCGGTTTCACAATGCGTCCGTTCCGAATCCATAAAAATATGGCCCGTGGTATAGTCTGGTCTGCGAGCACGTAGAATTTTGTCCAATGACCCCAAGCTAATCAGCCTTATCGCTCGCGCGTAATTATATTGCGCAGTGAGTGTGCGAGCACAGACCGGGCTTTAGTTATAGAACTAATAATAAGTTGTAGGGTAGTTTGTTTACACTAGGACCTAAGTAAGTAAACTCCAATTTTCGTCATGGCTTCTTTAGTTACTTTTCTAGATTCTAGTTGACGTATTCGGATCGGATGCAGTGCAAAACCACTCTGAGGATTTGACTGACCGGTCCAGACGCTTTCCGCGACCTTCACTAGATCATCAGTGCACCGAGTAGAAAATCTTCAGGTCTGTGGTCGCCACTCGAGAACTTTTCTGCCCCAACGGCCATCAGCTCTACGAACTACCTCTACAGGCCCCGCCCACTGCCATTTTTTAATGATTCTGTCTACGCTCTGCCCGGAGAATCGCCAAACTACCTACTACTACTACTTTGCCAGAATGTAGAAGCCTGGATGTGGGCAGCGCAGGACCAGTCGTGCAAATCCTTGGGGGAGGCCTTTGTTCTGCACTGGACGTCTGCTTGAAGCGATAACAAATAATAAACGTTTCTTTCCAGAAAAATAAGTCGACTTCAGAGTTAAAGACAAGCTCTCCCAAAAGCTACGGGTCCACACACACGTCGGGGACACGGAGCGAAGATGAGGTCATTCAGGGATCACCAAGACACAGGTAAAAACCCTTAAATTCTTGGCATCTTTACTAGTAAACTCAAGTGCCTGTATGCCTGCCATTCCAGCCTGGTTTCCATCAAAGCGAGATATGTGTGAATAACCAATCAGATTTCCACACTGAAACTGAGTGGAGAGGAGATACGGGACTATTCCCACCTCTCGTTCCACCGCTGCAACTCCTGTGTAGCCAGTATCTACAGCTTGACCGCCAATAAAAACGCAACCTGTGTTATCAAGTTGTCTAAGTATGTGTCGCAATTTATTACACCGATCTTGTCGCGACAAGGAAAATTGTCCGTGCTTTTAAGCGATTTTGTGAAAAATATTATTGGCAGGTAGTTGCTAATTGCTCATAAGATAGGCCCCCTTAATTTAATTTATTGTCCGTGGTGCATAATCTTTTTCTTAAAGGTTTTAAACCTTTGTTTGTCACCTGTCATCCGCTTTGCAATGGAGGGAAGTCGAACCTTAATTTCGAACTCCTCCTATGTTCTTCTGATTAATTTCGTTGCGGGTCCAATGACAGTTTAACTTTCCCCGGGACAAACTTGACCTTCATTGGTTGTGTTTTTGTGGCGGTCAAGCTGTAGATCCTGGCTACACAGGAGTTGCAGTGGTGGGCACGAGAGGTGGGAATAGTCCCGTTTATCAAGTTGTCTGTGTCAATTTTGTCCCGGGATAAATAAACTGTTATCACACCCAACGAAATTAATCAGAAGAACATAGAAGTTCCTGGGTGTTCCGCGTGCAAACAAAGCGAACTCTTCGGCTTTACTCTTTATGTTTGTTTTCTCTTTCTCTATTGCGCCCCCCTGCTGCGTTCTCCCTGCTGCCGGACTTGTTGTATCCTTTCTCCTCTTGTATATCCGTCAACAGGGGTAAGTACGCCGTGACAACAGAGGGCCCCCGCTGAAAATCAGTTTCAAGACAAGCCCTGGCGGGCTTGATGTACGCTGAGCGGGTGCCTTTTTGTCAGAGGGGCACAAGCAGTTAACTGTCCACTTTTTTATTTCACTCTGTTTGTATCTATGTCTTGCCTGCTTGAATACCTTTCCTTCAAATGAAAAGTTTTCTATTCTATTTTTTATAATATTAGTAAAGATTCTCTTTGTCCAGCTCGTACTCGGCGTCGTCGAGTCACCACCACCCGGTCGGGCCCCGGCACAGCAGCCTCACAGCAGCCGCCACCAGTATCATCGCTGGCTCTCCTAACAGGAGCAGGTAAATCTTACTTTTATTTATTTATGCTAGCTGAAAATTATTTAGCATTCTAATGGTCAAAGACCACGAGGAGCAAACCTCTATAAAAACTACTGGAAAAGGGGAATGCCCCACGAAATCAATGAGGCTCGCTTGAGAGTGACGGAGCAAGTTTGACCAATAAAAAAAATCGCGGCTCCGTTTCATTGGGCTCCGAAGGTCGCCGTCGTTTTTGTGGGTAGACCCTGTCCTTCTGGCTGGGGGTAAGGTCTACCTTTATTTATTTATGCTAGTTTATCCCGAAAGTATTCCTCGAAGCTATAGACATAGCCCGCAGAATTGCCAAACTTAGACCCAAAGTACACGATGCGTTTCGGTGCCTCAACGCAAAAGTTTCGTCGTATAGCGCAGCGCGACGCCGCACCGCTCGTGTGCCCGCCACAGAGATTTCTATGTAAGACGACGCAACGACACCGCTCTGGCGTCGCACCGCCGCCGCAACGCACGGGCGAATAGGGGTACATAGCTCGCAGAACTGATGGCCGGTGGGGCATAAAGCTCTCAAGTGGCGAAACGTAGTGTGGGCAGGTCTTCTAAGTCCTACTAAGTGGACCACGATCTGATGAAGGTTGTGGGAAATAGGTGCGGGTAGCGTAAGACGGTCGTTTGTGAAAATCCTTGGGGAATGCATTTGTCCAGCAGTGGACGGCATTTGGCTGAAACCAGGCCTGTTCATCTCCGCGAGTGTACATCGAAAACAAAACACGCACGATGGCCCACCTACAGGACACTATTCGACAAGGCCTCACATACGAGCGAACATTGACTCACGCACGCGTATTCTTGTGTATGATGGAAGAAAATAAAGAAAATGGTGTACTAAATACTGTGCAGTATTTAACTGCCTAAATAATAATAAAAACACAGAATGTAATTTTCTAAGTTGCCTCAAGACACTGAGAGGTAAATAAGTAGTTAATATTATTTATGATCATTCATGCTAAATCATGGACCTATAAAAAAAGTCGGACGGATTCTCATCAACAAAATACTGTGACATTAGGATACACCAGCTTGCCTGTACGTACAGGCCGGCACGCACACATTCACACCCTGATACATCACTTCGAGTGCAAACTTCACACAGTTGACACATTTAAGCAACGAAAAAACAACACGAATACGACATGTCTTGTGTGATGAAATTGTGTAAAAATCGTTCTGTTCAAACAAACAAAAATTAAGGAATCACATTTCACAGGCAAAATAATAATCCCATCACTTATTTCCCGACATTAAAATATTGAAATTAATTGAAATCAAACGTCATTCACTCGAAAAAATAATACGTCAAAGACCAGTGTTCTCAGTTATTTACGTGGGAAAATTACCCGAAATATGGGAAATTAATAATAATTTTAGGACTTTTTAGTTATTTATTACGCATACTATGGAAATAAAATAATTTATCATAATAATTGTGTTTTAATGGGATATATTTTCATAGGCAAATTTGATCCTTCCCAAAAATGTGGAACTGCGAAATTCAAATTTTCTTACATTGATTGCAAGTCAGTGTCAGGTTGTATGTTAAAAAAAATCTATCAGAGATAATAATACATAATATATTGATGATGCATAAGATTATGATTATAATGTACACAAGATTCGTAATTTGTAACTGCGTGAATCATTTTTGATCAAGATTATGTACATACCCTGACACACTGACTTGCAAACAATGTAAGAAAATTTGAACATTGAAAATTTCGCGCCTACCTCAACGCATTCCCCTTTCATCCTTTTAAAATGGCTTGGAATAATTCTGTCTACATTTCCAAGTAACATCTGCCGATCTATGTTTTTCTTAAAATAAATGGGTAAAATGATTTGGCTAACATGGCATCCCTAAATTCACTCACACAATAGACAAACGCCAAAATTTTGCGTCACAGTTTTGTTGTAGCGCGAGTTCCGTCCGCCTTTTTTTATAGGTCCATGTGCTAAATCATGTATTTCCTCCGCCATTTTCCGCAGTTTGGCACCTCACGTCACAACATTTTACCGAAGTCAGCCCTATAGCTTCGGCGCAGTGCCGATCACTGACGTTTGTCAACAGAATGGTGCTTGACTCTTGAGACAGGTTTAAATTACACCATATTGTTAATGACATTGAGCATACATTTTTTTAAATACCTTCGCGAAGTAAAACTTCTGTACGTAGTACTTATTATTATTCTGTGCTGAAACGACGATTCCTTTGCAAGTTCCGGAAACTTCTAAAAAGGAAAGGAGAAATGTTTGAGATTTTATTTCGCTACAAACCTGTAGCGATTTTTTCAACGAAAAAGATTCGTACATTCATCAACAATAATAAAATTCCAGATAAATTGTAAATTTTAATTTAGTTAACTTTGTATTAAATCATATTTTTTTATGTTAAATTAAAAATTGAGTAAGTAAAATATTATTTTACAACACGCCTACCTAAATCAGTGAAGATAATAATATTTTAGGACACCGTGTATAAAAATAACAAAGCAAAATTTCGGATGACCTTGACCTAATTATGCAATGACCTGTAACGTCTGTCCCGTGACCTTTACAACGCATGGTCACCCTCGTGGATAATTAGCCAAATTTAGGACAACGTGTGCTTATAATTACCGCAACTTAAATAGGTATTAACTTTAACCTATCGTGTGTAATAAAATGAGGACACATTAAAGGTTGATTTTACCCGACTGCGCCTGAAAGGGTTATGTTTTTAACACTTGCTCATTGAATTGAATTTACTTTTCATAAGTTAATAACTTAAAAGAAGATGATCACGCTCAAGGTAAAAAATCTCAATTTAGAACAGAGTCCCTGATAGCCTATCAGGAACTTATCTGTCAGATAACACATAGATTTTGATCAAGTCAAAAAGACTTGCCCCCCTAGGCCAGAAGCTAGGTATGACTTTACCTTACTAAGTATTTAGGCAAGCAGTTAATACAATGTGGACCCAACTTTTGGAAGGAGGCAGATTTAAACAAATTGCGTATGGTGAAAATGTCATTTGGACCAATATTGGACCGATTGTAAAAAAAAATTCACCATTATAATCCTATATTATTTGTGATGAACATAGACGGTACAAAGTTGCCGGGTCAGCTAGTTCTTTTATATAACACTATACTTAGTTGAAATATTCTTTTTTGTTACAGTTTAAGAAGACTAGAGACCAGTGAGCGATTCTGGGAGAACTTGAAACACTTGCGGACGGGTTCCGTAGGCTACGACACCCAACTAGACTTTATGGACTTCGTGGCCTTATTTAGGAGTTTTAGGTAAGTCAGAAAAGTCATATCATTTCTGAAGAAGTGCATGAAAGTCAGTCTATGATCATCGGAGTGGAGACCCACTGCACGAATACGACTCTCTCCAAATAGGTACCAGATTAATCAGAGGGCAAATGGAGGTTTTCTCCTACACTCCCCATGCTAACCAGACCAGGTTGGAAGGCGTGCTTATGTCCCTCAGTCGCCTCTTACGACATCCATGGTGAGGCCAGCCTCTGGCGAATTAGATATTGTCTGTCGTACTCCTGCAGTAAAGACTAAATTACCTGATAATGAATTCAAATTCAAATAATTTATTCAGTACATTAGGCATTTTCCAAGGCACTTATACACGTCCCAAATATAGCTGGCCCTACCGCCACTTTGGGATAACATATGGGCTGGTGCTGAGAAGAAGTGGCGGAAGAAACTCAGTCACCTTGGTCAGCTTCTTTTTCAATCAAATACAGCAATTTATAACTTACATGACACATAATGATGATGATTACTACCACCACCATTTAAAGTTCTAAGCTAGAATCAGAGTGTAAAATGAGTAAGTAATATTTTTATCTATTTCTTCTTCTCTTTCCAGTTTAGTAATGCGGTCAGAGCTGAGAGACGTGTTCGAGCAACTAGCCGTGCCAAGGAACAGGTCGCCTCTGCTATGCGCTGAGAAGAGCAGAAGTTCACCCGAGCTGTTCAGGAGTAGAGCCATCTTCAGGACTGGTGAGTGGAGTCTGACATCATCAGGTGATATGGGAGTAAGCCCGCCTCTCTTTCCCACCAATGCAACCACTCCAGTGCCGTCGTGAATCTACTAGGGGCCCTAGGCACATAATGATCAAGGGAGGCCCTTCTCATCTGGAGAAAGATCCTTTATGAGAACAGACGGGGGTCTCCTCGATCGCAGGGCCCTGAGCACGTGCCCTGAGTGCCCAGTGGGAAAAAGGGGCCTGACTGCAACTCCAGTATAGGCAGTATCTACAGTTTAGCATCCAATGAAAATCAAGCAGTGAAGGTTGAGGAGTTCCGAGGATAGCTTACTGTCTTCGAACCCGTGACAAAAATCAGAAGAATGTAGGATGTTCCAAATATTATAATATCAGCAGTGATTGCATCAGGTAGACCTGTTTGACAGGGAAGCTCTTGGCCTGTATCTTAGCTGATGGAAGTGATGATCAGCTCAAAGGTAAAAGTTAGCTTCTCTTGAAATCTTAAACCATGGAACTAGTTATGTTAAATCCAACTGCCAGATCTATACTACTACTCATGCATTTCCACGAAAACTTATGGTCAAATACCTACTTAATCCAGCATTATTATTGCCTACTATTTTAAAATTGAGTTCATCTTACAGGTCTACTGACAAGGAATGGGTCTTTAGACCTAGAACCACCGAGCGACAAGGCTGGCAGGAAGAAAGCATTCGACCTTCTAGCTGCCGCTGCCTTACCAGGTAAAAAGCCACATTCCAATAAGTTAAAAAGTATTCAGGTTTGAGGGATGACAGAAGTGCATTTAATTAGAGTAACTATGTACCTTAGAATAGTTTAGAGCAGTTGATACAGTCACAGAATAATAAGTATTTAGGTACTTCGATACAGTCTCAATCACTGGCGAGTGGCTTAAACCTTATTCTACAGTGGCGCCAATTGAAGGGAAATGCAGTACGGAAATAATTGCATAATTGTGATATTTTTATGAGCTTTAAAAAGCTTTCTATGATTTTACGTCACTTCTAAGTTTCTAGATGAAAAATCTGACTGAATGAAGTAATTTGTAAAATAAACGAAAACAATCCAAGCTTTTCGTGCGTAATCTAAAATCGATCGTTTCTTTTGTAATTAAGTTAACTGCGCACCTCGCGCCATCCGTATCAGAACGTCGATGTGACGTCACGGCTGCCAGTGGCGCAGTTAACTTAACCGGCTTTAACTTTCAGCTCCCCTTTTATAGTTTTCTAATCTATGTATTATTGTAGGTGCGTGCCCAGACGTGAGTGGTAGAGTGTTGTCTTTGCCCACGCTTGGGAAGTTCTGCGAGACGAGACAAAACGAGCCAAAGACTGAAGAGCAACTGAGAGACATTATTCAGGTGAGCGAAACCAGCTGCCGACAAAGCTGCAAAAGAAGCGGCCTCTCAAAGGACGGCCACCAGTGTGAACGAGTTCCCAATTTCGTTTGCAAAGTACATCATCAGGAAGCGTCCGCAAGCCAAATGGCAAGAAGAATATGCCAGTGCCGCTATACACTCCAACATATTCCGATGGTTTACAACAGTGGGCGAGATTGCGGAGTTCCGTAAGCATGTGGGACCGTCCTTTAAAAGCTCGCAGATTTTTACTGGCCACGGTTTTCACAAATCCTACCTACACCGCTTCAAGATCATAGACAACCCCTACTGCCCCTGCGATGACTCCAGCTTACAGGATATTGACCATCTCATGCGAGACTGCCCAATATTTAGCAGACTCCAGCATGAGCACGAGATGACATGCAACAATTTACGGATTGACCCCTATAAACCACAACAAATCATAACAAAATCCCAACCAATCGTCACGTTCATAGCCCTCATTACTTAACTCAATAGTCCATCAACTCAAGGGGATCAACAAAACATAGCTTGCAAGCTACGTATTGTTGGATCTCTCTCTCTTTTCACGTTTGGTAGCAGACTGTATCCATTAGCAGACTGCAACTAAACGCCCTTGGAGCTCAGAACTTTCGAAGTTCAATAAAAACTGTGAGCACATTAAAAAGTGCCGAAGACAAAAATATATATATATATCTAGGTTTTATAGCATCATCAGGTCATTTAGTCTCCACTGCAGGAGCCCGACCCTCTAGTTGACCAGAGGCAAATGGAGGATTTGGCCTACACTCCCCACGCTGGCCAGACGGGTTGGGGAGGCCTGATGCTCGCGTATTTTGTCCCTTAGTCGCCTTTTACGACATCCAAGGGAAGCGTGGTGGAAGGTTTTCTACTATGCCTAAACCAACGGTTTTTTAAAACAATTTAGAGCAGTGTTTTTCAACCTGTGGGGTTTTCCAACCCTCTATAGGGGGGTCGCGAGAGGTCGTAAAAACTACCTCAGTGAAAAAAACAGTAAAGGTTTAAAGCTAGATCTACCTATCCGAAATCTAATTATGCAAATGCATAAATGTTGTATAGATTGAAGAAATTGGTGCCTACATCTTCGTAAAATGCATGAAAAAAGCGAAAAATTTTTCATGCTAGGTCGCGTCATGACAAAGGTTGAAAAACACTGATTTAGAATGATTAAAAATTAGGTAACTTTACCACTTTGGAACTAACCTGCGAAATTTTTTAAACCAAAATAAAGAAAGTAAGAAAAGTTTTATGTCGTCGGTCGTTGTGGAAATCTTTGGGGGAGGCCTTTGTCCAGCAGTGGACATCATTTGGCTGAAACGAACGAACGAAATTAAATAAACTTAACATTTTTCTGTCTTCTTTCTGACACTACTACATGTCGTATTGTTTAGCAATTCTGGTAGATTCATCATCATCATCATCTCAGCCACAGGACGTCCACTGCTGAACATAGGCCTCCCCCAATGACTTCCACATCGCCCGGTTGGTAGCGGCCTGCATCCAGCGCCTTCCTGTTACCTTTACGAGGGCTGCACTAAAAGTATCGGGAATGGAATATTTCCACTGTTCCAGTCATATTAAAATCTATTTAATTGCAAAGTCCAGGGTTTTAAAAATCGTATACCATTTATTTATTTAAAAAAAGATTCTCGGTCGTATCACAAGGTCTTGTCAAACTTGTTTAGTCGTTGAGAAAATGGAATTGACTCGAGAAAATTCAAGAGCGATGATTTATTATGACTTTTGAAGTGGTTTAACACAAAAACAGTGTGTTGACCGGATGATTTCTGCATTTGGTAATGAAGCCCCATCCAAAACCACAATTTATCGCTGGTTTCCTGAATTTCAACGTGGACGTGTCAAGCTCAGTGATGATCCCCGTCAAGGTCGTCCAAAAACTGCAGTCACCTAAGAAAACGTTGATGCTGTGCGTAAGCTGATTGAAGAAGATCGACATGTGATATACCGCGAAATTCAGGCAACTTTAGACATTGGCATGAGTCAAATACAAATAATCTTGCATGAACAATTAGGTGTAAAAAAGTTGTTTTCCCGATGGATACCGCATTCGCTCTGTGAAGAGCAAAAAGCGGCTCGCGTTACTTGGTGCGTCAGAACTCTCGGGAGATTACATGCAGGATCCTCAAATGCTGTATACAACATCGTATCAGGTGACGAATCATGGATATACGCGTACGAACCCGAAACAAAAAACCAGTCACGAGTTTGGGTGTTCGAAAATGAATTAAAGCCAACAAAAATTGTTCGTTCACGGAGTGTTGCAAAAAAAATGGTGGCCACGTTTGTCTCCAAAACCGGCCATGTTGCGACTATTCCTCTTGGGGGACAAAGAACGGTTAATGCAGATTAGTATGCTAGCATTTGTTTGCCACAGGTCGTTTCTGAACTCCGTAAAGAGAACTGCAACCGCCGCATCATCCTCCATCACGACAATGCGAGTTCTCACACCGCGCACTGAACAAAGGAGTTTTTAGAGCAAGAAAACATAGAATTATTAGTCCATCCGCCGTACAGCCTCGACCTAAGCCCTAATGATTTCTATACTTTCCCTTAAATAAAGAATAAATTGCGTGGTCAGAGATTTTCATCACCTGAAGAAGCTGTGGAAGCCTACAAAACGGCCATTTTGGAGACCCAAACTTCCGAATGCAATGGTTGCTTCAATGATTGGTTTCGTGTATGGAAAAATGTGTCAAATTTCGCGGAGAATACTTTAAAAAGCAATAAATACATTTTTAAATAGTAATGTTGTTTCACTTCCTTGATTCCCGAAATTTTCAGTGCCGCCCTCGTATGAGGCCGTCGGTCCACCTTGTGGTAGATTAGGTGTCTAAGATTCTAAGAAACCCTTTAATTTTAGAGACACGAGCCAGACCCAGCCCTGAGGGCGGACCAGTGCCTCTCTTTCGAGGGCTTCGTCAGGTTCCTGACTGATAAAGACAACTACGCGTTCGTTCCTGAGCAGAGGAGAGCGAACAACTATGTTAGGTGAGATATTATAATTATTTCCACTTCAAAAACTATAGGTCTAGCTTACTCAGTCAGTGCCTAAGTCTGTCACTCACTTTTGTACGCAGTCGATATGACCCTACTCTGATGATGATGATCCATCCGACCGATTTCGGCCATGGCGACCACTCCGAATCCTAGCTGTCTTGGCGGCGCTGGTGTGCCCGAAGATGGCTTACGTAGCCTATTTTCGCGGTAAAATCCCTCGCGCATTGAGGGCATCTGAGCACGCCGCCAACATAGTTATAGTGAATGGCGGCAGATGGACGGGCCTTCAAGTCATCGCGCTTCGCGTCGAGTTCAGTCGTACGCTGCACCTCGAACTCGTGGACTTGCCTCTTCACAATCTCCCGCCATTCTGGACGCTGTGCTGCCAAACCTTCACACTGAGAGGGCTCAATGTTGCATCTTTTCATGTGCCGCTTCTGTACATCTTTGTACCTGAGGAGTTGACCGCCATGTTTCCGCGCCAGTGGCGCCATCCTGATGAGTGCAAATGCAATAAGTCCTCCTACCGCCTCAGCGCTCACTTGGCGCCCCTGTTTTAGCCACAAGCAAAGTTTCTTACAATTTTGTTTGTGTTATTTTGTCAACTACAGCGCCACTTCATATAGATACTCGTAAAAACAATTTCGGCCCCTGTTTCAATCGCAACAAGATTGCAAATCCCGAAAAATATGTATTATCATAATCGTTTATTGCTTCATTTATTTGTACATCGGTGGTGATCTTAAACTAAGTCTCAACTTATGACCCTCTATTCTCTTAAAGCCTTAAGTTTCACAAATAAACAAAGCAATTCAGTCCCTATTCCAATTGCAGCAAGATCGCAAACCCCGAGGAAGACGACGCCAACAAGGAGCTGTCAAAGCAGATGTCAGGTCCGCTCAGCCAATACTACATCGCTAGCAGTCATAACACCTACCTGACCGGCCATCAGCTGAAAGGAGAATCGTCTGTGGAACTGTATAGTCAGGTTAGTGGACTATTTGATATTTAACAAGACAGTGTAGACAAGGATAAACAATTGAGTGTGTAGACAATAAACAACTGAATTTTTAAAACAAATATAAACAAAGTAAAAAGCCACATACTTATCTGACCGGCCATCAGCTGAAAGGCGAGTCGTGGTGGAGCTGTATAGTCAGGTTAGTGGGAAAACAAGTGTAGACAAAAGTAAACAATTTAATGTTAAACAAGTGTAGACAATAAACAACTCAGTGTTAAAACAAATGTAGACAATACGTAAACAATACTTACCTGACCGGTCATCAGTTTAAAGGACAATCGTCTGTGGAGCTGTATAGCCAGGTTAGTGGACAATTTAATTTAAACAAGTGTAGACAATTAAAACGGTAAACAATTGTGTGTAAAAACAAATGTAGACAACGTTTAAAAAAAGTGAAATACGTAATTGATTGCATTACTCACTAGCAGTATTTAAAAAATCTACGAGTTTGCCTACGAGATGATACTATTTTTTATTTTATTTATTTAAAGACTTTATTGCACACACAACAATGTTCTGTACAAAAAGGCGAGCTTAATGCCATACGTCATTCTATACCAGCTGACCTTGAGCAAAACAGAGATATTTAGTAGGCGGTGCTAAAAAGCTACAAAAATGTACACAATATAATACATAAAATATTATAATATATATTTATACAAAATATATACATAAATACATACATATAATTTATATAAAATGGATGACGAGAGGTAAGGGAGGATAGGAGAGGATAAAGGAGAAAAGGAAAGAATAAGGGAGATCAAGACGACATGATGCGTTCAAGAAAATGTTTGCGCACAGAGTGTTTGAAAACAAACTTACTAGGAGCCTGCCTGATGTTCTCGGGAAGAGCGTTCCAAAGGCGAATGGAATTGAGGAGAAATGAATTAGAGAGGAAACCAGTGCGGTGGGAAGGAGTGGAGAGAAGGAGCGTGTTGGACGAACGAAGTTGACGTGCGTGCGTCGAACTCAGAAGTTTAAACTGTGTTTTCAAATAGGAAGGGGAGTTAGGGTCATTTAAGATGGTAAAAAGGGTGGTAAGGATTCTAACATTGCGCCGTGCAGGGACAGGTAGCCAATGGAGCTCAGACCGGTGGGAAGAGACATGGTCATATTTGCGAAGACAAAATATGAACCGGATGCAATTGTTCAGAAGGCGGTCCAGTTTGTTGAGGAGAACTTGATTAAGGTCCGGATAACACACATCAGCATAATCGATGACCGGAAGAATAAGAGCGTGGACAAGCGAAATTTTGGTTTTAACAGGGAGAAAATACTTCAATCTCCAAAGAGAGCGCAGTGTGCCGGTGACCCTTCGACTAACCTCGGAAACATGTGTCGTCCAGCTTAGAGTAGAATCGAGATATAGACCCAAATTTTTAACACTGGTACAGTATGGTATATCGACACCGTTATAGGCGATAGAAGCGACACCATCCAGATTTAAACGGCACAGTTGACGTTGGCTACCAATAATTATCGCCTGGCATTTGTTAGGGTTAACAGCGACGCCGTAACGATATGACCATACCCTGATATGCTCAAGGTCATCATTTATGCGTTGGACAGCCTGGTCAATTTCATCGAAGCGACAGTGCCGGTACAGTTGGAGGTCGTCGGCATACAGATGGTGAGATGAACCAATACCGAAGGTAATAGAATTGATAAAAATGGAGAAAAGAAGAGGAGAAAGTATACCACCCTGCGGAACACCAGTCACGAGGTCGCTCCAGTGGGAAATAATTTTATCTAAACGTACGGCCTGTTGGCGACCGCAGAGGTAGGAAGCGAACCAATTCATAACGACAGGTGACATATTGTAGCGGGATAACATGGAAAGGAGGACTTCATGGTCAACTGTGTTGAAGGCATTAGAGAAGTCGATGAGTACAAGAAGTGTTAGTTGGCCATGTTCCATTCCCATCCTAATGTCTTCCGTCACCTTGAGTAATGCGGTGCTGGTGCTGTGGCCGAGCCGGAAACCAGATTGGCAAGGACTGAGGAGGTTGTTTGTGAAGATGAGTTTTGACAGTTGGGAGTGGACAACCGCCTCAAGGATTTTTGACAGGAAAGGTAGTATGGAGAATTAAAAAAAATAGGTAATTTTGTCGTGTATGAATGGACTAAAACAAAGTTGTAGAGGCCAAAGTCAGCTAAAAATAACATAAACAACGTGCTTTTGCAAATATCTTTATTTTTAAATCTTAGCCTAAACTTAACCTAATAATTTGAAAGTATTTTCATGCGTAATATAGCAAGATTTTACACAAATTACATACAACGTCAAACAACGTTAGACAATGTCAAACAACGCTAGACAATGTCATACAGCTATAGACAATGTCAAACAACGTTAGACAATGTCAAACAAACACAGACAATTTGGTGTAACTTTAGTGCGTGTTCCTTCTATACCAAAACCTGGCTCTGTAGTCGTCACTGCATGTCAGGAACGCCGGTGCCGTACCGGAGTGGACTATAAACCTGGAAAAACAATAATAAATTAGTTCATTTGCCTTTAAGATTCACTACATAGTATAAAACAAAGTCGCATTCCGCTGTCTGTCCCTATAGGTACAATGCTTAGATCTTTAGAACTACGCAACGGATTCTGATACGGGTCTTTTTAACAGATAGTGATTCAAGAGGAAGGTTTTTATGTATACCTACTTAGCACCCGTGCGAAGCCGGGGCGGGTCGCTAGTATATTAATAAAGCCCAGACTCTACGCTTAGAATCTTTATCTTACGACATCCACGGAGAGTGGGGGTGGTCATATTCTATTCTACTATTAAAGGTACATAATACCAACCTATAGTTCCAAAATACTGAACTGTCTTATCCATGACATTGACAGTGGGGCGCCACCGTCAATACCGGATCGCTGGTTCCGATTTTTGTTGGAAACCATATAGTTGGACGATGGTAGCGCCCCCCTGTCATTGAGTTTGGTTCAGCGTGGATCATCTATAACAGCGCTGTTATGTCCCAATGACATCAGTTAACAACTGCTACAGAAATGGAAATCATTGGGCGAGGCCTATGTTCAGCAGTGGATTTTCTGTGGCTGAAATAATGATGATAAATACCAACCTGACAGCGCCATTGTGCCCCAAAGACATTAGTTGACACCTGCTGGCACTTCTAGAGTGCCACGTGCAAAGAGAAGTGGTCGCTTCGTCTGGGAACATCACATAGTCTTCCGTGTGGTTGAACACGGCTTGGGCGTGGTGCTCTTGCTTGCCTGGCGAGAAAAAACAGTATTTATAGATTATTAGCAATTTGTATTGCCCAAATTACTAATAGTCCCATTAGCCCCTCGTGTTAAGCTAAATAAGCTTGTGTTACGAGTGAGCTCACCACAATAGTCGAGCGGCGGTGGGATTCGAACTCGCGTTCCTCGGATCTCGAGTCGGCCACTCCGACCACTTCACCGTTCGGCTATCGTGGCTATACACTATTTAGAACTTTCTTGTACGCAATGTTTAGCAAAATGGCGAACATAATGCCATATTATGGCATATTTTTCCAATTTAAGTGATGACAAAATTGACACCATTATTGCAAAGACTAGCTAATCATATGACATTACCTTGAAATTTATTGATATTACTTTTGCCCGCGGTTTCGCCCGCGTGAAAAGACAATGCCGGAAATTGGCGTCTTTTTTTTTTCGCGCGGCCATCGGCCAAACTTTGTTTTTTGATTACAAAATAGTGTAATAAGCCAAACTTACTATGACATGTATACCTCTAAACTCAGTCTGAACTGAGTTACGAGCATTAAAAGTTTGATGATTTTCATACTAGATTTGCTTTTTGCGCGCAAGTTTTGTAAGAAATTGCAACAAAATAGTGACATTGTATGTGTAAACAAACAATACCATCCATTAAAGGCTCCAGACATCAGTGTGGAGCAGAATCAGCGCAATATTTTGTTACAATTTCTTACAAAACTTGCGCGCAAAAAGCAAATCTAGTATGAAAATCATCAAACTTCTAATGCTCGTAACTCAGTTCAGACTGAGTTTAGACGTATACATGGTTTATTACACTATTTATTAATCAAAAAACAAGATTTGGTCGATGGCCGCGCGAAAAAAAAAGACGCCACCTTCCATACAAAATCTGGCATTGCCATTTTGTCTGTGTTTCAAAATCCGGAATTTAATAAAAATCGCTTCAGTAGATTAGGCGTGAGAGCGTGACAGACAGACAAAGTTACTTTTGTATATAAATACAAAATATTAGTAGGGATTCACAACAAATTAAGTTTTCAAGACTAGACTTTTTGTCCATATTAATATAGCAGTAAACCGAATATGAAATATAGCTTAAGACATTAGTAGCTCAGTATGATAGCTCAGTAGGATAGCTCAGTAGGATAGCTCAGTAGGATAGCTCAGTAAGATAGCTTAGTAGGATAGCTCAGTAGGATAGTTTAATAGGATAGGATACTTGCCTGTAGTGCCGGCGCCGGTGTATTGTATGAGGCACCTGCTGCTTGCCAGCTCCCATAGCTTGATGGAAGAATCCAGTCCCGACGTCATGAGGTACTGTGGAAGAAATTGATATTATATTATAACACTAACTTTTGGCCCTAGATCCACTTATGGGACAGTAGACTACTTTATAACCTTCTTGGGACAGAAAGACATTTCGGGACACGGGTAGAAGCAGTGGGACAACTAAAAGGACTTCGAGGCCAAACCTGTGTGAGATTTTTAAAAGTGGGACACTTTACCTGACACATTTTTTGGGACAGACACGTATGTGTCAGACAGATCAATCCTGGGTGACATTTTGTAAATGGGGACACCTTACGTGATAGACTATCGATGTAATGTAAAATCTTGGGACAGAAAGACACTTTACGGGACACGGATAGAGGCAGTGGGACAATTTAAGGGACCTTGAAATCAACCCTAGGTAACATTTTGTAAATGGGACACCTTACGTGATAGTAGGTAGACTATCTTATGATATAATGGAACACCTTCCAGGGACAAAGAGACACTTTACGGGACACGTTTTGAGGCAGTGGGACAACTAAAAGGATCTTGAGATCAAAATTGCGTAACATTTTTGAAAAGTGGGACGCTTTTACATGACACTTTCTTGGGACTTCCTTACGGGAGACGTTATGAGGCCAAGTGACAATAAAAGGCCATATAAATCCCAAAGCATGATGTGTCTGATTGAGAGAGAGAATGAGATAAATTATCTTTTAGTATGTTGTATGGACCAGTCAGGGTACTGTAAATTTTGCACGCGTAATACTGCGGAATTTCAATCCATTTTTCATGTTTTGTTTTGTTCTAAAAATCTAAAATATCAATCATGGCATAGGTACGAAGAAAGTATAGCTGTTTTAAAGAAATAGATTTCATACTGTATACGCAAATAAAGAAATTTGATTTGATTTGATTTACTTTTTAGTGCACTTTGTTGGTCCGTTTATTTGTTTTTTAAATTCTAAATAAAACCAACCTTGCTGTTCCTAGTGAAAGCCACTGAACACACTTCGGCGCCATCGTGCGCGTTTATGAACGTGTTGAAGCATCTGTTGGAGACCGTGTCCCACAGCTTGACTGTCCCGTCTGCGCTGCCGCTGGCGAAGTATTTGCCGTTTGGAGAGAACCTGGGACAAATACAGCATGTTTTGGTAGTTCCTGATAGTGTATCAGAAAGTTATCTGACAGATACGTTGAACTTAAGTTTTGAATCGAAATATGGGACCTAAAACAGATGATAGGATATGTTGCAATAGTCCCTGATAGTATATCAGAAACTTATCTGACAGATAAGCTGCAAATTTTGGGTTCTTCTTAATTTTGAATTGAAATATAGGACCTGAAACAAATGATAGGGTATGGTTCTATAGTCCCTGATAGTATATCAGAAACTTATCTGATAGATAAACTACAACCTTGAGTTTCGCAGGTTTAGGACATGTTTCAGTAGTTCCTAAGTATATCAGAACTTAACTGACAGATAAATACTTGTTTCACATGTTTTGAATTGAAATATGGGACCTAAAGCGAAATGTAATAGCAAGATTTAGGGTAATAATATGTTTCAGTAGTCCCTGATAGTGTATCAGAAACTTATCTGACAGATAAACTACAACCTTCAGTTTCACAGGTTTTGAATTGAAATATCAGACAAGGTCACCGGTTAGACCCTTTTTTGTTTTATTAAAATACTAGCTGACCCGGCGAACTTCGTACCGCCTTAGCGTAGAGATTTTCTTTATATTTTTTTCCGTAAAAACCTTGTACAGAGTATTAGAAAACTACAAAAAAAAAATCAGCCAAATCGGTCAAGCCGTTTTCATGTTATGTCGTGACAACGGAAAACGGGTTTCATTTTTATATATATAGATTTATGAAGTGTTTCAAAACTTAAAATAAAAATATCATTATAAACTAGCTGTGCCCCCGACTTCGTATGCGTGAAAATAGTTTGAATAACATTTCCCGTTTGTGCAACATTTTTCTTTACTGCTTCGCCCCTATCGGCTGAATGATAATACATATAATCTTATCCATGCAAGCCTACCTCAATAAATGGGCTATCCAACACAAAAATTATGTCGGCCGTTTGGTGTAGTGGTTCAGAACGGACTACTATGCCGAGAGGTCCCGGGTTCGATTCCCGGCCGGGCAGAAATTGAAATGATGAATTTTAATTTCTGTGACGGGTCTGGGTGTGACTATGTATAATATTTATGTATTAAAAAAAAAGTATATAAGTAGTATATCCGTTAAGCTAGCACCCATAACACAAGCATTAAGTTGCTTACTTTGGGGCTAGCTGGCGCTGTGTGAAAATGTCCAAAGATTTATTTATTATTTATTTATTTATTAAAAAATATTTTTTCAAATCGGACCAGTAGTTCCTGAGATTAGCGCGTTCAAGCAAACTCTTCAACTTTGTAATATTAGTATAAAGTATAATTTTTAATCCAAACTCACCGTATAGAGTTGACCTGCTTCTTATGGTGATGCGTAGGGATCGGGCACACGAAGCACTGGCTGGTGGTGACGTCATAGAGCCGGATGACCGGGTGCGTGGTCGACGCTATGATGTGGTCGCCTAGCGGGTGGAACGCCACGCACAGGACTTGTTCGGCGTCCTGGATAGACATCATTATTATTATCATTCATCATCATTATACAGAATGGAATTTTGTAATGCCATCTGGAGGGAAAGTACTCTTAATACTGTAGATAGAAAATTTTGCTAAAAGAAAACATTCCTTTATTTCTGAAAATAAAGAGAACTGCATTCCACCCAGTAGATAGTTTCATCCACTCGGACGCGCCTCACCATTCTTCCGCGAATGTTTGAGTGTTATCGGTACACGCTAAATGCTCCATGAGTACACGCACACTACAGTAATGCCTTACGGATTGCTCGGACCACACTCCCCGCACCCCACGCGACCGAGTCCAAACATGGGGCGCGTCCGAGTGGATGAAACGAACTATGTATATCGTCATCGTCATCATCAATCAGTGGTCGAGACTGTGATGAAACACAGGATTTCATTCACATAATTTCATTCTTTTTCCCACCGCTGCAACTCCTGTATAGTCAGAATAAAGTTTCACATCCTTAATCATCATCGTCATTATTTCAGCCACAGGACGTCCACTGCAGAACATAGGCAGCGTAAATACAAATGAGTAGGTCATCTTCATAGAAACGCACCGACCGCGGTTTGTATGTGAGCGCGCCAATACGTATGACAAAATTTAGCGGGGGTTAGCGGGGTGTTGCAGTGTGTGCGTGCGCGCCGCATACGTACGTTTTTATTTTTTTTAATTTTCATACAAAATAAATTTTATAAAATCCGATTTATATGAACATTAAAAAATTTTAAATGATGATATCAATTTTCTGACTTCACCATACCATTTATATGTCCATGTTAACATTGGCTAGTGTCGGCTCATATACCCATTAACCTAACACCCTGTATATAAATTAAAATCAGAAGAACATAGGAGGGACTCACAGTGATGGACTTGTATGCTTTCTTAGCGGATGCCTTGGTGATGTCGAACAGCTTGATGCAGCAGTCTCGCGATGCTGAGACTAGGATCTGCTCGCGAGGGTGGAAGTCCAGCGCTGTGATCTCGTCTGTGTGGTCGTAGCTGGAAAAAAGAAAGAAATATTTAATTGTCACTAAAAAAAACTAAAACTCATATATTTTTGCAGACTTAAAAATTGTTTAACAAAAAAGAAATCGTCAATTGAAGCGTTTTTTCTGGTAAACCCGGCGGTCCTTTTAAAACAACTAAATTCTCAGTTGATTCGTCTTGATTATTTGAAATTCAATCTAGTAGTAACCGAAGGTCCTTTCCAGTGACCCAAAACTTTATGATAAAGAAGTCGTGTCTTACAATTATTTGTTAACTGTGTCAAGTATGCAATTTGTATACACTGGTGGGAATACACCCGCTAAGTGTATTCCCACCACCTTATTTTACTCATTTTTAGCGGTGGCCTAATTCACGTATTTTGTCAGTCAAGATCTCGCTGACGTTCAGAAGTCGTCCCATTGATAAACAGTTCTAAATCCGTATTCACAAGGGTCATTTCGATAGAACGATTACTCGATAGGAGCGCAACTCAGTGTTTTGTTGTCGTTGAAGTTTTATTACGTGAATAATATGGTGTCTCGGACACAAGATTGAGATAGTATCAGCTCACTGGGTACTATGAGAGGAAGAGGATAAAGGACATTATGGGGCAATATAGTATACTTATTATGGGAAAATGATTTAGCATGTGAAACTAGAACTCATAAAAAACTGGAACATTGTCGATTCTTACCCTATTTTTACCCGACTGCGCCAGAAGGAGGGTTATGTTTTTTAGGGGAACATTGGCCAACTCACAGAGTTCTGATGACTGGATGTCCTTGCTGCTCCCTCCCAGGATCCACTTCCTCCGGAGCGGATTTGGCTAACATTCGCTCCACGTCTAAGATCTGAAACAAGAGTTTTGCTAAATAAACATTGTTGGACACTTTACATGGTGCCAATTTGTCTCTCTGGCGAAAAGATTAAATACATCATTTCAAACAATAAATAACTAACCCGACTCAGTATAGTTATTTTACATTGCGATCAAAGATCTGTCAACTTAGATCACTGAAAGATAGTCCAACCCTTTTCATAGTCAAAAACTAAGACGTTCTGTCTGCGTCCGCGATGGTGTACAGCACACAGTGGCGATTAGATCCTTGTTGTAACAGCGGTGGTGATCAGATAATAATAATAATAAATTATTTATTTCTCTCACAACAGATCAGTAACATACTTGTGTGTGTGTGTGTGCGTGTGTGTGTGTGTGTGCATGTGTTTGTTTGCGTGTGTGTGCGCGTGTGTGTGTGAGATAATTAACGCGAATGCGACAGTGTAAACGACTTGCACGGGCATTGATGGACGCAAACTGAACGCGTAGGTTTGGCTAAATAAAAAAATATTTCTTTCTTCCAAATACCTTGATACTGGCGTCCACGCTGCCCGTAGCCACGAGCTGTCCGCACGCGCTGAAGGCGCCGGCGCGGCACGCCATCTTGTGTGACGTCACGTACGCAGTCTCGTACGTCGCCGGCTCCGGCGCTAAGGAGGAGGCGTCCATTTCGAACTCGAGGTCTGGGGCAGATAGTGTGTATTAGAATCCATCATTATTATTGTTAGGCAGGTCTCCTAAGCATGACTTGATATTTAAAATTTTAAACACAGATTTTTGTTTTAAAACTTTAACGAAGGGACTACGCACATTAATCGGGCGGCACGGAAAGGTGCCTGAGCAGGTGTCCTAAGCATGCAGGCTAGATGACAAAATTTCTATTATTTGTCCGTCAGACAGATAATTAGAAAATATTACACTCGTATTTTATTTTCTTTCATTAATAATAACAGTGCTACATCCAGTTGAAACATTTTAACTCAATATAATTATGAAAAAAAATAAAAAATAGCTACTGGAGGAATCTTTACATCGCACCAAATACACACTCGTATGTGAACGCTCCTACAACTACATACGCCATTCCCAAATAAAAACGTACTATGATAAAACGAACTTGTAATAAATGCACATACCTACCACAGTTGGAATACAAAAACATAACTTAAATTTTTCTGCCAATAAAAACATCAATGACTTACCCAAACCAGTTGTCCCGAGTAGATGCTCGGCTCCGCTGGACGCTGCTAAACGGTCCTTGCGGTCGGGCTCGTGTTGCAGACCGACCATCATCAAGTTCAGGAGCCTGGCAAAAATACAAAAGGTTATACCAATACAGTCAATCTTTGCCCGTCAGTATGACATTGGCTCAAAATGTAAATGTGAATTTTACCATTTTTCTATTGATGTAGAGACACTTCTATTTATTGTGCAAAAAATAGAAGAAGAAAACAATTTATTAAAACTTTAATGTTGTCTCAATCTAAACACAAAATTTTATACAATTTAGTTTTATTATTAGCTTAAAAAATGCACAAATGTTTCTTCAAAATAACTCATCTCCTTAAATTCTCCATACAAAATAGTGATTTCATAAACCATAGTATTATTATTGCTTAATACATTTTTTTTTATAAAACCAAGAATATAATTTAAAAAAAATACCATAACTCCGAACAAAATAATTAGGAAAAATGCCATGATTAGAAAATTTAATGTTATTTCTATTACACCTTCTATATTCAATTATCAGAGAGCTCACCTATCGCTCGGTGGGCACGGTGGGTCCGCGTGGACGGCAGCAGACAAGGTCGCTGCGATGGGCTGATAGCCATCATAGTACAGCTGACTGTAAAGAAGAAACAAGTTATAGCATTTCATTGAACCAGTGTTTATACAATTAATTGTTTTATGATATTGACAAAAAACATTTCTATTTAAAAATATGTAAAAAGGTAGCTGTTACAAGTTAAAATTTTAAAGATGATCTGAAAGAGCCATTAATATGGAAATCTTGTGATAATAACCTTCCTTCTAGCACAGTCAAGTAAAAATACAGACAGAAATTCAGTTTTAAGAAATACGTGCATATGTATAAACTCAAATAAATTATATAAATTGTCAAGTGAACAAATTTATACAAATAATACCACTTTTCTCAACATTTAATTAGAAATAACATTCAAAACATAACCTGCAAACTATGAAAGTAATTTATAAATTTTTTGCGAGAAAAAGGCTTTTATAGGCTAAATGACGTAGAAATTAGATGGTATCGTTATTGAAAGGCCTTGTTTGGGCAAATTTAATCCTACATAAGCTTTAAATACGTGTTTTTAGGGTTCCGTAGCCAAAATGGCAAAAACGGAACCCTTATAGTTTCGTCATGTCCGTCTGTCCGTCTGTCCGTCTGTCCGTCTGTCCGTCTGTCCGTCTGTCCGTCTGTCACAGCCGATTTACTCGGAAACTATAAGTACTACAGTGATGAAATTTGATGGGAATATGTGTTGTATGAACCGCTACAAAATTATGACACTAAATAGTAAAAAAAAGAATTGGGGGTGGGGCCCCCCATACATGTAACTGAGGGATGAAAATTTTTTTTCGATGTACATACCCGTGTGGGGTATCAATGGAAAGGTCTTTTAAAATGATATAAAGTTTTCTAAAAAACATTTTTCTTAAAGTGAACGGTTTTTGAGATATCAGCTCTCAAAGTCGTAAAAAGTATGTCCCCCCCCCTCTATTTTTATAACTACGGGGTATAAAATTCTAAAAAAAATAGAGGTGATGCATGCTAATTAACTCTTTCAACGATTTTTGGTTTGATCAAAGTATCTCTTATAGTTTTTGAGATAGGTTGATTTAACTGTTGCTGCTACGGAACCCTTTGTGCGCGAGCCCGACTCGCACTTGGCCGGTTTTTTACACTGTAAATACCACGCAAACAAAAAACATTTTTAAAACATTACCTGATAATCATACGGTACAGAAGCTCCCGGTTCTTGACGACATTCTTGCTGTCCACAACTTCAGAATTGTTTTCCTTCATTTTTTACAATAAACAAGACACAAATCTCAAGGGAAATAATTATTTTTCGCCGGCGATACAAACCGCAACCACAGCAAAACACAATTTGACAAATGAATGATTTTGACGTTACTCTAGTTTCTCTATTGATTTTCTGAGGCCATAGACAAAATGGCGCAGATTTAAGTTATTGTTCCAAGAATATAGATGGCGCTTACACATAACTAGGTTCAAAACATTAATAATAGATGGCGTTCGTCACACCAGCAAGTTCTAAATCTTATTAATAGATGGCGTTCATCACACAACCAGGTTCTAAAAATCATTAATAGATGGCGCTGTACACAGTTCCTACTTTCAACTACAGATGGCGTTGCACATCTAACTTAGTCTCAAATTCTTAAACTAGATGGCGTTAGCACGCTACAAGCAAAGTTCTAAACATTAATAATAGATGGCGCTGTACCTAGTTCTTGCATTCGACTACAGATGGCGTTGTACAAAATAACTTAGTTCTTAAAATTAGATGGCATTATTAATCTACACTCACGTCCAAAAGTGATAAATCGAAAATTATTATATTTTCTTTTTCCAGGTTTTGCTCACTGGCTGTCGCTGTGTGGAGCTGGACTGCTGGGACGGAGACGATGGTAGTCCTGTCATCTACCATGGACACACATTCACCACCAAGATCCCTTTTCGAAGAGTCGTCGAGACGATAGCAAGGTAAGACATTATGCGGCTTTCTCCAAGCAAATGTAGGATTTGACCTAAAACTAACACCGCATTAACTTTGCTTTTGTATTTACAGGAGCGCGTTCGTAGCGTCACCTTACCCTCTGATCCTGAGCATCGAGAACCACTGCAGCCTGCCGCAGCAGCAGGTCATGGCCAGCACTTTTGAGGTCAGAATACGGCTACCTAATTACCCTCTTTCTAATATTTTTTAATTTTGAAGTGTTAAGCTTTACAAACTAGTTACTTAGTAAATATATTTTTATACTGAAGATCAGACTGCAAAAAATCACTCCAAAAGTCCGAAAGTTTTTTAAAATCATGGACACCCCGTGAGCTTCTTTTTAACAAACCTAGGTGTGCCTAGGTGCTCATTTGGCGTTAAGTTTTGAGACAAGCGACTTCAAAAAAGTGCACAAAAAGGATAGAGCTTTTTGTGCACTCTTTTGAAGTCGCTTAATTTTTTAATATGCCACTTAATTGCAATCATTATTATTACGTCTGTATAACGCAGTTAGCTGCGCCCCTGGCTGTCGTGACGTCACATCGACTGGTAACGGGGCGAGTGCGGGGAGGTGTGAGATTTGCATTCTAGCGAGGTGCGCAGTTAGCTTGATAGCGTTGTATGTCAAAATGCAAATAACTTGGAATCGGTAACGTTACTGGCTGCGTCTTCATCCAGGCAGTATTCGGAGACAAGCTGGTGACGTCGTTTCTGTTCGAGGCCGACTATACCGACGAGCCGCGCCTGCCGAGTCCGGAGCAACTCAAACACAAGGTAATAAGGTTCAATTTTAAATGACTCACTTTTGTCCATAACTTTGTCTAATGCCCGTATCCGTATACACAAACGATGCTTGCTTGTACACAGAAAAGACAATAAAATGATTATCTTATCTTATCTTAAGTGAAGCAGCAAATCGAACGCACAGCGTTGAATAGAGTTCTGTGATTGGTTCGTGTCACCCTATGCGTCCACGCGCACTGTGAGACATCAAAGTAATGTTTGTGAATACGGGCGTAACCTACAGACCCCTCCCTTTTGCCTGTGCTCAAAGTCAAAGTCAAAGTTTTTATTCAGTAGGCCCTTTCGGGCGCTTAAACACGTCCCAAATACTTGCCCTACCACCATTTCTGGTCGTGGACAACATTTAACTGGTGCTGAGAAGAAACTAAGGCGGAAGAAACTCAGTACAAGAATCTTCCTACGTTAGAGCCAATATTATGATGATGATGATGACCAAACTACGAAATACCCAATGTTTCCGTATAGCTTGGCGGTCCAGAATCCGTCAAACAAAATATGGTGGATTCAATTCACACTTGATGCAGTGGTCTTGCAAGTTTTCAAATTATGGCGCTTCTGAGTCAGTGTCTGAGGTATGGGACGTCAAACGTCAGCGAGACTTATGATGCCTGTTTTCGCCATCAATCCCTAATTTTTAAATGACCCCTATGAAAACAAAACTCCTGATAAGTGTTACCATATGAGTCACTTAAAAATTAGCGATTGATGGTGAAAACGGGCATTACTTTCAGATTTGGATGCTCTGTGCCTCTGTCACGTCATAGATGCCAATGTCACCCCTCCCGCGCCGCTCCCATACATCAGGCACTGACTGCGTTAAGCGCTAGAACTATAGATCAAAATAGGAATACTTTTGTTCTCTTTCCACCTAAACCATGACTTGTTTTCCAGGTGCTAATAAAAAACAAGAAGTTGCTACCCATTGAGTCCAGTCCCACTGTTGGGCTGACGGGAGCCAGCTCAGCGCAGGGATATGGCGGTGTTCTCGCTAGTGCTTTTCGGTAACTACCTACATTTTGTCATTCACTAAGCCTAGGTACCTAGTATTGAACTAGGTACCTATTAACTACATACTTACAAAAGCTACGAGTACCTACCTCTTAAGCAGGGCCGTCTTTAACCTACTAGGGGCCCTGGGCATTTAAGGATTAAGGGGGGCCCTTCCCTTATCTTCTGGAAAAAGGTCTTATTAGCATATGGGTCGGTCGCGGGGCCCTGGGCACGTGCCCAAAGTGCCCAGTGGGAAAGAGGGGCCTATGCTCTTAAGACCTTAGGGCCCTCGCCCACGGCGACTTTTTGTAGCGATGCAGTCGCGCTGCTGTAGCGTGTTAGTAGCGCGATGGCATCACTTCTGTAGTGCGTTGCAAATGCGACTAACGCGCGTTAGTAGCGATAATGTCGCTCGTTTAAGAAACGCGCGACAAAAAGTCGCCGTGGGCGAGGGTCCTAAGACCTTAATTTAACATACCTAATGTTTGTAGTGACACATTTACATAAGGGGGATGTGTTCATAAAGTACTCAATTGTACTACAGGTATAAAAGATAAGAAAACAGGTGTACAAACAATTTTCGTGCCAAATATCGGTCCAAATGGAACCCTTAACTTAGAAACGTAGACCAAATTCTTCAATTAACTCTAATAAATTGAGCGTACTCCTGTAGTACACACTAAATGACCTGATGATCCTACAGGAGCTCCAACGGCATCCGGCAGACCAGCACTTCTCTCCCAGAGCAGAGTAACAGAACCAGTTCCATCATGTCCAACCAGTCGGCTGGCAGCTCGCTTACGGAGTACTTCTCGGATGAGGATTATGATGAAGATGATGAGGAACTAGATGGTGAGAATATTTTTCATCATTCCAGCCACAGGACGTCCACTGTTGAAGTTCCTTCCGCACTTTAAAAGCCGGTTGAAAACGGCTGTATCCAGCTCTTTCCTGCAACTTTAGATGATCTGGTGATACGGGAAGCACCTGTATGCGAATAGCACTGGATCGGTCGTTGTGCAAATCCTTGGAAGAGGCATTCTTCTTTCAAAACCTACACAATTTTTGCACCTAAAAATATGTTAGTAATATTCCTGCACATATTACTGTAACTTTCTTCAACTATCGTATTCATCAGCGGTTAATAAAAGTCTTAATTTCCCAGAAAAAGAACTGCACAAGATACTCAACTCCATGGAGGACAAGTGCGGTCGGACCTCTCTGTCGCTCTACCAGAGCTTCCGTAGGAGCGAGGGAGACGGCGAGACCACCTCGGGGAGTGTCAAACACGCCCCCACTAGGAAGAGGAGTAACCAGATAGCGAGGGAACTGAGTGACATGGTCACTTATGTACAGGTAAGTGACAACTTTCGTTTACTTCGAACTCCTCTAAGTTCTTCTGATTAATTTCGTAGCGGGTCCAATGACAGTTTAACTTTCCCCGGGACAAACTTAACCTTCACTGGTTGGGTTATTGGCGGTCAAGCTGTAGATCCTGGCTACACAGGAGTTGCAGTGGGGGAACAACACTCAAGAGACAAAGGAGGAGTAAGTAGTACACTTTTCTTTCGTACTTAACTGATCAGTAAGATCATTATTCTTCATTCGTATTCGTATACTTTTAGAAACACATTTACATTAGATACAATTAGAGAACATGCAAATTGGACGAAAGGCTAATGGAGTAAAGTTCTATGAATCGATGATTGCAGAGTCACCTTAAGAGCTCCAGACGGCCGTGAAAGTGTATAGAGAAGGTGCGGAGAAGAGTTACTACGCAAACAGACAGTTTTCATAAAGAGTTTACTCCATTAGTCTAACGTCCAATTTGCATGTTCTCTAGAAAACGTAAGTCGCACTTCGCGAAGGTATCGGAGAAGTTCTGGTCCTCGAGCTGGTCTTCGAGTATGCAGGTTATGATCCTCCATCCTTCTTCTTATTGTGTGCTCACTGATATTCACTGGGCTTGCTGTTTGTAAACGCTGGCGTATCTCAAACGTAGTGAGAACCCGATTTCTTGATATTGCAAGCACGATAATCGGGTCATCGCGCGCTGATTTACACCTTAATTCCTGACTTCTTGATCTTCTTGTGTAAAAGGCGGTTTGGTCATTCCTTTTTAACGTGTATCTTAAGTTTGTACGCCATAAATTGAAAGTTTCAGCCATCTCCCGCTGCATACGCCCTTGACTTCTAAGCAACACTATTTGAGCAACTTGAGCTGGAGTAATGGGCATTATTCTCAAATTATGGAAACGAGAATAACCCTAAGATTAATTTAAAAACAAAAAACCAAACGCCAAACCCTTACAACATTTAATATCGAATTTAAACTTACCCGTACTCTTTACGCTCCAACAACGAAATGCGTTTCTAGAGTCAAAAAAGTTAAACAGACGCATTTTTTTAGAAATCTAGCCTCTTAAATTAACAAAAACAAATGTTCTGTTAACATGTCACACGAAACTTAGGTATACAACACCAATTTGGCCTCAAATCTGGTTGTTTAGGCTTGGGCCAAATTCCGTGCCGCTGAGTGTATAAATTACTTTTATCCACAGGCAATAAAGTTCCGCGGCCTCAACCCGCTCTCCCCCCGAAGCTCGGTGAAGCAGCCGAGCACGGCGGCCAAGGACAGTGCTCCGTGCAGCAGCTTCGAGTCTTCGGAGAGCAGCGACAGCGCCGGCACTGTGAGTAGTAAAACGTACATGTAGAAAAATTCGTCTTAGTCGTCCCTCACACGTGATCAGAACCAGAATCGTCAGGTCAGTTTCCACTGCAGGAGCTCGACTCTCTAAATTACCAATGGAGGGTTTGGCCTACACTCCCCAGCCCCACGCTAGCCAGACAGGTTGGAAAGACTTGATGATGGGTGTGAACCATCCTTTAGCAGTACCGTAACTATGGTGAAGACCTGACCTGACTGACTGAAGACAAAAGAATTGCAAAAGCTCATAGCCCATAGGGTACATCCCATAATAGTCTCTTACGACATCCATGGGAAGAGTAAGAGTGGTCCTATTCTACTCAGCCGGACCCACAAGGCATTACAGCAGATACTACGCCCTTGACTTACTTGACTTAAGGTCCTATGTCCCCTAGATGGGGCAGAGGGCGTCCACAAACAGTCCTCCATCGCGTTCGGTCTTGAGCTTCGCGTTTGATCTCGCTCCAAATCTTACCGATCTTCTTCGCCTCGTCTGCCACAGTGCACCGCCAAGTTTGCTTGGGGCGACCACGTTTGCGTTTTCCTTGGGGGTTCCAATCTGAGCCTGCTTGGGGATTTGATCGGGATCCGTTCGGAGAGTGTGGCCAATCCAGTTCCACTTGCGGCGCTTGATCTGCTGGTCGATTGGCTACGCCCCTGCTAGGGTCCATAATGTTCTTGTTTTAAAGATCATGATGGAGCAAAATTAATATTGAGACCTAAAATGTCCTTTCCAGCAACTGGCCCAGCAGTCCCAAGCCTCCACCACCAGAGCTCGCTGCCTCAACGCGCCGGCTGTCCACCACCCCTGCTACCGCTGCTCGTCCGTCAACGAGGCCATCGGCAAGAAAATCTGCAGGAAGCATTCCCGAGCGCTGATAGCTCATACCGAGACGCAGCTCGTGAGGACGTACCCTGCTGGGTGAGTCATCATCATCATCATTTCAGCCACAGGACGTCCACTGCTGAACATAGGCCTCCCACAATGATTTCCACATCGCCCGGTTGGTAGCGGCCTGCATCTAGCGCCTTCCTGCTACCTTTATGTGGTCATTAGTCCACCTTGTGTCCCATGCTGCGTTTTCCGGTACGTGGCCTCCACTCCAGACCCTTGCTGCCACATCGGCCGTACTTACTATGTGCCCCGCCTTGAGCTGGGTGAGATATATGAGTATAATGCAGCCCGCATTAAAGAGATTAAGCAAGAGTAAGAGGTTTTTTTACGTCGAGAAATGCTTACGCACTGCCAATGGGGACGACCAGTGCGAAATATGGGTCTCTCTTCCGGCTTACCCACTATAATACGACTATGTCCACCGGAGCCCAATGAAACGGAGCCGCAAGTTATTGTCCTAGCTTGGACTTTCGTCTGCAGCTCCGGCTCAGGTAACTCGCGTCTCGCACTCGAGCGAGCCTCTCTGGCTGTGAGAGGACCCCAATCCCCTCCTCTAGTTATTTTTACAGAGGAGGACAAATCTTTATGTAGATTTGTATCGTTTTATTTTTGGTACCAAGCAACGGAGCGTCCTAGTCAGCTCAGTCTGACACCCCGTATTAGTACTAATCCCCCTGTCCGCTTTCTGCGGTGAGGGATGTGTATAAAGATGTCTACAGACACAACCAAAAAATATCTTTTCTTTCTTTCTCTAATAATAAATTTCTCAACAGCCTAAGAATCGACTCGTCCAACTTCGATCCAGTAGTATTCTGGTCGTGCGGCGTACAGCTGGTGGCCCTCAACTACCAGACTGAGGACGCGGCGATGGCGGTGAACGCGGCCATGTTTGAGAGCAACGGCTGCGTGGGCTTCGTGAGGAAGCCGCCCGTCATGTGGGACCCTAAACACATCGCTTATAGACGGTAAGATACTAGAATAGTAATAAATTCTAGATGGATTCGAGCAGCGAGAAACCTCCATAGCCTAAACTTCGAGCTTCTTCTATGTTCTTCTGATCAATTTCGTTGCGGATCCAATGACAGTTTAACTTGCCCCCGGGACATACTTGACCTTCACTGGTTGGGTTTTTATTGGCGGGCAAGCGGCAGATGCAGGAGTTGCAGCAGTGGGAAGAAGAGTCCCGTAAATTTAGCTGTCTGTCAACTTGAGGTGATCCCTTTTGCGTCATGATAATTTTCTGTGACAGAATGAAATTCGGACGAAACTGTGGGAGAGTAAAACCACCTACACTCTTCCTGTAGATGTCATAAAAGGTGACTAATTAAGGGACAAATAATGCGAACATTAGGTCTCCCAACCCGTCTGGCCAGCTTGGGAAGTATTAGTAGAGATTGTCGTCCGCCTGCAGCCTAGACTAAATGATCTGACGATATTATCTTTTAAGAACTCTTTTTGTCCTTCTTCCAGCTTCAACCCAATCGACAAGGAATTCGACGGGATCCACGCAGCCCATCTGACCCTCGCAGTCATCTCGGGCCAGTACGTCGCCGAGAACGTATACTCGTTCTACAATGCCTTCGTGGAGGTGGAGGTCCTGGGAGTGCCCGCTGACTGCAGGAAGATCAGGACGAAGGTCGCCAGGAGGAACGCGCTGAACCCGATATGGAATGAGACTTTTAATTTCAAGGTAAGATAGAGAGAGATTGAATATGTATTTTTTCAGCATTGTGCTGGTCAGAATTCAATTACAAAGGGGAGATTTTATGTAATAAAAGCCCTTTAAAAGCCTATTTTCCTCCAGGCCTCCTACTAGGTGGACCGACGATCTGGTAAAGGTCGCGGGAAGAGCCTGGATGCGGGCAGCGCAGGACCGTTCATTGTGGAAAACCTTGGGGGAGGCCTTTGTCCAGCAGTGGACGTCATTTGGCTGAAACGAACGAAAAGCCTATTTTCAGAAAATAAAGTACTTATGCCCGTTTTCACCAGCAGTCCCTAATTTATAAGTGACTCCTATGGTAACAGAACGGAAATTTTGTTTTCTTACAATTTTGGGGTCACTTAAAAATTAGGGATTGATGATGAAAACGGCCATGAGTCTTTCAGCATTAGGCAAGATAGTGATAAAGCGTTTGATACTGTTTATATTGACACTTCTCTCGTTTACTCAGAAGCGTTACCGTAACTTCCATGGTTAATTTTAATATCAGTGAATAAAACATAAGTACTTCAAGATTTCTTTCGTAACCACGTCTTACAAATCAATAGGAGTAACGCAAGGAACGATTTTGGGCCCACAAATTTACTGTTTTTATTTGATTTTGTTTTTCTATGTACAGAAATACAAGTCACTAACTCTAAACATAACTTATCTTCCAGATAAACTTCCCAGAGCTGGCTTTCGTCCGCTTCGAGGTGTACGACGCTGACACCAACTACATGCTGTCCCAGAGAGTGATACCGCTGCAGTGCCTACGACCCGGCTACAGGCATGTCAGGCTTCGGTAAGACTTTTGTGCTTTGAAACGTCATAGCAGACTTATCAACTCGGAAAGGGATCAACACCTTTCGCGTCAAGCTGTCAACCGGCTGTCAACCGCTAGGCGAGGCGTTTACGTTTCGGTGCGGATAAGTGTGCGTTGCAGTATGGAGATTCAAACAAATAACTGACCGCCTCGAGTTGATACGGTTACGATCCCTTTTCGGGTTGATAAGTGTGCTACGTCCTGAATTCATAATTATTCACATTTTTTTAACCATAACGGTAAAGCTCTTGTCTGCATCTCTCTCGATGGAAAGTGATGATCAGAAGGTGGAAGAGAGCTTCACCCAATATCCTAAACCGCAGAGGGATTGGCTATTTTACTTCCATCTAAATTCAATTAGTCTCCACTGCAAGACAGATTTTTTTAAGATCCGATAGTTTGACTCAGCTCCTTCTAAACGAGTCTGCGAGATTTTCAGTGGGGGTAGCAGCCTTCTCCTAATTGCCCCCCTGGTTACGCCCATGACTGACGCCACAACAACACTTTCACAGGTCCCCAACAAACCAGCCTCTCAACATGGCCTCCCTGCTCATCTTCTCCCGATGCTCTGAAGAACTAGCGGGCGAGTCGTGTCGCGGTGACGTGGAGCCGTCGTCGCCTCGCGAGCGTCGCAAGATTCATTTTCTGGTCGTGTACGCGGTGGCACGACATGAACCGTACTCTATACTGAAGGTCACGAGGGATACCACTGCCAATGAGGTGAGTTGACAGCTTAGACAGTTCGTTCGTTTCAGCCAAATGATGCCACCTTAAATCGTCGGTCCACCTAGTAGGAGGCCTACCCACGCTACGTCTTCCGGCCCGCGGTCGCCACTCGAGAACTTTTCTGCCCCAACGGCCATCGTCTCTACGAGCTGTGTATCCCGCCCACTGCCAGCTGCCAGCTCAGTTGCTTGACTTTTATTTTGTAGGTATAAGGTCGAAGCAGAAAGGCGATGGACGCAGGCCGCTAGCATCCGGTCATCATGGAAATCATTGGGGGAGGCCTATGTTCAGCAGTGGACGTCCTATGGTTGAAATGATGATGATGATGGTCGATTCACAATCAGTAAAGCCACAGTCAGCGTGTTCGTTCATTGACAAGTGGGGATGCGTTCAGAGAGAATGTCATCATCATCACAGCCACAGGACGTCCACTGCTGACATAGGCCTCCCTCCCCCAATGATTTCCATATCGCCCGGTTAGTAGTGGCCTGCATCAGGCGCACGACTGTTGCAAACAATTTTATCATGTCTTAAGGTAGCCTTTCGAACTAAGCGTCAAAGACCCAGCGTCTTTAGCTTTGGTCTTGTGCCACCAACGCCGCGTCACTAACTCGCTTCGAAAGGCTACCTTTAAGACCAAAGCTAAAGACGCTGCGTCAGTGACGTTTAGTTCGAAAGGCTACCTTTAATTTGTTTTCCCAGGCAATAGCCCAATGTCTAACCAAGACGGGCGTGTGCCGCTCCTCCCGCGGGAACTACGTGCTGGTCGAGGAGCTGCCATCCAGGGCTCCCACGCAGAGGGTCCTGGCGCCGCACGAGCGCGTGCTACGGGTAGCGACCGCGCGCCCCGGGGCCCGGCTGCTGCTCAAACGGGTGGGGGACGACCCTAGCAGCCGGGCCTGGCTGACTAGCATACGGTGAGCTGGTGGATCCTATTCCTTTTCTATGATTGTGAAACCGTTCACCGACAAACGATTGATCAATAGTGACTGAGTTTCTTGCGCTGCTTCTTCTCAGCACTGGCCCATTTATTGTCCCGAAGCAGTGGTAGGGTTAATATTGGGACGTGTAAAAGCGCTTTTTTAAAGCCTATTTGCAATAATAAATTAATTTTAAAATAAATGAATTTTATGAATTTTATCAATGAACTGCTAACCAACAGGATCTATAACCCATTAACTTTTTGCCCAAAGAACACTTTACCCATGAAGCGTTCGCCAAGAGAACAGCACGCCAATGAACGTTTGACCAACAGAATCTTTTGACATCTAACTTTTCGCCCAAATGACATTTGACCCATGAAATGTTCGCCAATAAATTCGGGGCCCGCCTGCTGCTGAAGCGGGTGGGCGACGACCCTAGCAGCCGGGCCTGGCTGACCAGCATACGGTGAGCTGGTGGACCATGTTCATTTCCTATTAATATTAGAAAAGAAAGAAAGAAAGAAAAATATTTTTATTTAGTCCAAACATCCTTAGACTACTTACAACAATTGGGTGATTAAAATGTCCAGTTGGGTGTAGTTGCAAAGGTCGGGGCCCGCCTGCTGCTTAAACGGGTGGGGGACGACCCAAGCAGCTGGGCCTGGCTGACTAGCATACGGTGAGCTGGTGGACCATGTTCCTTTCCTATTAATATTAAAATGTCCTGTTGGGAGTAGTTGCAAAGGTCGGGGCCCGCCTGCTCCTCAAGCGGGTGGGGGACGACCCTAGCAGCCGGGCCTGGCTGACTAGCATACGGTGAGCTGGTGGATCCTCTTCCTTTCCTATTAATATTAAAATGTCCAGTTGGGTGTAGTTGCAAAGGTCGGGGCCCGCCTGCTGCTGAAGCGGGTGGGCGACGACCCTAGCAGCCGGGCCTGGCTGACTAGCATACGGTAAGCTAGTGAATCCTTTTCCTTTCATATTAATACTAGCTTTCCGCCCGCGGCTTCGCCCGCATGGAATTTTGTCTGTCACAGAAAAACTTTATCGGCGCGCGTCCCTGTTTCAAAAACCGGGATAAAAACTATCCTATGTCCTTTCTCGGGACTCAATCTCTATGCCAAATTTCATCAAAATCGGTTCAGTGGTTTAGGCGTGAAAGAGAGACAGACAGACGGAGTTACTTTCGCATTTATATTAGTATAGATTACAAATGTCCAGCTGGGTGTAGTTGAAAGGGTCACAGGCAGAAGTTATTTGCGACCACGCCAAATACAGGGTAATTTGATGCGTACTGAAGCCTATGGTGGACGACTTCATAAAGGTAGCATGAAGGCGCGGTACCGATCGGCCATTGTGGAAATCATTGGGGGAGGCCTATGTTCAGCAGTGGACGTCCTGTGGCTGAAATTATGATGATATTGATGATGATGAGGCCTATGTCTAGTTGTGAACTGCTATAGACCAATTTAACTTGATCAGCGTTGATTTCGGTAACAGGCCGCTAGATAGTGGGAATGCCAGCCTATTCTAGGTTCTTTCTTAGCAAATGCTTGATGATCACAAATTCGTAGTCGCCTTTTACGATATGAAGAGTGTCATTAGGTCTTTTCATCACCACTGCAGGAGAACGACCCTCTCTAATTTACCAGAAGCAAATTCAACCTACAAATGAAGAATTTGATTATTTTTCCAGGTCGGCGTCCACGGACCGGTCTCGGGACAAGTCGGTGCCTTCGGATGAGGAGTCCAGCACGCAGGACGACGAGCCCCGGAAGCCTCCAGACAGTTTCCTGGTGTGCGTCCACAATGTTTCACATGAGATACCCTACGCTATACTGAAGGTGAGTTTGTGGTTTGTTTTAAACCTGCTACTTAAACTCTTCCTAACTTTTTTGAACTTCTCATATTAAAGCGGGACTATTCCCACCTTTCGTCGNTGGTTCAATCGAGATTTAAAACGACTGCTCAAGCAAAAAAATAAATATAGAATTCTTTATAATAAATACAAAAATCCTCTAGACAAAATTTCCTATAATATATTTAAACAGAGAGCTGTACATGTAATAAAATCCTGCTACCACTCATATATTTCACTTATTGAAACCTCTATTAAATCCAACCCTAAAATATTTTGGTCATTCATAAAGCAAAAAAGAAAATTTATTAGTTCTTATCCTTCTAAGATGTTTTATAATAATTCTACTGGCACTAGCAACGATGTAATATGTAATCTCTTCGCGTCTTGCTTTTCTTCAACTTTCAACAACAATAAATCGGATGCTAAGTCTAGCTTATGTATTAGTCACAATATTGCAGCTACTTTACATGATATTTTCTTAACTGAAAACGATGTTGAAAGAGCTTTAAAGGTTCTGGACTGGAGAAAGGGCCCTGGTTCGGACGGAATCCCAGCTATTTTTGTGTTAAAATGTGCTGACGTTTTGGCATTACCTCTTACCTTATTTTTTCATATTCATTTATTTATTGCATCACATATGTATGTATGTACAGTAAGGTCTTATAAAATATGTAAGGTAAACTTAATTTACAACAAGAGCTTATCAACGGGTTTATTCCCCTCAGCTTGGAAAGAGGCTCTCGTCTTACCACTGTTTAAGGAGGGCAATAGATCTGATATAAGCAATTATAGGCCGATCTCAATCCTTCCTATTTTTGGGAAGGTCCTTGAGACGCTTGTATACCCTGTTATATATTGGCATGTCAAATCGCATATTATACCCCAACAACACGGATTCGTCGGTTCGCGCTCCACTGCTACCAACCTTGCTTGCTATGTAAGTGATCTAGTTGCCGCTGTCGACTCTCGCGCCTGTGCTGATGTGATCTACACCGATTTCAGCAAGGCATTTGATAAGGTTGACCACAGCATCCTCATTTCAAAGCTATCATCACAATTTGGCTTCCATGGCAAATTCCTCCAATGGTGTCAGTCATATCTGACAGATCGTAAATCTAGAGTTGTTATCAATGGGGAATCTTCTGATGCCTTTGACGTTTCTTCGGGTGTACCGCAAGGATCTCATTTGGGACCTCTCTTCTTTAATTTATTTGTTAATGACGTATCACAATGTTTCAGATATAGCACATTTTATTTATATGCGGATGATTTAAAAATTGTTAGGCGTGTAGATGATGTTTCGGATTGTATGCGTTTACAGGAGGATATTGATCGGTTTGATGTCTGGTGCAATAGAAATCTTATGGTTTTAAATATTAAAAAATGCAATTTTATTCGTTTCTCTAAAAAGAAAGTTCCTTCTAACTACATATATAAAATTCATAACGAACCCATAAATGAAGTTACAGAAATTCGCGATCTTGGTGTTTATTTCGATAAAAAATTAAGTTTTAACATTCACATAGACAAACTAGTAAATAAATGTTTTAAAATGCTTGGATTTGTTATTAGAAATACCAAAACTTTTAATAATTCATTTAGTAAAATTCTTATTTTTAACGCTTTAATAAGATCTTCTCTGGAATACTGTAGTGTTATATGGTCCCCTCGGTACGAGGTACATATCAAGCGCATTGAATCTATTCAAAAAAGATTTCTCTGGCACCTATCCTTTCAACATAACTTGGCTAAAAAACTGCCTTCTTATACGGATCGTCTGTCACACTTCAAAATTCAAAATCTTCAGAAAAGAAGACAGTTGCTGGATCTGTACTTCTTACACAAAATTATTCATGCCTCCTTTGACTGTTCCTTTCTCTTGGAACAAATTAATTTTACAATTACGCGTAAGCATATTAGAAGCACGCGATTTATTAAACCTTTTTCTCCTAAGCCTTACAGGAGTAATCTAGGACACTATTCACCTATGGACAGACTTCAGGATCAATTCGGAGTATTAGCTAAGTGTAGTGATTTGAATATATANTATTCATGTCTCCTTTGACTGTTCCTTTCTCTTGGAACAAATTAATTTTACAATTACGCGTAAGCATGTTAGAAGCACGCGATTTATAAAACCTTTTTCTCCTAAGCCTTACAGGAGTAATCTAGGACACTACTCACCTATGGACAGACTTCAGGATCAATTCGGAGTATTAGCTAAGTGTAGTGATTTGAATATACACAAAGTTTAGTACTTTCAAAACTTGTGTTAATGATGTTCTAAATAATCATAGTTGTGGGTCCTCATTTTCGTAAAATGTTCGTTAATGTTCGTTATATTTCGCTATCTACATTCATAGCTGTGCATATTATCATCTTTGCTGGTGTTTATGCTTTCTTTTCTGGGTTTTCTTGTTTACTTTCTGGTTTTTACATTTCAGTCAGCGGTCTGATATCAAACTGCATTTAAATATTGTATTCTACCTACAGTCACTATTATCTAAGACATGCAGTTGATATGCTGGATTCCTGGCTTGAATTAAATTCTATCCACAATCAATTATTATTTTTTGTTTTTGTTTTTTAGATTTTAGTCGATACTACGCTTCCACGCAATCTATGCACATGTCGTGGCAGCTTTTAATTAAGGCTACACTATAAACACGTATTGTTTTCTATGTTTTTTTCCTGTTAATTGTGTATGTCTTGTTAGCTGTCCTTAAATAAATAAATAAATAAATAAATAAATTTTCGTTCCCATTGCTACAAATCCTTTGTAACCAGCATTACAACTAGACCGCCGATTGTTGCCACTTCTCTCTTTTGATTAAATTCGTTAAGGTTTGCAAGCTTTGCCCAGGAACTAGATATTACTCACCTTAGCTGGTTGGGTTTTTACTCATAGTTGGGTAGAACTAGTAAAACTATACGTAGGTCTGAGTAAGTACTGGAGTTGAAGTGGTGGAAACGGGAGGGCTGATTCTGGTTAGATCTTGTGAAGGTTGTGAAAAAAACAATGTCTGTGAAAAGACCGGACGCTGTGGAAATCCTTGTTATTACCAATAATGGACTCTTCGTTTCTTCCAGGTCCCCCTAAGTGCCACAGCATCCTACGTAGTCTATCAGGCGTTGACCAAAGCTAGATGCCAGGATGATCCCAAAAGGTAACGTAAACTTTTTAGTAATCTTTTGTCAGCTTTCCAGTTTTAAAGAATCCAGGAGTTTTGAATGCTCTGCCACGTCATCGTATTAATGTCCACTCTACTCTAAACCGCCTCTGTGGTCTAGTGGTAAGACCACCTGCTTCAGACGCAGAGGTCCAGTGTTCGATTCCCAGCGGGGGCAGATTTTTCTGTTCGGTTTGGTTGGTGGTTGGCTTGTTCTAAGTCCGCCTGGCTAGCTACCACCATCTTACCTAAGTCTGTCGCCATAACAACAATGTTAACAGCATTGTTGTGTTCCGGCAGTTAGAGGTAAGATAGCCATTTCCTCCGTGGTTGAGGATTCCGGGTGAAGCTCGCTTCCACCTTCGGCCTGATCGTCACTTACTACTTATCAGCTGAGATACAGGCCAAGAACTTCCTCGTTGTGGATAAAAAAAACCCGTGCCGCTCCCATATTTCAGAGTAAAAGCGCTAGATCTATAAATTACAATAATAGATACCTAATATTCTGTCTTAGCTAAACCTGTTTTCTACCCTCATAAATGGAATTAAACTAACCATTGCAGGTTCGTCCTGGTGGAGGAGCTGGAGTGGGGCGGGCGCGCCGGCGCCGGGCCGCAGCAGCGCGCGCTGGCTGATGACGAGGTCGTCTACGCTGCTCAGGTAAGCATCATGGCGGTCACCCATCCATGAAGTTTTAGGCTGGGTTGCATCATCTTATTTTAGGCTATAAATAAACTCCGACACTACTGAATATCAACAAGACTTTACTTCGACACTACACTACTCAATCAAAAATCAAAATCAAAATTTTCTTTATTTGTTTGGACTAATTGAATTAGTACTTGCAAATCGTCAAATGCTCTTAAGGAGCCTATACATGTCTCATTCTTTTTTTGCCCTACCAGCGCTTCGAGACAAACATTTGGCAAGTGCTGAGAAGAAGCGCCGCAACAAACTCAGTCACCACTGTCTGCCGGTTTAAAAATATAAAAAAGTAGGAAGTTACAATACATTCAGAAGCTAGTTACTTACCACGCGCTCCCGTTGATAGAAGGTGGCCTTTTAAGACGCCCATCTAGCACGAGACCGCGTGGCACTCAGAACGTAATGTCGAAGTAACGTTTGTCCGAGTATAATTTCCAGCCCTATTTTAACTATTACAAACGTCAAAAACAAGGGCTTCTGGCCTTGGGAGGGCAAGTCATACCTAACTCCTGGCCTAGGGCGGCAAGTCAGACTTTTAGATCAGATTTTTTGATTTAGCTCCTTGAAAGCGACTCGAGGCTTTTCTTCCCCCTCGGCTTTATATTTCGCAAATTCAAAATCACCCGCACCCAGCATACCGGTGGTAATTTTCAATCGCCCAGCAAGTGAATGGTCGTGGGTTCGATTCGATAACACCTGAAGCAATCGACTTTTTCAAGTTAAATTAGATAAATGTTTAAAATACAACTCTATGCTAAGCGATTCGATAACTCTTTTATAATGCGAACAGCTAGGGACTGGAAATCATCGCCTGCTTCTATTTTCCCGAACTCTAATCCGGGCCTTTTCAAGGCGAGGGTGAATAAGCACTTACCTACAGAGCCGATATGTACCATCCCAGACTCTCTCATTAACATCAGGTGATTGCAGTCAAATACCTGCCTTGTTCTGCATAAAAAATGCTTTTTATAACACCTAGTTCTCTCCCCAGGCCAGTTGGAAGACCCTGGGCCGCTTTGTTCTCCAAGAGAAAGGCAGCTGCGCACCACTGCCTCGACACCGCGCCGCCATCGCGCGCATACAGCGCGGGCTCAGCATGACACGGGGAGCCATCGCAGGTAATGACGTTCCTCCGAGAGAGAGGCTTGTGTCCACCAGCATGGTTGATGGCTGAAAACATTGAATTTTCGGATAGATCCAGTTAATTCTGTAAACTATTACTGATACCGTTTGAAAGAGCTCGTGAAGCACTTTCAGGATCAGTAACCAGAGCCCCGATTACGGTAATTTTTAAAGTTTCCAAAACAGACGCGCTTCTTCGATACTGCGATACGATTGGTCAAAACAGCTGACGTGAACTGTTTTGACTGTTTTTCGATATCTTGCATAGTTTAGAAATAATCGAGTGAGATCACTTATCGTTTCCACCCTGTATGCAGAGGGAAGAGCGTAGGTCATAACACACAACCTTGAGGGACACCAGCATTCTCAAACGTAAAATCTGAGGATTTACGGTCGACTACGACCTTAATGCTTCTGTCTGCTAAAAAACTAGTGAACAACAGAACAATCACTCGGGAAGCCCGTAGGAAGGGAGCTTCAAAAGAAGCGCTTTGTGCCAAACCCGATCGAAGGCCTTCGCCATGTCCACACTAACCGCCAATGCTTCCCCCTTAGTCTCGATCGCCTGTGCCCAACAATGTGTCAGGTAGACCAGAAGGTCACCAGCCGAACAACCTCCATGGAAACTGTATTGTCACTCACTTAGCAACTGGTGGACCTCTAGGTACCGAAGGAGCTGGCTGTTGATAATGGATTCCATTTATCTTCGAGAATAAGGATATTATGGCTATCTATGCAGATACCTACCTATTTTTCTTATTTTACATTGTTTTAATAAAATAAATCTAAAGTGAGTGTTTGTTACAGGAGGGTCGCCTTTCCCTCTGGGAGGGGGTATTTCCGAAAACCCTCCAAACGAGGGCAAGCCTCCGATACAAGCCGCATACAGCGACCCCACTCATTGCAGGTAAGATTATCTTAATAAGTAGGTACTTATTAAGTTGTACAGACAAAAGCACATCAAGAGAAAGAATAGGGCATCTTAGGATATTTCGCAACAAAAATGTAGGCTGATGGCCTGTCACTGTACAAAAACATACCTACCTACATAATTTTAGTCTTATGAACATGCACATAACGTTCAAGATCTCTAGTCTTCTAAAGTCATCGATAAATAAATAAATAAGTTTTTTGAGCACTTAAATCATACTCTCGACTCGTATTGGCTTGACGACGAGTTGTCGAGTTCTCTTTTTACAGATTTTTGATAGTTTCAATATCGTTATCATACAAATAATTTTTTTTTTATAAAAAAATAATATTATTAGCAATTTGTATTGCACAAATTACTAATAGTCCCGTTAGCCCCTCGTGTTAAGCTAAATAAGCTCGTGTTACGAGTGGGCTCACCACAATAAATGAAGGTTAACCGCCATCTGATGATCAGAGACATATGAAACCAGAGGTATGTCGCAGAAAGTGCACTTTTCCATACTAATTTCATAATCCAACTCTTCAGCCTTTTGGCTATAGAAAAGTGTGCATTTTCCGTAACGCTCATTTTGCGAAATGCACATAGTTACTACCTCGACCCAAAACCAGAAGTTGTAGTTTCCCTGATAGTCCTCAAATTTAACAGCAAGAGGTGAAAGTCCTGTTGTTTTCCAGACGCGTGTCTTCAACTCCCCTGGGCAAAGGCATCGGCCGCGCTAAGGGACACTCGGACAAGGACATGCGGGCTTATATGCAGAAGCGAGCGGCTGCTAGAGAGGTGAGGATACATCATCGGGTCATTTAGTCTCCATTGCATGAGCCCGACCATCTAATTTACAAGAGGCAATGGTAACTCCATTATCTCCAGTGTCGTGTGGTTCTGGTAGAGTGAATTAGGACCAGTCCCACTCTTCCTGTGGATGTCGTAAGCAACTACCTACTTAAGGGTTTGTCCCTTGCGAACATCAGGCCTCCCCTTTTGGCCAGCGTGAGTCAAATCCTTCATTTGTTTCTGGTAAATTAGAGGGGGGTCGCTTTTTGTAGTGAAAAGTTAGCGAATCGCTTTGTGTGAGCTGGTGGAATGTCGATAGTGTAGGGATGCTAATTTTAATACATTAATTTCTGTAAGCCTTCAAGCAGCTTTCTAAATAAATAAATTAGTCACTAATGTATGGATGTTATGGATATGTAGTTTCGGTTATGGATACGGTTACGGATATAGGAGTAATATACCGGTTTTGGTTACGGTTACGGATATATTTTTATTTCCGATATCCGAAAGTTTCGGTTACGGTTACGGATATCTGTGCTTTAGAATGCAATTTGCAATAGTTGTCCAACACGCTTCATTCATGGCCGCACACTTTACATCGAAAAAACTTTTGAATCGGTTACGGTTTCGGATATTTTTTTAATTCGGATATCCGAAAGTTTCGGTTACGGTTACGGATATCCATAACATCCCTGGTCACTATTATCCAGCATGATTAGTCGACAGAGAGGGTTATATGTTTTTTAAATTACCCAACTTCTACCAAATGCTACACACACACCTATATAAACAGTTTTATCTTTTTATTTCCTTTCATTAGTATTCCTAATAAACGTAGTCTTATCATCCTTACCGATTTCCCGCCTTTTGTATTTATCTGTGCACTAATATTACTATTTATGTATGTTTATCTAGACAATTTTATGCAGCTTACTATTTTATTTATTTTACCAATGGTCCGTGACCCTCACTCGGCATGGGGCACACTGAAAACCAGCGCCGTGGCCTTCGTCACCGTGGGCCACGGCATATGCTGAGTTGGGGTCCCGTTGCAGTGGGCATCTTGTTGGTGAATGGGTGGCACTGCTCAGTTTACTCTTGTTTTTATTTTTTCTTCTTCCATTATTATTTGTGTGATGTCCATTGTAATAAATGTATCTTTCTTTCTTTCAAATGAGGGTTATGTTTCGTCCCAGGTGCACTCGGAAGGCGAGACGGCGCCGGGCGGGTCTTTAGGGGCAGAGGCGCTGGCGGCGCAGGTAGCTCGCTTCAAGAGAGTCTCCTTACGCAAGCTGCGCGCGTGGCGCTCCTGAGTGTGGCAGGTGATAAATAATAAATTCTATCTTTGCTTCATCATCATTTCAGATCCAGGACGCCCATTATAGAGATATAGAGAGATGCCAACTAATGCGCCGAGTTCGAAACTCAGTGTCGCATTAGAAACCCACGCACACAAAGTAATCAAAATATGTTCTCATTATCCACTGCGGTATCAGTACTACTCAACGTTCGAGTAATCTTTAGTACTAAGTACGCAAGCAATGTTTACATTATGACGTCGCTGCTGTCATCATTGCTTTCACGAGCAGTGTGTTCTGCGTTTCTCAAGACAATGATCTGTGGTTTTTGGGCACAATGTCACATCTTAGTTTCTGTGGCCTCCCCCAATGATTTCCATACTGTACGGTTTGTAGTGGCTTGCATCCAGGGCCTTTCTGACCTTTTACAAGGTCTTGTCGTCGGTCTACTTTGTGTCCCACGCTGCGTTTACTGGTACGTGGCCTCCTGGCCTACTACAATCAGTTTGTGTTACCATCAGTGATGATATTATCCACCTTATTACAAAATAGTTAAACCCCGGACGAACACCTTAAACTAAACCAGAGTTCAACCAGTCTAACATTTTGTAATAGCCACACTATAGGCCTTATAAAGAAGCTCAAAGTTACACCGCGAGCTATTATGCTCGGTGTTTCTTACGAGATCGAATCAGAAGTTACCTACCCCAGAATGGTCCATTGCCCACCCCAGGATGATGATACTGGGCTTCGAAGATAACTTGACAGTAAAATAATATAAGTAACAACTAAATCGTGTTTCACCGCCCTTAAAAATTTCCCTAGATAAGTACGCGGATACGCTAATGTTATAGATCGTTTCATCCACGAAGACGCGCCCCACCATTCTTCCGCTAATGTTTGAGGGGTATCGGTACACGCTAAATGATCCATGAGTGCACACGCGCACTACAATAATGACGCTCGGATTGTTTGGATCAAACTCCTCGCGCTTCCCTCGACCAAACATTGGTGGGGCGCGTTTTCGTGGATGAAACGATTTCTATGCTTCGAGCTGCTTTGATTAAAATTTCATTCTAATAATCATTTTGATTCCCAGGTCTTCCGCCGGCTAGGCACCCGCCTCGCCAACCACCGGGCGTCGCTTTCCTCCGAGCTCGGCTCCCTCTGGGACTTCATTCGCATCGACAAGGACCGCCGGCGGTCGGCCCCCGCTGCCTCGTATGAACCCATCCACAGCGACACTCGATCCCCGGTTAGACTGGCCCGGGATCTGCTACAAGTCGTCCAGGAAACTGTGCTGAAGCGATTTGATGAAACCCCTAAACGATGTCCTTTGGCTAAAGAAGAATCGGAGTTAACTAGTTCTGATGAAGATGATGGCAATGATAAGAGGATAGCGAATTTGATTGATTTCTTCTTTACGATTGTTAAAAGTCAGAGGGAGGAGCGAAAAGGCAGCGGTGGGAGTTGCTTCAAAAGCGAAAACAGCCCGACGGAAGGCAAAATCGAAACGTATATACCTACTAAAGTGAATACAGAGTTGGAACAGAAAATGGAAACGCTGATCGAGTTTCTAGCGTCTACTGGTTGTATGGATAGAGACGAAGAAATCACGACGAAGGATGATAAGAAAATAACGCTTATGGAGTTCTTGTTCGGTCCTGAGGAGGGGAAATGGGTGGAGAAACCTATTATACAGATCAAAACTGAACCGGACTTTGTAAATAAGGGCATCAGTTTATCCGAGTCCAATATTAACGTTAAAGAATTATCTTATATTGATGAAACGCCAGACGAAGAAGGCAATGAGACGCTAGTTGAAATGCTGCTGAAATACATGGACAATTATGGCAGCAAAGAAAAGTTTAAGGAGACCAAATCAATGTCCATAACTCCGTCTTTATCTGAAAAGTCTAAATCAGATGTAACTATAAGCAAATTGGAGACTTTTAGTGACATGAATAAGACGAAATCGGACTCAACGTTGACTCATACTCAAGACACGGTCATTGAGAGAGGCGATGACAGATCTGAGAAGTCTAGTCGACGGATATCTGAGACAGTGGTCGATTTAAGTCACGTAAAGGAAGATTTGGAAGATATATTCGATGAAGCGGTGGACAAAGTGTGTGGGATTAGACATGTGCCTAACGAAGACGATACTATGACCGAACAGGAAGACATAGAAAACTTTAATGCGTATACTAAACCTCCTTTACTGCAGTATATGCAGTACTTGCCTTATAGCGTTGAACTATCAGATATAATGGAAGAAGATGAGCCGTCTTCTAGAGGGATGGAAAGGAAACTATCAAGCGAAGACAGACTTGAGTACGCTAGACAATTAGCCGAAGATCTAGTTCGATACATCGAGAGAAAGATCGAAGAACATTTTGAGGACGACTCCTCTTCTGACAGCCGAGAATTTGACATCTGTTCGAGTTTAAAACGATCTTCTATAAGTCTGATCGATCTGAGAAATATCCCAGACTTGCCTCCAAGCATGATCATCAAGCCGAAAGTAGTCAAAATCAGCAGATCCACATCAACAACCGAGATATCAGACTCGATTTCAGATCTATCGAAGAGAATCGAATCTGCTTGTATGACGGAAGATACGTCATTAACATCGAGCTCAGAGAGGAACGAGCGAGCGATGGACAAAATCGAATCGTTGCACAAATTCTTCTCTAAATCGAGACTGGAGATTATCGATGAGATAATAGAGGATAATGGTGAAAAAGTTAAAAGTCCTAAAATGATATTTCTCGACTCTGAAACCAGTAAAAGTGACAATGAATACAACAAGGCTGGCCAAGCGAGTCTGGATGATGTGGAAGATTTGCAAGAAGACAATGATTTGGAGAAGAATGAGAAAGAAGGCAACAAGAATGAAACAGAAAAAAGAAACCAAGGAGACAAGATTGTTGATGATGAAACAATTGGTGATGATGTTGAACCAAAAGGTAATGATGCTGAACCAAATTGTGATACCGATAAACCAAATGTTGATGAAGGTAAACCAAACGGTGATGATGTTGAACCAAACGGTGATGATGTTGAACCAAAAGGTGATGGTGTTGATCCTAATGTTGATGATGAACCAAATGGTGATAATGATAAACCAGTCGATGATGATGAACAAAACGGTGATGATCGTGAAGATAAAGTTAAAAATGATGAGCAAGAAAACGAAATGGATACACAAGAGGATAAAATATAAGCTAATCTACGAATTTGATCACGAAACACTCGTAAGCACTTTTAATTGAGTAGTTGACAACAATAATCAATTGATGTCCTAAAAATGCTACATTACCCTCATAGTTTTGTAATAGGAATAGCACTATGACGTCACCTTTTCATCAAACTGGGCTTTTTTTCAATGTCACTGAACATTAAATAATTTTCATTTTACAGTCAAAAACAAAGGAGTATTTAAAGTTTAAGTAAAATTGGCTCGTAGAGTAGCTGTGCCTTGAAATGATTGCTGGCGTCAACTACCCAATAAAAAAGTCATACACAAAAATGCAGAAAAAATACTAATCATACACATAAATCACATAATATTAAAAGAGAACAGTCAGGTACAAAAGTAACATATCGTAAAAAAGAGTATTTTGTCGATTCCATGGATTTTTTACATACCATTTTTTCCATCAGTGATTCCATTCCATCAAGAAGTGATTATTTTTGAACCCATAAAAATGGTTGAAATAGAATCACCAAGATTCATGCAGTTGGGAAATAATTATTGAATTGACTCAACAATAATAATAATACGATATACTTTCGGCCGCATCTTAGGGGTCCGAGTTAATAGTGAGATTTTTGAATATTATTAATAATAGTAATCTAATAATATATTAAACACCTACATATTTCGGCGGTGATATAAAATAAGTATCTATCAAATAAATTACTGATATAAAAATAGTACAGTTAGCTACATCAATTAGGTAGTTGTAATTTTCATTTTCAGCAACCAATACGAAAATTATCCAAAAAACAACGGTTTCTTAAATAATTACAATTTTGCATTAAAATATAATAAAAGACTACTAACTAATTTCGGAACTATTCTGTACGATAAGAAAATGATAATTTTCTTTGATAATATTTCTCATAATGTTTTACATTCCTCCGATTGATAGTTATGTATTACTTTACTTAAACATCCATCTACAAAGTTTATATCACCGTCGAATCAAAATATAGATATAGGTAGTGTACTAGAAAATAATATATTAGTGTGTGTTATAATAATGGCGTACATATTTATCACAAGTTGAATTTATAAAAAGAAAATTATATTAAAATAAATAGTGAATTTTATACTAACTAAATGTATAAAAACGAGATTTTATCGCAAGTTCTCGTTTGTATTTTTTAACGGCAGTTTATTAATAAAATGTCGAATAAAAATACAATTGAAACTTCATTTTAGCTTGTTTTCATCAACTAAACAAATATTACGCTTAAATACACAAAAATGATTGTCCGAAAAACTATGTTATCTAATCAAATCCACATAAAAATCCGTATAAAAAATCTTTAAATTATTTCATAGCGATGAAAACAAGTTAAATAATTTCTAAAAAAGCTAATCTATTTCTAAAGTAAATTATTACTGCTGTGAAAACTTATGATATTTCGAAAAATGTTACATAATATACTTTTTTACTGGTTACAATAATTTTTATGGCTATTAAAATATCCATCACTAATTAAAATTATTGTCTCTTGAGGCAATACCGTCATAAAAATTATTATAAAAATATCATAGCACAAATCATTGCGAAAAGACATATTAGTCGCCAAAGAACCCTATTTTTACAATTAGTCTCAAAAAAGAATTATTTTATAGTTAGATGTTTTTGGGGCTGACTGTATCTAATGCCTAAATGTATGTGTGTGATTTTAGCAGCACTTCTTATGTATGAAATATTAGGTCACATTATTTGTAGCACATTACTATTTTAGAGTACAGATTTTGTATGAAAAATAATACAATAATACATGATTGACTTCGTGGAAAATACATATTATTATTAATATTATACATTATAATAATAATAGAAAGTTCTAAAGTTTATTTACAAGTAGATCTACTAAAGTCACGCACAAGCCTAATAATGTTACCATGTGTAAATTATTATGTATTGTTATTATTAATTTAAAAACTATATCTGTTAATGTTTCTTAAAGTATCTGTCTATTTAACATACAGATAACTTTTATCTATTTTTTGTCAGTCTATTCCACTAGAATAGACACCCTTTGATCACCCATGGATAAGATCACCTGGGTGATCAAATCCAGGTGTTCAAAGTGGAATAAGACCTACTTTTCAGGAAGAACAATTAGTGATTTTATTCTTTAAAAATACCTTATCAAAAATAGTTTTAATAAAAAAGTATAATCCAAATATTTTATATAACTTGCAGTGTTATCATATAAATTATAATAGATTTAGTTTAAAAGTTTTAGAGTTAGTTACATATAAAATTGTGTTATTTCATTAACATTAACAATTCTAGCGCAATGTTATAATATTATTGTTTTTGTAAATCAATTATAAATAATAGATGTATTTAGTTGACAGAATGTTTCTATTATATTTTATGAGAAATACAATTTATTTTACTGTGATTAATGTGATTTTATTTTAAACTAGCTGTGCCCGCGACTTCGTCCGCGTGGACTAATGACTTTGGGTAGGCACTTTTAATAATTTAGTCTAATTATTTTACAAAGGCCTATGTTCAGCAGTGGACGTCCTATGGCTGAAATGATGATGATGATGATGATGATTTTACAAATAGCTTTTGCCCGCGACTTTGTCCGTGTAGAAGTCGAAAAAGTTCTCATAGGATTTTTAAATGGTTTTTAACGTTATTATCTAAATGTTTGAATACTATTTGATCGTTTAAACACAGTGAATGATTCAATTACATAAATTTTTAATGATACTTTTCACGGCTTCGCTCTCATGAATGTTAACGACCGTCAAAAGCACGTCGATAGATGGCGGTCACTAATTTAGACTTTGATTTGCTCGTTTAAACACAGTGAATTATTCAATTACATAAAATATCTTTATTGACTAAATTTTAAATATTATGACTAGTTCTATAAATGTAATATTTAGTTTCTAATTAGGACTAATGATACGTTTCACGGCTTCGCTCTCATGAATGTTTACGACAGTCAAAAGCACGTCGATAGATGGCGTTTTTAAGGATATTNTGGGTTATAAATAATAATACTGTAAAGTTTCAACAAAATCCGTTTATTAGTTTTTGCGTGAAAGAGGAACAAACATCCAGACATCCAGACAAAAAGGTTACAGTGAGCCAACCATAAAAGATAGACATATGCTGTCGCGGACTTTTTTGTAGAACTTTTAAAGGGGAAAATCCTATCATACATAATTTATGCGAAACTTTAACCGTTTACGCAGCGTCAACTCTCAAAAGGAAAAAAATCACTGATTTGAAACATTCTTCATTGGTGCTCCGCTCCTAGTGGTCTTAGCGTGATGATATATAGCCTAAAGCCTTCAGGGATTAACGGACTATCCAACACAAAAAGAATTTTTCAAATTGGTCCAGTAGTTCCTGAGATTAGCGCGTTCAACCAAATAAACAAACTGTGATTAATAAATTGCGCCACTACAAACCGTACCAACAGATGGCGCTGTTACGATCTTACTATGGCAAACTCCACCGCGCATACAATCCTGCATCGCGGTGACGAAGTTTTTTACCCTGCCCAGTATATATAGACAAACCAAGATTGTGTATATTAGATGCACTAACACCATAGCTTCCTTATGGTGGTTGAGCGTCATGTTCCACAACTTCAGCTTTATAATATTAGTAAGTAAGTAAGTATAAGTATAGATAATCTGAGTTTAATATAATTTTTCGAGACATTTTGGTTGTTTGATTCTACTATATCACGAACGTACTAGGCTATTATTATGTGCCTACGATTGAAGAATATTTTGATATCAAAGGGCATTTGGTAATAAAAGAAAATTTGCGTTTTCATAAATAATTTTATTTGATCCATCGAATAACATCTAAAATTAGTACGTTACTATTCAGTACAAAAGCAGGGTTTAGGAAGTTATAATAACTAAAAGGAGCGCATAAGTGAGTAGATTTTACACTAGTGAAGTTGTACAGTCAGCTTCAAATAGTTCGTGACACCCAAAGTGGCCAAAAAATTGACAACACAACCTTATTCCAATGAGGGCTATCGTTTTAGCGCTCACCAGTTAGCGCCACTGTAGAGTAAGGTCCTGTCACTTGCTAGTAGCGAAGACAGTGGCACCAACTGGTGAGCGCTAAAGTGGTAGGAGGACTATCGCATTTGCACTCATCAAGATGGCGCCACTGTAGAGTAAGGTCCTGTCAATCGCCAGGGGTGCCAACTGTTAAGTATAAAAACGATAGCCCTCATTGTAACAAAGACGTGTTGCGAACTTTTTGGCTACTTTGGGTGTCACGAACTACTTGACACCTACTGTACGGGGTTGTTACGTCGTATGACGTCTTCAGGCGTATTGCGACAGCTCTATGACGTCAAATGTCACCGCAGGAACCTACACAGTTACGCGCTATAAATCTGTTTACGAAGTTACATTCTATGATCAGTACTAAACAATGTATTTTTGGATAGACAGCCGCCTAGCCTTGGTCGATTCTTGACCTTAGTCTTCAATATTAGGTTGGAAATTAAGAAAAGCCAAATGTGCTAGGTACGGTCAGCGTCAATTAGTTCGTGACACCCAAAGTGGCCAAAATCATGACAACACAACCTTATTCCAATTGTAACAAAGACGTGTTGAACTTTTTGGCTACTTTGGGTGTTACGAACTTTTTGAAGCTGGCTGTACATGCGTTGTATGATGATCACGTATCACATGACGCCTGCCATATCATACACTTCACATGTCGGGTCCCATACAAACATTGCACAATGAAAATATATTCTAATTTAGCTGTAATTGAATATAAATCTCATTTTAGACTAGCTTACAAAATTAATATTACAATTTATCAGATAAAATTGCTGTTAGTTTAAATTCTACAGGCATAGCTTATAACTGAGCGGGACTATTCCTACCTCTCGTTCCCACCGCTGCAACTCCTGTGTAGCCAGGATCTACAGCTTGACCGCCATAACCCAACCAGTGAAGGTCAAGTTTGTCCCGGGGGAAAGTTAAACTGTCATTGGACCCGCAACGAAATTAATCAGAAGAACATAGGAGTTCGAAGTTAATGTTCGACTTCCCTCCTGTGCAAAGCAGGAGACAAATCGAAGGTTACGTCTTGAGGTTACTGAAGTGAAACATCACACAAAATCAGGAATTTTACTCAGTTATACCTAAGCCTGTAGTTGATATAGACCCACTAAGGTTTTCAGGTCAGCAGAGATTTAAAAAACAAGTTCAATACGATCGAAATACAAATGGTCCTTCGAGCCGGATAAAGGACGAAGCACGAATCAACCCGGAAACGGATCGTAACTTGATCAACTCGAGGCGGTCAGTATTCTTTGTATAAAACTCCGTACTGCAACGCACACTTATCCGCACCGTAACGTAAACGCCTCGCGGTAGACAGTGGGCAAAAGGCGATACGTTTTTGATCCCTTTCCAGGTTGATAAGTGTGCTAATGCTTTTCTGGTCAGAAATCCGCTAGCCTTACGATCTCGGTCGTTTCATAAATATAAATCAGTATACTTTTGAGAGCCAGACATAAGATCTACATACATAAATCAATAAAATGTAAACATACTTTTAGTAGCTGCTTACATACTATTACTATATTATAAACATCTATATCTCTAAATAATTATGAGATTTTTAATTATTTACAACGTACATAATGTACGGACATTCTAAATATTTTTACGAAGTGTATGAAGCCTGTGGCTACAACTATACGTAGGCGAAATATCATTTGCCTTGTGAATTAGAGGGTCGTGCTCCTGGAATGGAGTCTAAATGACTTGATGATGATAATAAAAATCAAGTTTACAAAATGCGTATGTAATTATGATGATTTATAGGTCTTAATAGACGATATGAGTGTTGGTTTGTTGACTACACCCTCTCTCACTCAGTCGCAATTGACTAAAGAAAGTTGTGATAGGAATCACATCTTTTATAGGTAGCATAGCAAGGCTTGAGGCGAACACACACTGATGTTATATTTGAATACATAACACAACACATTCAAGTTCTAGTATCGAATACACTAAAGCCCGGTCGCCAAGCACGTAGAATTTCGTCCAATGTAATTACGCGCCAGCGATAAGGATGGGTAGCTAGGGGTCATTGGACGAAATTCTACGTCCTCGGCGACCGGACTATACCCACGTTGCTCTTGCTAAATGCGTGCAAGCGAGACAGAAAGCACTTGTCAGAGAAACTACGTCAGCGCGGCGAGCGTATACAGATACAAATCTTTGCTTGTGTTATCGCCCCATCTCTCGCTGCGCGACTTTATAATGCATGCACGTATTCACAAACGATGCTTGCGTAAGTGAAGCAGCAAGCCGCACGCACAGCGTTGAATAGAGCTCTGTGATTGGTTCGTGTGAGACCTCATAGTAATGTTTGTGAATACGGGCGATAGATTGTCATTTTATTAGAATTCTTCGTGACATAATATGACATACCACATTGTGGTATACTTTTGACTCTAAAACTAATATTGTATTCAAACGACCGTTTTAATACCTAAATATTACAAAATAAATAATAATACTCAAGGTATTATATGAGTGAGAAATTTTTTATCTAAGACGGAAGGAAGTTTTGCTAAAAGATAATATAGTTTATGTAATCGTGTTTATATACAAAGTTAATGATAATATCTGAGAATATTGCACTGAAGTGTGTGCGTTGAAGAAAAACATTAAAATATAATGTAAAAATTGTTTGTTTTAATATTTAACAGCTTGAAAGAAATCATCTAAAATCGCATGTATCGTTTTTATTTTCAGAACGAATTCAAAACTTATTTTAAATAGAGATAGTTTGAACTAAATTGTTCATTACGAAACTATAATTTTCAAAAACTACACATTTATTTCAAATTAACGAAAAATTTCTATTTTTGAACAAGCAAACAGGTTTTAAAATGTGCATAGAAACTAAATCTAACATAATTTTTTGATCAAAAAGGACATTAATACACATTATTTAATAAAAATAACTATTTTATAAATGTTGTTCTTTACAAACAAAATATAATATCTAAACTATGTACAATATACAGTCTACTGTATGCTGAAGACATGTGAATAATACAATATACTATATTTTTTGCCAAAATTATAAACAAAAAAGTATTTTAAAGAAGTTATAGAAGGTAGTTAGAAGAAAGATCATCTCTTTCTAACAATTTGAATCAATTGAATAGCATAAAAATACGAATATAAAAGTACGAGTTTGTACGAGTTAAAATTATTTCTTTAACAATTTTAAGATTTCATGACATTTGAAAATCCAAATACAATATTTTTCTAATGACACGCTTGGCGCGTCTAACCTTCCTGAAAGTTTTATCGTGACGCGCGTGTCATCAAATCAAAAAATACTTCATTCGTTTACAATTTCGGCAAGTATAAATCTATGTATTATAATACACTAAAATATGTACTGTAAAGGGTAATCTAAACACTATAACACACAGTCTTTTGCACCACTACCGCCGCTTAGTTTCTGCAGTGCTCGGTGTCAACTCGATATGTCGGTGAGAATATAACAATAGTTGTATGTTATATGTTGTCTCAAGTGATATAGGATGGTGTATATCAAAACACATTTTGTGGGGAGTTGAGTCTACCTGGAAATAGAAAGGGTCAATTGGAACGATTTCTATTGAGCAGTAAATTATAGTCACACATTTTGAAAAACTTATTTTTAGCTTATTCAATGAGATTCAATATCGTGCTAATATCTTTTACACCGGTCAGCTTTAGTGGGGCGTCGGCGCGTATGCATATGCATATCATACCGGGAAGCGTTCGCGGGGCATCGGCGGGGCGTTGCACTGTGGGCGAAAAATCGACCTCCCCTTTCATAGAATTTTGAAAAAAATAAGTGTTGCTTTTGGCACTTTAAAGTATGCAGGTCTATTGAACACATGAAAACATTAAATAATATAGTATTCACGGGCCTTGTCTCGTCGTTTACACCTCATAATGTGAAATTGTATGTTTCAAATGTATGAAAATGAAAATAAAATATCTCATAACTTTTTTCGGTCTTGCTCGGTCAGGCTGAAACTTTCAGGTATTGTTACCGAGTCTGTAACGAAGCTGCACGATCTTTTACTTTGATCCCAAACGGTCCCGATTAGAAGTTATGAATTTAATAATAATATGAATATTTATATGACATTCCTGTGAAATTCTGTGTAGATAATGTATTACCAGGCCTGGCTCACTCCGCGCGGTACATCCGATAATTACCTACAGCGAAGCGCCCCGCCGGCGGGTATTAATCAGTCGAGTGTCACGCGCTCGCCCGTCAGAACGCTGGCTTGCGTTTTAGTATGATTATAATTCTATGATCGAAGTATTATTTAAAAATGGACATAAAGAGAAATAAATATTGTGCGGCGTTCGGGTGTTTAAATTCGAAGAGAAATTACCGGATTTATCTTTTTTTCTCGCTTCCCAAAGATGCTGAAAGGTATGTTGGCCATGTAGGTAATCAATAATAAAATTCTTAGGATAGTATAGGATTCTTTATTTTTCTGTAATAGTATGTTTAATTTATCTGTCTTATGTTAAAATAGGTAGGTATGAATGAAGACATTGTAATAGAACAAGTTTTTTTAATCCTAATTAGGTATATTTGAAATGTTATTTTTACTTACCTACATACGTACCTCATTACAAATAAGTAGATTAATTATTTTTTCACTAGACAGCAACCCTAACAGCGTAAGAAGAGTTCAGAGGCACGCGATAGAAAGAGACAAAACTTGTAGGTGAATAAAATTGTAGGTACGTAGTGCTGTGCGAGCTGAATTCCACTGTATCGCGTCGCAGCAAGACTCGCATTTATTTAAATCGTCGTGCGGAGTAATCCTTCTGTACCTGTACTATTACTTATTCTGTGAAAGAATTATTCTCCAACTCCTAACCGTTAAGGAGTTTGACCTTCCGTCATCACCTCATCAACATTAGATGACGACTACCAGACGCATAATACTTGAATAACTTCAGAATAAATATGAAAAAAGAAATATGTGCCTATAAAATTTGAGGTTTGCCCTCGATTTCCCTAGGATCCCATCATCAGACCCTGACCCTTGTGGCAATGGGACAACCTCAGAAGTGTACGCTATCTAACAAAAAAAGGATTTTGAAAATCGGTCCACAATTGACGGAGTAATCAGTGAACATACATAGAACAAAAAACATACAGCCAAACATACAACCTCCTCCTTTTTTGAAGTCGGTTAAAAAATGATTTGGTAATTTGTTGTTCAAATGAACTCCCTGTACATAATATTTCTCTTTCCGTAGTACCTTAGTAATACATTATCTACACAGAATTTCACAGGAATGTCATATAAATATTCATATTATTATTAAATTCATAACTACTAATCGGGACCGTTTGGGATCAAAGTAAAAGATCGTGCAGCTTCGTTACAGACTCGGTAACAATACCTGAAAGTTTCAGCCTGACCGAGCAAGACCGAAAAAAGTTATGAGGTATTTTATTTTCATTTTCATACATTTGAAACATACAATTTCACATTATGAGGTGTAAACGACGAGACAAGGCCCTTGAATACTATATTATTTAATGTTTTCATGTGTTCAATAGACCTGCATACTTTAAAGTACCAAAAGCAACACTTATTTTTTTCAAAATCCTATGAAAGGGTGGTCGATTTTTCGCCCACAGTGCGTTGCCGGATGTCAGATACGATACTCCTCCGATGTGATATTTTTACTTTACGAGTATATTATAGGCTACTAGAGCGGGCAGTGTCGCAGAGCGTGGATGGAGCGATGGCGGGGCGTTGGTGGGGCGTCGCCAACCTATTGACGCGACGTACCCGAGGCGAGGTCCACAGCCAGGACCGCCGCGGTGGCGGCGTGTGGTGTCTCAGGCTAGTGTACTGACCGGCAGTGCTCGCTGGGCGTTGGCGGGACATTGGTGGGGCGTTGGCGGGGCATTGGTGGGGCGTCGCTACTCGCTAGCCTATTGACGCGACTGTCATACTGTACCTATTCTACAACTACCCACCGGCAGTGCTCGCGGGGCGTGGGCGGGGCGTAGCTACTCTCTAGTCTATTGGCGCGACTGTTATATTGTGCCCATTCTACTACTACCCACCGTCAGTGCTCGCGGGGCGTTGGCGGGGCATTGGTGGGACGTCGCTACTCGCTAGCCTATTGTCGCGACTGTCATACTGTACCTATTCTACTACTACCCACCGGCAGTGCTCGCGGGGCGTGGGCGGGGCGTTGCCGGCCTACAGGCGCGACGCCCCCGCGGCGAGGTCCACAGCCAGGAACGCCGCGGAGGTGGCGTGTGGTGTCTCAGGCTAGTGTACTGACCGCTAATCGCTAGCCTATTGGCGCGACTGTCATACTGTGCCTCTTCTAGTACTACCCACCGGCAGTGCGCGCGGGGCGTGGGCGGGACATTGGCGGGGCATAGCCACCCTATTGGTGCTAAGTCCTCGCAACGTAAAATTGTTACTGTACCTATTCTACTACTACCCATCGGCTGTGCGCGCGGGGCGTGGGTGGGGCGTTAGCGGGGCATTGGCAGTACGTTGCCAACCTATTAGCGCGGCGCCTCTGCGGCGAGACATTATCATACTGTGCCTATTCTACAACTACCCACCGGCAGTGCTCGCGGGGCGTGGGCGGGGCGTTGCCGGCCTACAGGCGCGACGCCCCCGCGGCGAGGTCCACAGCCAGGACCGCCGCGGGGGCGGCGTGTGGTGTCTCAGGCTAGTGTACTGACCGGCGTGCTCGCGAGGCGTGTGCGGGGCATTAGCGATGCGTGGGCGGGGCATTAGCGGGGCGTGGGCGGGGCATTAGCGGGGCGTTGGCGGGGCGTCACCAACCTATGTACCCGCGGCGAGACAGCATCTTATTGTGCCTATCTTACTACTACCCACCGGCAGTGCTCGCGGGGCGTGGGTGGGGCGTTGCCGGCCTACAGGCGCGACGCCGCCGCGGCGAGGTCTACAGCCAGGACCGCCGCGGGGGCGGCGTTTGGTGTCTCAGGCTAGTGTACTTACCGGCAGTGCTTACGGGGCGTTGGAGGGGCATTAGCGGGGCGTAGGTGGGGCATTGGCAGGACGTCGCCAACCTATTAGCGCGACGCCTCTGCGGCGAGACATTATCATACTGTGCCTATTCTACTACTACTGACCGGCAGTGCTCGCGGGGCGTGGGCGGGGCGTTGCCGGCCTACAGGCGCGACGCCCCCGCGGCGAGGTCCACAGCCAGGACCGCCGCGGGGGCGGCGTTTCCTCAGCTGCGCCGGTGGCGGCCGCCTCTGCGACGACGTTCGCGGCGGACCTGGGACAAAACAAATCAAATAAAAATACGGACTGAGATTGATCTTTATTGCATACCTGACAAAACTGACAGATAAATCTATACTAATATTATACACCGTGTTACTTTGCATTCTTGCCATATTCACAGAGATAAAAGTAGGGAACAATAGCTATTATTTAAGATAAACAAGAGACTCCCATAAAGAAAGTACACTTAGATTTTAGTAAATTTGGTTTTTCAGTACAAATTGGAATAAACCAATTTTGTCTCGCACGTTATACAGGTGCAAGTGGAATAAACCTAGTGGGCGTGGCCTAGTTCTTAATAATCTGATATTTTATGGCTCTGGGTACCAGCTTTTTAATCCAGTCATAATAATTATTTTAAAATACTCTTCAGTTGATTTCAGATTTTCCTTTCTACTTTACGGGCTTAGAACCGTCAAAAATACAAAATCAAAAATATTTATTCAGTTTAGACCACAAGTGGCACTTATGAACGTCAATAGAAAATAATAAAGAAAGAAAAAGGTAGCCCTTATGGGGCACTTTACATGTCTCCTACGTAATAATTATTAGGGTTTTCATTAATTTATAACATTGTACCCTATTTTTACAAATTAATAAATTAAGTATGAAATGAAATCACCTTATTCACAATGAATTATTTAATTATAAGTTCCTACTTACAAAGTTTACGTACTGCGAAGCAAGTGTTCAAAGTGTCCTCCGTTCTGATGAAGGCACAGTCTAGCACGGCGAAGCGTAGGTATGTAGGTACGCGTATTTTTTCGCTATGGAAATAGCGTATATTTTTTTACAATGGGTGAAAAGTACGCGCGCGTACGTCACTCAATACTCGCCCGTGAATCTCTTGTGAATTAAACCATAAAGTTAATAATAATCCTTCGAAATAGACCAACAACCACGAGCTGTCAAACGAAACCGATTTTAGGATGTCACTGGATGTCATTTTGTGTGTCAGTGTCAGGATTATTTAACTATTTTGTACAATAAATCAATCACTTTGAAGCCGTTTCTTGCGCTCACTATCTATCTAGCTAGAATTTATTAATCTAAGTTGTAGACACTCACCGTTCCCACTTCGCCCTCGGCCCAGCGTTCGTAGGCCCGCTCTCTCTTCAGCCACTCCTGGTACTTGTACCACCATTCCTCCCATTTGACATAGTCGCTCAGGGTTAGACCTAGAAAAAACACAAACCATTANGAAAAAAACTGGTCCAAATTAGCGGACTCTCCCTTAATTAAATCAAGCAAATAATTGTAAGTTGCTTCCGTCTTTGTAGCCACTACACTCCTTTATGAGGTTCATTTCTGAAAATGTCATGGGACTTTTTTTACAATAGAACACGATAGTTTTTCTTGGATCCTGAGTTTTTCTTTTTTGATTGGTTTTCTTGGATCATTGAGAGACAATGCCATCGGTTCCAAAGTGGACTTATGGAAAGGTTTTCCTTTTCCTTAACCATGGTTATGTAATCTTATTTCATCTAAGTTAATATGAATTTTATATCGCCTACTTTATTTTCAGTTTGGCCCTAACCTTAGGGCCTTGACTGGAGGAAAATGCCGAAAGGCATTAAGTCCGCCTTATGTACACTGTTTTATGTGCATATAAGATTTGGTTCAAATTAATCTTTGCTTCTGGTAATCTAGAAAAGGTCTTTCTACAGTGGTAATTTTGAGACATCCTGCATTTAGACTCAAATAAAACATTAATCTATTCTTCTTAAATATGTTAAAGTCTGTAAACCCTTGAAAAAGAGGCTGACAAAAGTGACTGAGTTTCTTGCGCTACTTCTTCTCAGCACTGCCCATTTATTGTCCTGAAGCAGTGGTTGGGTTAATACTGGGACGTGTAAAAGTGCTTTTTAAAAGCCTACTTGCATAATTACATCAATGGAGAAGTTTCCTGATATTAAAAACATTATATTTATCTGAATGGGATTAAAATATAGACCAAAACTAAAAGGACGGTGAAGTTTTTTCTTAAATCCGTCAAGAAATGGCTGAGAAATTAATTATTTAAATTACCTACATATTTAAAAAATAGGCCGTAACACAATTTTAACTAGTACGGGAGGTAAAGGATTTTAGCCGTATACCCACATATTATTAATGTATTCCATCATAGTTTTTAATCTTAAAAGACTGTATTTATTATTTTTTATTACTTAGATTACTTAAATTATTGCATTTTAGATTTATAGTTTTATTTTGTATAACTACCTACTTACTTTACAAGTATACGACTATTCTGTAAGTCACATTTTGTTGTTGAAATAAATTCATTTATTTATTATTATTTATAGGCGGTGCCGCGGCGATGTTCTAGTTTCAAAAACAATGCTTACCGTGGAAACTTCTCCATTGATTGGTGGTGTCAAATACCGTATTGGTCCTACCACAGCACCCCACTTTTAGAGTCGGGGGTTATAAATAAATGCCTAATACCAGGCCTGTTCATCTCCGCGAGTTTACATCGAAAACAAAACACGCACGATTGCCCCCTACAAGAGTACTATTCGACAAGGCCTCACATACGAGCGAACATTGACTCACGCACGCGTATTCTTGTGTATGATGGAAAAAAATAAAGAAAATGGTGTACTAAATACTGTGCAGTATTTAACTGCCTAAATAATAATAAAAACACAGAATGTACTTTTTTAAGTTGCCTCAAGACACTGAGAGGTAAATAAGTAGTTAATATTATTCATGATAATTCATGCTAAATCATGTATTTCCTCCGCCATTTTCTGCAGATTGGCACCTCACGTCACATCATTTTACCGAAGTCAGCCCTATAGCTTCGGCGCAGTACCGATCACTGACGTTTGTCAACAAAACTTCTGACAAACTTGCTTGACTCTTGAGACAAGCTAAATTACACCATATTGTTAATGACATTGAGCATACATTTTTTTAAATACCTTCGCGAAGTAAAACTTCTGTACGTAGTACTTATTATTATTCTGTGCTTAAACTCACCCCGCAAGTATCCGCGTTTCTTGTAGTAATCGTAGCGCACTCGCACGTCGTCCCAGGACGGCAGGCCGCCGGGCGCCGCCGCCAACAACTCTTCAGGGTAGCTGCCTATTGGAGCCGGTTCCAGGCCTCTGTGGGAGAAGGAAAACATTAAGACAGTGGTGACTGAGCTTGTTGCAGCGCTTTTTCACAGCACTTGCCAAATGTTGGTACGGCAATAATATTAAATATTATCAGACATGAATTAGTTTTCTTTTTTAATATTTGTCACGATTATGTTATGATGGGACTGACATACTATGTAAAAGTCCCTTAATTGATAAATAGAAAAAAAAATTGACAATTTGTAAACACTATTTTTTATAGTCCATGCAAATTAAGGAATTTTCACTTTGACTTAAAGGTTTGCTGGACTAAGAGCTTACTAGATGCATTAAATAATACTACTACTACTTTACCTGGCCCATTCCTATTTTATTTGGGGTCGGCCCTTCGCGTCATGCGTCTCCAGGACGCATCAACATTTGTTGCATTTAATAATGTAGTTTTAAAATAAATGACAAATGAGATCATAAGTAGAAATTCGGACCAGTGCAGTGGAGGTTTTTAGGACCATCTCATAAGACTGGATAAAGTAAGAAAGGTAAGCAAATAAGGAGTAATCAATGAAGGGAATTTACCGATGGGAGCTCACTATCTCGACGCAAAGACTCGTGGCAGACGGGACAATATGTAATTTTTGAAACAAAGATGCACACTCGCCAATATTCTATTAATTATTACGTATTATAATATAAACAACGCTACGCCTGCCTTTGTGTAACGTCACCCATAATTAGTGTGAGTGCGTGAGAAAACGTGATATGCACTGTTTTATTATTACATCGCCTGCCACGAGTTTTTGCGCCAAGTATAGTGTAAGAAATGATAGAAATGGAGAGCTATCATTGGGTTGGGTTGTCAAGGGAGGTCATAGGTGATGTCTAAGGTCACTCACGGTCGCTCCCCGGGTGCCGGCGGGTCTCCTTCGTCTTCAGCCCGCTCGATGCGCACGTGTAGAGTAGCGTCGCGGCGCGTGATGCGCATGTTGTCGAGACATTATAGAGGTCATCATGGGAGAGAGGTCATAGGTCATCAGGGAGAGGGGAGGTCATTAGTGGTGTCTAGGGAGGTCTTTAGTGAGGTCATCAGTTATCTAGGGTGGTCATTAGTGGTATCTAGGGAGGTCATTAGTGGTGTCTAGGGAGGCCATTAGTGGTGTCTAGGGAGGTCATTAGTGGTGTCTGTCTAGGGAGGTCACCTGCGGTGTCTAGGGAAGTCTTCAGTGAGATCATCAGTAGTGTTTAGGGAGGTCACCAGCGGTGTCTAGAGAGGTCACTAGCGGTGTCTAGGGAGGTCACCAGTGATGTCGAGGAAAGTCACCAGGGTTGTCTAGGGAGGTCTTCAATGAGGTCATCAGCGGTGTCTAGGGAGGTCTTTAGTGAGGTCATCAGTTGTCTAGGGTGGTCATTAGTGGTGTCTAGGGAGGTCACCAGTGGCGTCTAGGCAGGTCACCAGCGGTATCTAGGGAGGTCACCAGCGGTATCAAAGGTCACTCACGGTCGCTCCCCGGGTGCCGGCGGGTCTCCTTCATCCTCGGCCCGCTCGATGCGCACGTGTAGAGTGGCGTCACGTCGTGTGATGCGCATGTTGTCGAGGCGCGCCGAGCGGTCGGCCGACCACTGCGCCATTTTGCCGAAGCGCTCGGATAGTGTCAGCCTGGGAACAAGAAATAATGTGAATACAACATCAAAGCTTCTTTGTGTTGTGTCTATAAAATTATTTCTATGCTACTCTATTCTAAACACTAAAATATTTGCGGTAATATTGCCAAGACTCCCGGCAGTCTTGGGAATATTCCTGTGTAGGAATACGGCGATACAGGTCTGTAGACGCGGAGATATAGTAACTTAGTATCAGCGCCATCTATTGAGTGATGCTTGCCACCAGTTTATAGTGGCGAGTCGCTAGATGTCGCCACAGTTCTTAAAATGTCACTGCCCTCGGTATTACGGGAACAATGGCGGACATCGTTGCGAATATTACCAATGTTCCTGGCAATATTGATAATGTTCCTGGCAATGTTGATACTGTTCCTGGCAATGTTGATTATGTTCCTGTTCCTGTCAATGTCGATAATGTTCCTGGCAATGTTGATAATGTTCCTGGCAATATTGATAATGTTCCTGTTCCCTGCTATTTTGCCAATGCTCCTGGCTTAACTATCGGCAATTTTGGGCACAAAGCCAACATGTTCCTCACCTCGGCGGCTGCTGGTCGGGAGTGAAGTCGGAGCCGCTGCCGCTCCTTCTTTCAGCGAGCGACTACCAACATGGGCCTCATAAGAAGGCTCAAGGTCACCCAAAAACACACTGGGGGACGTCTTTGTCTAGCTGTGGGCGTCATACCTCGGCGGCTGCTGGTCCGGCATCCTGTCACAATCGCTGCCACTGTTAGTTTCATAAGACTCAAGGTGGGACCTTGGGGGAGGCCTTTGTCTAGCTGTGGACGTCATTTGGCTGACTCACCTCGGCGGCTGCTTTTCCAGCGTCCTATCGCTATCGCTTTCAGCGAGAAACTGCCAACGTGGGTCTCCATAAAAAGGCTCAAGTTCACCCAAAGAGCGATGAGGACCTTGAGGAAGTCCTGTCTTTCTGTGGACGATGGCTGACTCACCTCGAATCGGCGGCTGCTTGTCCAGCGTCCTATCGCTTTTGCTGTCACTGTGAGCCTCATAAAAAAACTCAAGGTGGGACCTTGGACGACTGCCAACGTGGGCCTCATAAGAAAGACCATAAGACGATGAGGAGCTTGGACGAGGTTTTTGTCTAGCTGTGGGCGTCATACCTCGGCGGCTGCTGGTCCGGCATCTTGTCACTATCGCTGCCACTGCCTCATAAGACTCAAGGTGGGACCTTGGGCGACGCCTGTGTCTATCTGAGGACGTCATTTGGCTGACTCACCTCGGCGGCTGCTTTTCCAGCGTCCTATTGCTATCGTTTCCGCTTTCAGCGGGCGACTGCCAGCGTGGCCTCCATAAGAAAGCTCAAGTTCACCCAAAGAGCGATGAGGACCTTGGGGGAGGCTTGTGTCTAAAGCTTGGTCCGTCGTGCGTAATTATGTTGCTGTCGCGCTCGCACACTCACTGCGGGCGCCCGTCGCACAGTCGCGTCAGCAATATAATTACGCGCGAGCGATAAGGATGGGTAGCTTGGGGTCATTGGACAAAATTCTACGTGCTCGCAGACCGGGCTTTAGCTGTGTGCGTCATACCTCGGCGGCTGCTGGTCGGGCGTGGAGTCGGAGCCGCTGCCGCTGCCGGCGAGGGCGGCGGCGATGGCGGCGGGGGACACGGCGCGCGGGGCGCGGGCGGGGCCCCGGCGCGCGCCCTCGCGCTTGATGTGCGCGGGGGGGATGGGCGCGCCGGGGGGGGGCGCGCGGGCCGCCAGCTGCGAGCGCTGCCATTCTAGGACCTGGAACAAAAGAGTTACGTTTAAAGCATATTCAATTCTCCTCTTACATCTCCGTCAGCAGGGGTAAGCCGTTACAACAGAGAGCCCCCGCTGAAAATCAGTCTCAAGACAAGCCCTGGCAGTCTTGATGTACGTACACTAAGCGGGTGCCATTTTGTCAGAGGGGCACAAGCAGTCCACTTGTATATTTCTCTCTGTTTTAATCTATGTCTTGCCTGCTTGTATACCTTTCTTGCAAATAAATAGTTTTCTATTCTATTCTAATTCAACACTTGCAAATAAAGCCTCTGTTAGATGGGTAAGTACAGTTCGTCCGTTCGTTGCAGAAAAATGACGTCCACTGCTAGACAAAGGCTTCCAAGGTTTTCCACAACGCACGGTCCTACGCTGCCCGCATCCAGGCTCTTCCCGCGACCTTTATCAGATCGTCGGTCCACCTAGCAGGAGGATCTAGGACCACCTAGGACCCACGCTACGTCTTCCGGCCCGTGGTCGCCATTCGAGAACATTTCTGCCCCGACGGCCATCGTCTCTGCGAGCTATGTGCCCCGCCCACTGCCACTTGATTTTAGCGATTCTGCGGGTGATTATTATTACGATGCTAAGTCGACGGCGACGAACCCTTATTTCCTTTTTTTACAGTCTAAGCGCCATTATGCGACGTATCATCGTATCACGCATACCGCTTACTGATGACACCGTATAAAGGTTCAGCAAACTTTCTCGACAGCATACCTTCTCCTCTCGTGTCCGTGCTTTGTCGCGCACCGCACATAATGTAATCTAGCAATCTAATGCCCGTTTTCACTATCAATCCCCAATTTTTAAGTGACCCCTATGGTAACACAACAAGAATTTTGTTTTCAAAGGGGTCACTTAAAAATTAGGGATTGATGGTGAAAACGGACATTAGAAGTGTAGCAGCGTTTTCTTCCTGGGTCCGCTTGCCTTCAGGAAGACTGAATGTAGCCTGTAATTCTGAGAGGACGGAGAGTAACGTACCTTTTCCTCTCTAGTCCGCTTGCTGGCTTCTCTAGCCTTGAGCAACTCTCGAGTAGGTTGAACGGCGCGGGCGGCGGGCGGCGGCGCTGGTCGTTTAGCCGCGCGTCTTGGAGACGTAGAACCCGGCCTGTGAATAAATAAAATAAATATTCTTAGGCATTAAAGTTATTTAACATTTGATTTGATTTTGATTTTGGAATTTCTTTATTTGCATAATTAACATACATACATGTTTAGTTAGTACATGATAACTTAAAAGCTAGCGTTTTTTATAGACTTAATAATACGTCTTTATAAAACATGCAACATAATAACATTTAATTTAAATCATAAAAAAGAAACAACACAATAGCTACGTTGAATTTAAACACTTATAAACTAATCGGCTTAAGATGTCGATTTAGCTACATATAAAATATCCTACCTAAATTGTTGCTAATTATAAATTAGACTGAACATCATAAAATATAAAATTATTTTTTTGCATAGCTTTTATGAAGAAAGGAAGCAAATAAATACAATAATGTAGCAATTAGTGGGTAGTGCGCAAATAAAATATCAACACAAACGTATTGTTGCGTTAAGTTATACGGCGAACGCTTCGGCTCAACCGGTCCGGCAGTCGGGTCGCCTGAGTCATCTATACTCGAGGAAATAGTGTTGCGGTAAGCGATATCGACAATAACTATCTAATAAAATAAATATTTTTAGACATTAAAGTTATTAAACATTGCGACCTCTGGAATAGTAGTCCGGTGCACGAACCACTACTAAACGGCCGTCGAAACAAATCCGTTTTGTGTTGTTATTGTTTATAATTTGTGCTTACTGTGATCAATAGTCTATTCTATTCTATATGATAGTTTTGTGTAGTGTGAAATAAGTCCAGTTATTACCCATACCAGGACCTGTGCTTCCCTAGTTTAGGCATCAGAGCAAACCTTGCCTTAAGAAGAAAATGGAAGATTATTATGTCCTTACCTGGGCGGCTTGCCTGGCTTCCCTGGCGGAGGAGCAGGCTTCTTGTTTTTGGCAGAGCAGACAGAGCAGGACTCGTCCGAGCAGCTGCTCATTGACGAACCAGAAGGGGATGACTGCGGAAAAAATAACACTGTTTAGCACATGCAAGAACTTAATAATTGGAAGTAACTCATAAAACTAATTTTATTTTCAACCGACTTCAAAAAAGGAGGAGGTTCTCAATTCGACCCGTATGTTTTTTTTTTTCTATGTTTGTTACGCGATAACTCCGTCAATTATGAACCGATTTGAACAAATCTTTTTTCGGCGTATAGGTAACACCTCAAGGGTGGTCCCATTTAAATTTAATAATAAAAAAAACAACCCCCAAGGGTGGGAAATTGGGGATGAACTTTTTTATACGCAATATCTCCGCCGATTATAAACCAATTTGAACGATATTTTTTTTGTTGAATAGGTATTATCAAAAGGGTGGTTTCATGCGAATTTGAAGAAAATATTTGAGGATTCCGTCAACTGGGACCACTCATAGATAACTTAAAAGAAAATATTATTCAATCCAAAATCGGTACCGTACTAAAATCCATGAGTGGTCCCAGTCGCCGGAAGAAAATTATTAAGTTTTACGTATCCGGCGACTGGGACCGCGGTCCCAGTTAATTGCGGTCCCAGTCGCCGGAAGCCTCAATATCACCCCCAAGGGTGGAAAATTGGGAATGAACTTTTTTATACGCAATATCTCCGCCGATTATGAACCAATTTGAACGATTATTTTTTTGTTGAATAGGTATTATCAAATTTTTTTAATTTTTAGTTTTTTTTTGTGTTCACGCATTTGAAGTCGGTTATATATTTTTTTTAAAGTTAATTATTGAAGTAGGCTTTTGAAATGCAATTTTACACGTCCCAGTATTAACCTTACTACTGCTTCAGGACAATAAATGGGTAGCAGCGCAAGAGACTTATGCCTGTTTTCACCATCAATCCCTAATTTGAACCCTATGAAACCAATATGCCTGTTATGTGTCACCATGGGGGTCACTTAAAAATTAGAGATTGATGGTGAAAACGGTCATTAGTCACTATAATATTGTCAGCCTCTTTTCCAAGAGTTCTTTAGAAGATATAACTTTATTCAGCACATGCAAGAACATGCCAATCCCATCTTTCTTTCTTACCACAAGTCCTGTATGCCAGGGTTTAGTTTGGCTTCCAATGAAACCTGACCAGTGAAGATTTTGAGAGAATGTAAGAACAGCATTATTTAAATCCGCGCGTTGCCGATGCAACATTTATTTCGGACGGACAAATAAAGGGGGTCCCTTAGCTAAATATGAGCTTAAATTAGGGATGGATATAAGTTCACTACAATAGTCCAGCGTCAATCGAACTCACACGTGTCTTGTCTCTTACTAAAGCCCGGTCTGTGAGCACGTAGAATTTTGTCCAATGACCCCAAGCTACCCATCCTTATCGCTCGCGCGTAATTATGTTGCTGTCGCGCTCGCACACTCACTGCGGGCGCCCGTCGCACAGTCGCGACAGCAATATAATTACGCGCGAGCGATAAGGATGGGCAGCTTGGGGTCATTGGACGAAATTCTACGTGCTCGCAGACCAGACTATAGACAAATAAAGTAAATCTTCGGTGCCCAAGCAACTGCACTCAGGAGGATTTGATGAGTGCTGCTGACAACGCCACTCTTGTGGCGGAGTTTTGGGCTGACACTGTGTAGGTTTGTTGTCGACACGACAAGAAGAAGAAGAAGAAGAGTAAGTGCCTTTTCACACGTTCCGGTTGCCGGCTATCCGGCGCCGGGTACCCGGTCGTGAATGTATGGGCATGCCGGATTAATTACGCCGGAACATGTGAAAGCTACGTACCATGCCCATACACTTCACCACCGGGTACCCGGCGCCGGATAGCCGGCAACCGGAACGTNCTATCCGGCGCCGGGTACCCGGTCGTGAATGTATGGGCATGCCGGATTAATTACGCCGGAACATGTGAAAGCTACGTACCATGCCCATACACTTCACCACCGGGTACCCGGCGCCGGATAGCCGGCAACCGGAACGTGTGAAAAGGCACTAAATCTCACCTGGCGGGGGTCGGGCGGGGAGGGGGGCCGCGGGGGCCTTGCAGGGGGCCGGCGCGCGCGCGGGCTGCGCGTGCGGCGCCGCGCCACCGGGCTGCGTCTGCAACAAAAAATCAATCATTCATTTTACACGTCTCTCGGTCCTATACGGGATATTTTCAAGACACCCTGTCCCGTAAATCAAGTACAACCACAGAATAATAATAAGTACTACGTACAGAAGTTTTACTTCGCGAAGGTATTTAAAAAAATGTATGCTCAATGTCATTAACAATATGGTGTAATTTAGCCTGTCTCAAGAGTCAAGCACCATTTTGTTGACAAACGTCAGTGATCGGCACTGCGCCGAAGCTATAGGGCTGACTTCGGTAAAATTATGTGACGTGAGGTGCCAAACTGCGGAAAATGGCGGAGGAAATACATGATTTAGCATGAATTATCATGAATAATATTAACTACTACTTATTTACCTCTCAGTGTCTTGAGGCAACTTAAAAAAGTACATTCTGTGTTTTTATTATTATTTAGGCAGTTAAATACTGCACAGTATTTAGTACACCATTTTCTTTATTTTCTTCCATCATACACAAGAATACGCGTGCGTGAGTCAATGTTCGTTCGTATGTGAGGCCATCGTGCGTGTTTTGTTTTCGATGTAAACTCGCGGAGATGAACAGGCCTGGTACAACCTACAACTCACGTTGAAAAACGTTTGTTCTTTTATTTTCGTCTTCCAATATTTGTATGTTATCAAACAACCAATTGAATTTGTATAGAATTATAAAAAAAAAAGCAAATTTTTAAGTCACAACAAAAGTTGATCACCACCATGTATAGAATAATGTGACAGGAAGGTTGTCTGAATAAACACTTTTTCTTTCAATTTACAGGACACCCTGTGTAACTTTAACTTTACCACTTCTGCTTCGAGAACAGATGCCTTTGCTGAGAAAAAGCAGCGCAAAAACTCGGGCAATTTTGTCAGCCACTTTGAAAGGTTTCACTTTCGTCATCATCATTTCAGCCACAGGACGTCCACTGCTGAACATAGGCCTCCCCCAATGACTTCCGCGTTGATTAAAAGGTTTACTATAGTATATTTATATTGGGTAATGAAAGGCTAGATGTTCGCATATTTGCCCCTTAGTCGCCTCTTTCGACATCTACAGAATGGGGGTTGTCTAATGTCTTATTTTAATTTATTTCTATTTTATAATATTTCTGATGTCATTATTGAGATTATTGGCAACTGAAATTTACATTATGTGAAATCTTCAACTGTGTACATTTATGGTTTATGAAATACAAGCCAAAGAGAGAGAACTTCACATGGACAATTTTTGTGATTACCTATTGTAACATTATAAATACAGGCATTATCTTACCTGACAGGACTCTTCCTAGGACTGCGCCGCGGCGAGCGGCGGAGCGAGCGCGATCGCGAGCGCCGGATTACAGGCGAGCGCGAGCGCCGCGCGATCGGCGAACGAGAGCGACGAGCGATGGGCGAGCGCGAGCGGCGAGCGATCGGCGAGCGCGAGCGACGAGCGGCTATGGGCGAACTGTAATGCAAAAGACACATTGTAATAGAAAACTACAATATTGTTAGGGATGTTAGCACGTAAAGCAGAGTCCAGACGGGTGTAACGCGTAATGGAATGTATCGTGTAATGTAATGGAAATAGTATGGGTAGCACTTTACATGTAATGCTCGTAGTGCCATCCACACGTAGAATTCGTGTTACATTACACGTAATCTTACATTACACATTACAGGCTTCTGGACCCGGCTTAAGACTAGCCGTGTTGAAGCGCGGGCAACATATTTGCCCTTAGTGGGATTCGAACCCAGTACCGCGTCTATCATAGAGCCAAATGGCCCTTCTTTTGGCCATCCAAAAGAGGTTTGTTATAAAAGACTTCAGATATTTAAGAGACTACTTCATCAGTCACCGAGGAGCACCTTCTGTCAGATAAACTACAACTTCTGGTTTCAATACATGGCAGAAAGTCACCAGTCTCATGGGGTATCGAAATGAAATGAAATTGTTTATTCAGTACATAGGCCCTTTCCAGGGCACTTATACGCGCCCCAAGTACAGCTTGCCCTTCCACCACTTCGGGATAACATATGGGCTGGTGCTGAGAAGTGGCGGAAGAAACTTCTGTCACCTTTGTCAACCTCTTTTTCAATCAAATACAATAATACACTCGACAGCAAATAAATCGCACCTCGCGCGACAAGCACTTTCAAACGTATGCATCCCCACTTCCCACCAATATTGGCACCATTTAAAAGCTTAGTTCTAAACTTGATTTCAATAAAGGAAACATTTTTACCCCAAAAATGTGTCTTTAGAAGGATCCAGAGTAACTTCTTCAAAAAATAGGTAGTTACGCTTGAGCCAACTTTTATGCCTATACAACTGTTAAGTTGGGATTAATCGCTATCCATCCATCTGTTAAAAAGGACACGTGAGATCATTATTTGGTTTTATAACCATAAAAATTGGTCTAATTAATCTCAGAGGTGAGCCCAAAGTGAGGTCTGTTTTCAAGTCACATATTTTATGGTATATGTTAATCATTTATTAAGAAATTAAATGTGTTTTTCATTAAGGATATTTATTGGGCTTTCAAATAACACCAATATTGTTGGGGCACCATGATTATGTCAAAAGAAAATCTTTAAAGATCGCGTCGCGGAAGGTGCGACTTATTTGATGTTGAGTGTAGTTTATGATGATGATTATTGATGCAGACTTACCGGGACCGGCGCGGTCTCGGAGACCTAGACCGTCGCGGGGATACCGACCCGGACCCGTCTATGTACATCTGCTTGTAGCCCGTGTGGCGCCATCTGTCGACAAAAAGGTCAATCATTCGAGCAGCTTAATCCAAAATCGCTGATGCATCCAGATAGTCCCCGTGACATGCACCAGATTGTCGGTCCACCTAGTGGGCCTGCCCATACAACGTCTCCCGGGCTGTGGTCGCTTACTCGAGAACTTTTCTGCCCCAACGGCCATCTAGCTCTACGAACTATGATGGTGTTCCATATCGGTAACAGTGTGCGATTTAATGATCAACCACAGTGGAATCGCTTCCTTCCGAGCCCAATGTCCTTTTATTACCCATCTCGATTTTCTATTTAAACCAGTCAGGGCGAAAAACTTTGATACCGCGATGCAGGATTGTAGGCGTGGCGGCGCGCGCCATAGTTATGTCCGTATCAACGCCATCTGTCGGTGAAGACTACGAGTCTATAAAGCCTGGTCCGTGAGCACGTAGAATCCCGTCCAATGACCCCAAGCTGCCCATCCTTGTCGCTCGCACGTAATTATGTTGCTGTCGCGCTCGCACACTCACTGCGGGCGCGCGTCGCACAGTCGCGACAGCAATATAATTACGCGCGAGCGATAAGGATGGGTAGCTTGGGGTCATTGGACGGGATTCTACGTGCTCACGGACCAGGCTTTAGTAGCTTACCTGTTGGGGTCTTTCTCCTCGACTTCCAACAGCTTTCGGTCCCAGCTGCCGGGCGAGGCCTGGCGCGCTCGCTTCATTACATTGTCGATCTCCTTCCGCCGACCGGCAGGGTTCGACGGATCTGAGAAAAGGTTAGGGTTTATTCGTTTCCTAAATACTTTCACCTGAGTCTTGAAAGTAAAAACATTATTCCTACTGTAAAATCAATGTATGTATCACCTACATTATGAAAGCAATAAACTCAAATAGTAAAATAGACAAGGCAGAACACCTAAGTTCTGCGCTGGTAAGATTTTGAGCCGTGGGCAAATGCTATCTTTTATAAGGCAATCTTTTACTGACAGACTTATCAACACACAGCACAAACGACTGAACGTATTGCGCTGTAATTATGTGTGCAGATAGTTATTACGATTTCGGCAAAGGCAGGAAGGAAAAAATCTAAAATTCACCCCTGATGGGGATGAAATGGGGGTCCAAAGTTTAACGTGAGCCAAGTCGTGGGTAAAAGCTAGTTACTTATAAAATAATCTAAATTTAAATAACTCAAAGGTGACTGACTGACTGACATAGTGATCTATCAACGCACAGTCCAAACCACTGGACAGATTGGGCTGAATTTTGGCATGCAGGTAGATGTTATGACGTAGGCATCCGCTAAGAAAGGATTTTACGAAACTCCACCCCTGAGGGGGTAAAACGGGATCCACGCGTACAAAGTCGCGGGAGGCCGCTAGTGTTTTAATATGATTAAAAAAAATAAAGAAATGTAAAACTACAAATCTGTACACATTCTAAAATAAAAAACTAAGGTTGTATTAACTAAAAAATAATACAAAAGCACCGCTACACATTCACTACTCGTTACCAGTGATCCTGGAGTGCTGGGGATTCCGGTCCATGTGAAGCCGGTTCTTGGACGCGGCCTCCGCGGCGCGGGACACCGACCCGTTGCGGCGGGACGACATCCTGCAATAAGAAACAGGATGTTATTAACCTCATACAGGTAGCAGTTTAACTTTCCCCCGGGACAAACTTGACCTTCACTGGTTGGGTTATTTGCGTTCAAGCTGTAGATCCTGGCTACACAGGAGTTGCAGCGGTGGGAACGAGAGGTAGGAAGTCCCAGGCGATGGATGCAGGTCGCTACCAACCGGGCGATGTGGAAATCATTGGGGGATTATGTTCAATAATGGACGTCTGAAATAATGATGGTAATAAAACTCATAAAAGAATAATTATCACATTCCATTAGTGAGATACAGGCCAAGAGCTTCCCTGTAAAAAATATGCCTTACCAAGGAAAAAAGACAACCAACAACACATTAACCTATACATTTTCTTTGCAAAATCACACTTATTACAACTAATTTAAGTTTCCACAGTTTTTAGCTTGATATGATGTCGTTAATACACAATTTAGTGATGACAAAAGCATTTATAAATGAGAAATTATAAGTTAGGAATGCAACAATCGAAACATTTTACAGTTACGTAATTAATTTTTAAACGTTACAAATTGAGGTTAATGAGGCATTGTTTATTATTGCATTTCTAGTAAATACAAAGTAAGCATATCCCAATGATGATGTCGACATGATCCTAATTTAATAAATAAGTAAAGTTATTCACAGAATGATGATCGCTGCTACATAAGAATAGTAACTGAGCCTATAGAAATTACATTTACTCAATGTGCTACTGGTAGTTTACTACAATAATGTAAACATCAGAAAGAGCATGTACCACACCAACAAATATTGACGAACTGAACGAATATTACATATTGATGACCAACAAAAATAAATAGTATCAAGAAGTTATATTTAGAAGATGTTTGTGATCTTTTAGAGAATGACTCATCTGAAGAAGTAAGACAGTAAATAGTCTATGAATATGTAGCATTATAGACGATACTTTGCAACACAATAGAAGTTCGAAATATGAAGACATTCATTATGTTAGAAAAGAAAAGATGAAAATAAATACATATATGAAGAAGAAGCTTCTTTGAAAACTTAACTCAAAGATATTGTGATAAATTATAATAAATTATATCGACTGCCAAGACAAATAGTATCGAAACTACAAATCATACAATATGCCATGGACCTATAAAAAAAGTCGGACGGAGTCTCATCAACAAAATACTGTGACATTAGGATACACCAGCTTGCCTGTACGTACAGGCCGGCACGCACACATTCACACCCTGTTACACCACTTCGAGAGCAAACTTCACACAGTTGACACATTTAAGCAGCGAAAAAACAACACGAATACGACATGTCTTGTGTGATGAAATTGTGTAAAAACCGTTCTGTTCGAACAAACAAAAATTAAGGAATCACATTTCACAGGTAAAATAATAATCCAATCACTTATTTCCCGACATTAAAATATTGAAATTAATTGAAATCAAACGTCATTCACTCGAAAAAATAATACGTCAAAGACCAGTGTTCTCAGTTATTTACGTGGGAAAATTACCCGAAATATGGGAAATTAATAATGATTTTAGGACTTTTTAGTTATGTATTACGCATACTATGGAAATAAAATAATTTATCATAATAATTGTGTTTTAATGGGATATATTTTCATAGGCAAATTTGATCCTTCCCAAAAATGTGGAACTGCGAAATTCAAATTTTCTTACATTGATTGCAAGTCAGTGTCAGGTTGTATGTTAAAAAAAATCTATCAGAGATAATAATAATATATTGATGATGCATAAGATTATGATTATAATGTACACAAGATTCGTAATTTGTAACTGCGTGAATTATTTTTGATCAACATTATGTACATACCCTGACACACTGACTTGCAAACAATGTAAGAAAATTTGAACATTGAAAATTTCGCGCCTACCTCAACGCATACACCTTTCATCCTTTTAAAATGGCACGGAATAATTCTGTCTACATTTCCAAGTAACATCTGCCGATCTATGTTTTTCTTAAAATAAATGGGTAAAATGTTTTGGCTAACATGGCATCCCTAAATTCACTCACACAATAGACAAACGCCAAAATTTTGCGTCACAGTTTTGTTGTAGCGCGAGTTCCGTCCGCCTTTTTTTATAGGTCCATGCAATATGCTTTGCAGATTCAGTAACAATTGCTGTGGTAGTTGTTACGTTCTGAACGGATACTCATCTACGATGACAGTGGGATCCTAAGTATGGTAGTTGCTAACAAAGTGGATGACGCTAGCGCTGGTGATGGATGCGCTAACAATCTAGTCACGCGCATGTTTAGCCAAGTTCAAGTAACATTACAGACGTACCTGATTATTTGGATAACACAGAGTTTTAGAACAGTAGAAAGAAGAAATTCGACATAAAAAGTATCCCTTGACAACATGGAAAAAGCATGGTGTTTTTGACCCAAAAGTAAGATTCTTATCTACACAAAATGACACACTGACACACAACTGGTTGAATTCAGTAGATGAAGATGTGAGCCAATAAATAGGTGACTTACATAAGAACATACTTCAAGGAAAACAGAAAATGATGTGTAATTACTAAATGGAATCAAGAACCCTACAGAAAATCAAATCATCTCCAACTATGCCCTAAATACATTCTAAAATTAGTTACTTTCACAAAATGGCCGCCCAGGTATTGATCCAAAAATCAGCCATCTCAAATCATTGAAAACCTTACCTCCACTGCAGGGCTCACGGTACCGAGGGAGCTAGGGCTCCAAACGCGCGCGGCGAGTCGCGAAGGGCGAAGCCCCGATGTCGCGGGCGACGGAACCGCGCCGGGCTGACGCGAAGCCCGCTGCGCCGCTGCAAACATCGACATCCTTAATTTCACGGGAGCGGCGCGCGGGCTACAACGAACACCTCGAGGCGAGGCTACGCGCACGAAACGACCCACGTGAGGCAAACATGCAGCCTCCGGGCTCACGCGACGGGGCCAAACGGAAAAGGCCAGACACGGCGCCATACAAACTTCAACTCCTTTGTGCGGATTGTGCGCAGCACCCCAGCTGCGATGCGGCGGCGGCTGAACATTAAACATACTTATTCCACCTTATATTAATCACAAAACAAAGTTACGAACCAGTAGCAATAAACACCGTAACTTTTTCACTGAAGTTCAATGGTTTTTCGCTGTAAAAATAACTCGACTATCCGCGACACACCTTGCACGGACCATCGGCCATTTTGTTTTGCCTGCCCTGTCTCATCTGTGTTTGCCTGAGATTTTCATTCAACTTTCAAGAAACGTCATGTATTGAAAAATAAATTAACTGGCATTTGACAGCTTATCGGCCAATCAGCGAGCACGCTTAATACTTTCACCGCGTTTCATTGGTGATTACGCTGTGAAAAGGGACATCGACCTTTTTCTTACGCTAGTGCGTTTCGTTATTGCATATCGCTTAGTATTTTTTCTCGAAATTATTTTATTGATCAATGTAATTTAGGCTTTTCCGGAAATAAAATGAAGGTGAACAATAAATTAATCAACCAAAAGATATTAATGCTCTCTTATATAAATAATAAATTAACATTGCGTTTTTTCTTTCTTAATTTGTCAATCAGAAAGACAAGAATGAATAAAAAAATAGTTTTACCGCAGCTTTCTCAGGGGGTGCTTGCACGGTTTGCACCCATTCAGAACCTTATTATTCTGATTGGTACCGCATTTTACGTATTATTATTTTGAAAATTAGCAAAGCTTTGGCCCAAAACTATTCCATATTTCTTTGAAAACAAAATGTGCTAAAATACCGCAAAACAAGAAATACCACGTCCATGAAGAGACCGGTTCCTGATATCCTGACCGAGAAAAGTGGTTACGAAGGTAAGCCGCATTGCGTTTATTAACATTTTGCAAAATATTAATCTTCTTTAATTTGCTAGGTATTCTTTCATTGAAATAATTTAATCTACCTACAGAAAATTCATGCGATTTTAGACCTTACGTACGACCTAACTAGGATTCGGTTAAAAAGATAGTTTCATACATAAAAGTACCTACCTACAATGTTTTCGATAGAATGGGATGGAATTTAATAGAAGTTTGTGAAGTCTAGGCTACGGTCTAATTATTGCAATTAAAAATTCACTCTGTCACACCGAAGCGTGTCGTTCGAAGACGGCGAGAGAGTGCAAACTCGTGGGTAATCGTCAATATCGTCATGTCAACAACAATCAATTGATTAGACAAATCATCAGTTGCTCAGAAGGTTCCGTTTGAGAACCCGTTCTCTCCACCTATCGGCGGTTGTCCGACAACCGACAAATCATCATCAGGTCCTATTCAGGTAATTTAGTCTTCACTGCAAGAACACGACACGACCCTCCCTCCCTCCCTATGTTGCTGGAGTCATTTGGTACACTCCCTACGCTGGTCTTACGGGTAGGGAGCTTGGACTTCCAAGGTAGGGAGGCATAATCTCCCTTTCGCCTCTGATGACATCAACCAACGGGAAGATCGCGGGTTCCCGGAAACCCGGGTGGTCCCATTCGGCTCTGTCGGGACCCCACGGCTAAAAAATATTCGGCTGTGGGCTCTCTCAATATTTCTCTTTAAAAATATTACCATTCGGTGTGAGCGTCACTCGTTTTGCATCATAAAAGTAGCTTTGCCCTTTTGTTAATGGACTTGCGGTAATGCGCTAGACATTAGGTACTAAAGAAATAAAGTCAATATGAACTGATAACCTAACGCTTGGCGTTATCCTTTGCGATATTGGTCATGTAAAGAGAAACGAAGAAAGTTTATACTTATTCAATTAATTAGTAAATTATAATTTTCGATGATTTTTCAAACTGTCAAGCTGTAAATTAAGTTATTTATTCGTGTCAAAACAATTAGTGTTTGCTATATAATGTACCTAGATATTGCATTTGTTGAAATTTTATTCATGTACTTAATTGTTTTATTAATAGAAATTAGAGAGAAATCAAACAACTAACGCCTGCGCACTTTGCATTTGCAAAATCACGGACAAGTAACACACTTAAAAAGAATACTAGGCGTCAACTTTATTATCGCATATTCATCTTAACAAAACAGCTTTTCTATAAATTAATTAGCGCAATTAACTAGTTTTATCATCACAATCGTTTATGACTCATTTATTGTTCTCTTGTTTCGGATTTTTAGCGATGTTTTTTTGCGTTTTGTTTCTCCTTTATCTTTAATTGCTCACTTATTTTTATTTCAGTTTTTTTCTTGCAAAGGAATTTTTGAAAAATATGGCCACATAAAAAAGTAAAAATAAAATGGTTGGCGCCAAAATTCCGCAGAGAAAGCAGAAAGTTAACATTAAGTTTAGTTCCACTCCTTTACAAATTAAGGTCTTTGTTTACTCGTAATAATCCATCCTAATTTTACCTTTAGCTGTGAAGAAGGCCATAAATCAGATTAAAGTGTTGCAATACAACTAAAGGAACTCAGAGCACGTGCCCACCACGATGCATGAATTTACTACCATCAATTTTACCTATTGTGTGCGCCACCAGTAGAAACCGATAATTTCCCAATCAAATAAAGCAGAGCCATGCCGAATTATTTTATCTCTTTAGCGTACCCTGTTTCTGATTGAGATTTTTAACTTTCTGCTCTTACTCTTAAACTTATTTATAAAGAAACTACTTACCTAGCGGCCTGCCCCGGCTTCGCACGGTTGCAATGGAATTTCCCGGCTTTTCTCTTGTATAATATTATGCATGTTTTATACCTTTAGACCTTCCTCTTGACTCACTCTATCTATTAAAAAAACGCATTAAAATCCGTTGCGTAGTTATAGAGATCTAAGCAATGTACCTACATAAGGACAGTCAAAACAGACAGACTTTGTTTTATACTATTTAGTGATAGTGATTACCTATTTGTTTTGTTGAGTCTATTTACCTACTTTACAAAATTGCCTGAATCAACTGGCCGCTGACACGTCTATATTATAGTACCTACATACCTATGTAATGTAGTTTACGACATTGCAATTCATTGCTATTTAATTCTAACTACTTGTGCCACGCCACGTGTAGTTAGTAGTATGAGTAATAATAGTAACACTAGGATATTGTGTTAGGTAGAACTAGAATTAGAATAATTGAAACTAGATTTTATATTTTAACACTGCGTCATTCCCAAGCATATGTGGGAGATTAATTTATTTTATTAAAAAAATATATCTTAATTTAAATTTAAACAAGGAGTTTACAAACGACTTGTTATTCCAACGACAAAAAGCATTACGTGTTCTCCCCACCTTGCCTTGCCGCTTGTTTGTGTCGTATTATAAATGCGCCTGCAGCGCGCAGAGGCAGTCAGTTGTTGGCCGACTGCGGGCCCGGACGGAGCTCGTCAGGTAAACTAATTGTATTATGTAATGCAATACCTATTTACTGTTGTTATAATTATAATATTATAATGGCTTGATACATATGTAGAATATTTGATTGAATAACAAAATGTTATTAAATATAAATATATAAATATCATTTTATATGATTTATAACTATAATAAATAATATAATTAAATACTTATATGTATTTAAATTTCAAATACAACGTTATTTTCAATCACTCTCGCTTTTTATTTTACTTTCTCCCATATCAGAAGTGAGATCTGAACAAAATTAGGGCATCTTGTTCACATATATTCTTGTTTACGAGTTTCAGAGACGCAGCACGATGACGAGTCAACAGCATCAGCCTGAATGATGCAGCCGAGACGCCTGAGTCACCTGACCCTGGACTTCAGCGCCACCGGCCTGCTTCCAGCACGCATGGTGCTGGCCGGCCGAAGTGCTGGTTCAAGCACTAGCGATAAGGCGAGCAACCTAGCAGAGTACGTAACTCGCAAATGAAGGCAGTTGGCATGGAGGTGACTGAATCGCATTTGGTGGAAGCCGTAATACCAAGTATGTCGGACTTTCATATTTGATCAGACTTGTTGCGACTGACACCTAAAACCTTACCTCAAGTATTATTATTATTATTATTGGTTTTTGGGCCTTCATTTGCGCCAGCTCAACCAGGTTTGATCTATTGTGGCAGCCCTTGTCTTTAGAGTTCACTACTTAGTCTCGTTGAGTCTATCTACCTCAAGTAATACAAAGCCTGAATTCTTACGAACGTAAATAGCCAGTGTCTGATGCTGATCGTGATCATGTTATTCCTTTAAAGAAATGAAATCTGAATATACATTCGGCGTTTTTACCGAGGCCCACACATTAAAAAAGAGGCTGTGCCGTACATTCGGCGTTTTTACCGAGGCCCACACATTAAAAAAGAGGCTGTGCCGTACATTCGGCGTTTTTACCGAGGCCCACACATTAAAAAGAGGCTGTGCCGTACATTCGGCGTTTTTACCGAGGCCCACATCAATGGCTGTGCCGTATAATTCGGCGTTTTTTTACCGAGGCCGAACTTTAAGATACATACGATTTAAAAATAATGTGAATGATCACATTTTTGTCAATGATTGTATTATGTTGTTGATTTTCTTGATATATCAAAATGATTAAATAATTTATTTGCAAAGTGTTATTCGCGAGCCTGACTGTGTCGGCTGCTCGTCAGTATGGCCGTGTGGGAGATTAATTTATTTTATTTAAAAAATATATCTTAATTTAAATTTAAACAAGGAGTTTACAAACGACTTGTTATTCCAACGACAAAAAGCATTACGTGTTCTCCCCACCTTGCCTTGCCGCTTGTTTGTGTCGTATTATAAATGCGCCTGCAGCGCGCAGAGGCAGTCAGTTGTTGGCCGACTGCGGGCCCGGACGGAGCTCGTCAGGTAAACTAATTGTATTATGTAATGCAATACCTATTTACTGTTGTTATAATTATAATATTATAATGGCTTGATACATAGAATATTTGATTGAATAACAAAATGTTATTAAATATAAATATATAAATATCATTTTATATGATTTATAACTATAATAAATAATATAATTAAATACTTATATGTATTTAAATTTCAAATACAACGTTATTTTCAATCACTCTCGCTTTTTATTTTACTTTCTCCCATACATACTTAGTTAGTTAGTTTTTTATTATACAGGATGTTAGGTAAATGGGTAGGTATATGAGCCGACACTAGCCCATGTTAACATGGGCATTTATAAATGGTATGGTGAAGTCAGAAAATTGATATCATTATTTTATTTTTCCGATTTGTATGAAAATAAAATAATTA